CAAAGGGAAGTGGGGTCAGGGCCCTGCCAGCAGCTGCTCCCACCGGAGCTGCCTGGCTGTGTTCTGGGGGACAGCGGTAACTGGGAGCAGAGGGATTGGATTTGGGAGCAGAGGGATTGGATTTGGGAGCAGAGGGATTGGATTTTGGAGCAGAGGGATTGGATTTGGGAGCAGAGGGATTGGGTTTGGGAGCAGAGGGATTGGGTTTGGGAGCAGAGGGATTAGATTTTGGAGCGGGCTAGCTGGATGTTGGAGCAGAGGGATTGGATTTGGGAGCAGGTTGGCTGGGTTTTGGAGCAGAATAACTGTATTTTGGAGCAGACTGGCTGAGTTTTGGGCACAGCTGGCTGGAATTTGGAGCAGACTGGCTGGATTTTGGGCACAGCTGGCTGGAATTTGGAGCAGACTGGCTGAGTTTTGGGCACAGCTGGCTGGAATTTGGAGCAGACTGGCTGGATTTTGGGCACAGCTGTCGGACTTTGCCCATCGCCTGTGGCTGTCGTGCACAAGGAGCACCTGGTTTGTGTCAGCCCCTGCTGCCACTGTCAGCCCTCAGCATCTTCTGGGAGAATTCCCTGCTGCTCCACAAGGCCCTGATCGGGATTTCCTGACTCCTGGCTCCACTCACAGGGGTGGAAACTGGGCTGGTGGAGCTCTTGGTGAGGCCGGTGCTGGGTGTGGCTGAGACCCCAGTCCCAGAGTGTCCCTGCCCTGGATTCTGCGTTTGGCTGTTGGCTGTTCCCTTCTTCTGCAGGCTGGTTTCACTCTGAAATCTCTGCTGGCTCCTTCAGTCCTGGCCCTCTGTGACCCCACTGTGCCCCAGGAGCCCCGTCCCAGGCAGAGCTGGTCCTGTCCTGCTCCCCACACTGGGGGGACGCTGGTGGCAGTTCTGGGGAGGTGAGGAGGGGACAATCCACGTCACCCTTTTGGCAGAACCTCTCCCACGCAGGGAGGATGAGCAGGAAGGACACCGTGACCCCCAGCCTGAGGACTCTGGGCTGCAGGACCCTCTCTTGGCTGTCACATCACAGCTGGGGAGTTCCTGTCCCAACAACCTTTAACACTTTCCTGAGCTTTGATTAAGATGAAGATGTGGAACCAGTTCAGTGGAAAACTGGACACAGGTACATTATAATCTGCTCTGGTTTGTTCCTTTTTATCTTCCAGGTCAAACCTTTTACGAAGAGAAATGTGACAGAGCTGGTGTCAGGTGTGACCTCTGGAGCTGGGGAAAAGGTGCTGGAGACCCCAGGGCTCCGTTGCTGAGCCCTCTCTTTGTGCTTTTGGGACAAACCAGGACAATTTGCACCCCCAGGAGATCCCAGCAGCAGCAGCAGAAGCCAAAAAGGAAACTTCTGTCCCCTGTGACAGCCTGGCTGCTGCATGGGGGGGACAGAGACGTGCCTCGGGGGCTGGGGTGTGCTGGAAGGGGAGCTGTAAGGGAGAACATGGGCTCTCAGAGCCGAATTAATTCAGTATTTTGATCAGCAGCTTTGTCAATAAGTAGCAGGTGAGGGAGAGCTCAGCTGAGGCAGCGCAGAGGGCTGGGACAGGTGACATTGAGGCTGAAGGAAGTCATGGGACCATCAGGAGCAGCCCCAATGCGCAGTCATGCCCCGCAGTCGCTGCACAAACAGCACAGGCGTGGAAGTGATTAACAGGGAAAGGCCTGTGGGGCTCAGCAGCCTCCCAGGGATGTGGGCTTGGGGTGACGAGGCCCTGGCGTGCTCTCAGCTGCCCAGGGAGGTGTTTCCAGAGGGGCAGACGGTGCCAGACAGGGCTGTGCGTGCAGCCCGAGCACCAGCCATGCCAAAACCCTGTGGATTTGCTGTGGAGGGAGGAACGCAGAGCAGGAGCAGCTCTGGCAGGACAGATGTGCCGGGAGATAAACTTGCCAGGGCAGCCTTATCAGGGCCAAGCAGGGCCAGGAGCGGGTCTGCTCGGGCTGATGGAGGCCTTGCACGTGAGGAAACTGGGCTGGACACCAGAGAACGTTTGTGGCTGCTGGAAAAGGGCAGGCAGGGCTGGCCTGGGAGCATCCTGCCGGCCCCTTGGCTGTGTCCGGGTGGGCTGGGGGGGACAGGGGTCGTGGGCAAGGCTGGCACCACGTTCCACACTTGCTGCAGGGGTGTGGGTCCCTGGAGAGGCACTTCCCACAAGAGCAGTGACAGGGGACAAGGTGGGACAGCTTTGTGCTGAAGGAAAGCAGATTTAGATGGGATACCAGGGTGGGACTCTTCCCTGTGAGCGTGGGCAGCCCTGGCACAGGGTGTCCAGAGAAGCTGTGGCTGCCCCTGGATCCCTGGCAGTGCCCAAGGCCAGGCTGGACAGGGCTTGGATCACCTTGGGATAGTGGAAGGTGTCCCTGCCCATGGCAGGGGTGGAACAGGATGAGCTTTAATGCCCTTTCCCACCAAACCATTCCATGGGTCCACGACTCTGTGATCATTCTGCAGGGAAAGCCGCTGTGGGCACCCCCTCTGCTTTCCACTCGCTCCCGCGGGCACAGAGAGGGATTTGCTGCTTTCCCCTCCTTTTCCAGCAGGTTAGGTCCCGTCCTGGAGCTTTTTCCATCATCCCACTCTTCTCCAAAAAGCCGAGGCGTTTCCCGGTGATGCGACAGCCGATCCTTCAGGTGATCCGCTGCGGGGATGGGGCTCCCTGCCCGACCCTTCCGTGCCCCGGGAGCGTTCGGAGGCCGCTCCGATCCGTCCCGTTATGCAACGAGCTCTTAACTATGCAAATGTATTCAGCTCTCCCCTCGCGCAACCTCCTGTTTTCTTTCAGCTGCTTTTTTGGAAATCCAGCGCTTCCTGTGGGGGTGCAGCCCGAGTCCCCGGAGCCATCTGGAGCCCTCCCAGCCTCGGGCAGGCTGAGCTGGCACCGCAGACCCCTCCCCGCCTGGCTGCGAGCCCTCCCTGCGCTCCCGCAGCCCCGGCGGGTCGCGGTGCCGGTGGCTCTGGAGCCACCCGAACAGCCAAACCCTCCTCTGGTTCGGTATCCCGGTGGGTTTCCCTCCTGGTTTACTCCTAGTGGTTTTCCCCTCATGGATTGACTCCTTGTGGGTTTCCCTCCGTGATTTACTCCTAGTGCTTTGTGGGGCCACTGGAGCTTTCAGCTCCCGGATGTCCTGCACGGGAGCTCCTGAGCCCAGCTGCCCCGAGTGGGCAGAATTCCTTCCTTCCTTCCTCACCTTCCTTCCTTCCTTCCTTCCTTCCTTCCTTCCTTCCTTCCTTCCTTCCTTCCTTCCTTCCTTCCTTCCTTCCTTCCTTCCTTCCTTCCTTCCTTCCTTCCTTCCTTCCTTCCTTCCTTCCTTCCTTCCTTCCTTCCTTCCTTCCTTCCTTCCTTCCTTCCTTCCTTCCTTCCTTCCTTCCTCACCTTCCTCACCTTCCTCACCTTCCTCACCTTCCTCACCTTCCTCACCTTCCTCCAGCCTCACCTGGGCTGGCAGTGACCCACGGGGGTCGTTGTCCCTGGGCCTGGGAGGACACGGAGCGCGTGGCTGCTGTGCCTTCCACGCCAGGAGCCCACTCACCCTCCCTCTCCTTCCTGGTGCCTCACGGTTCCTGTGCTGCTCTGAGACCTCACGGGATGGGACAGTGGGATGGGACTGTGGGATGGGCTAAATGGATGGGATGGCACCAGGGGATGGGACAATGGGAGGGGACAACCAGATGGGATGGGACAATAGGATGGGACAATGGAATTGGATGAGATGGGACAAATGGATGGGACGGGACAGTGAGATTGGATGGAATGGGACAATGGGACGGGACAGTGAGATTGGATGGAATGGGACAAATGGATGGGACAGTGAGATTGGGTGGAATGGGACAAATGGATGGGACAGTGAGATTGGATGGAATGGGACAAATGGATGGGACAGTGAGATTGGATGGAATGGGACAATGGGATGGGACAGTGAGATTGGGTGGAATGGGACAATGGGATGGGACAGTGAGATTGGGTGGAATGGGACAATGGGATGGGACAGTGAGATTGGGTGCAACGGGACAATGGGATGGTGGGATGGGACGATGAGATTGGATGAGATGGGACAATGGGACAGGACAGTGGGATGGCACAATGAGATGGGACAAGTGGATAGGATGGGATAATAGGATGGGACAGTGGGATGGGACAAGTGGATGGGATGGGACAACGGAATTGGATGAGATGGGACAATGGGATGGGACAATAAGCACCTCAGGATATCCCATCCTTTTCCCTGCTCCCTTCCTAGGAATTCCCGGTGTCCTCGTTCTCTCTGGAGCAGCACCCCATGCCCTGTGTGCAGTGTCCTCACGCCCCGTGGAGGCACCGCCGCTCCTGTGGGTGCCCCCAGCCACCTCTCACTGTCACAGGGGTCACAGCCCTGGCACCAGTGTCCCTCTCCTTCAGTGCTCACGTGCCATGAGCTCCAGCAGCCCAGGGACCCCTGTGGCCCAGGGACAGTGGCCAGGGGACTCCATCCTGCAGCCCAGGGATTCTGCAGCCCCATCCTGCAGCCCAGGGACCCCCATGGCCCATCCTGCAGCCCAGGGACTCTGCAGCCCCATCCTGCAGCCCAGGGACTCTGCAGCCCCATCCTGCAGCCCAGGGACTGCAGCCCCATCCTGCAGCCCAGGGATTCTGCAGCCCCATCCTGCAGCCCAGGGACCCCCATGGCCCATCCTGCAGCCCAGGGACCCCTGCAGCCCCATCCTGCAGCCCAGGGACCCCTGCAGCCCCATCTTGCAGCAGAACTGAGGGACAGGTCAGGTCTCCTTGTCCCACAGCCCCAGCACAGCAGGGTTGGGCTCCCAGCTGTCCTGAGCAGGAGCTGTCTGTCCCTCTGCGGGTGTTGCTGCCCACAGCCCCAGCCCTGGGGTCTCTGCCTGCCCCCCCTCAGGGCACTCTCTCTCCCCATGTCCCTGTCCTTGGTGGGTGCACACATGGTGTAGCCCCAAGGCTCCCGGACACCCCAGAGCCCCTCTGGGAAAGCTCTGCTGGGCAAAAGAAATCTCAGCACAGCCCGAGTGGAGCCAGCAGGAGTTTAACCGAGCCCACCCTGCCCCACACACGGGTTTGTCACCGCGGTGACACACGGAGGGGCGCAGGGAGCGAAGCCCCACCGGCGCCCAGGACCCTCCTCTGCCCGGGTCGCTGTCAGAGGTGCCGGGGGTGGCTCTTCTCCAGCCAGGGGCCGGTGGTGATGGTGGTGGTGATGGTGATTCTGTTCACTGTCAGCCCTCCCGAGGGGTAGGTGTCGAGACACGCCTCCCGCTTGTACTCGGAGACCTGCTTGGAGGACAGGAGCTCCCACACGGACACCCTGCGCTCCTGGGACGGGTCAAACGTGATGTAGGAGCCCTCGGAGCGCAGGAGGTCCATGGTGTGCGCAGGAAGGGCCCTGAAGTGCTTCTCCAGGTTGTCGCTGGCGAGGCTGCTGGTGGTGCTGAGCAGCTCCTGGATGGGGAGTGTCCCGCCACGGTACAGCTCCAGCAGCTCCTCTCTCTTCTCCTCAGGGATGTAGTCAGAGAAAAGCAGGTCCCACAGGGAGGTCTGCCTGCCCTGGAACTCCCCCACCGACACGTCAGCTGTGGTGGCCTTCAGGGTCTCCTCCCAGGCCCTATCCTCATGCAGAGGGGTGGGTTCAGCCGCTGGCTCTGCCCTGGCACTGCTCACAGGTGCCGCTGGCTCTGCTCTCTCTGCTGCTGCTGCCCTGGTGACGATGGTGCAGACGACGGTCTTCACCTGCTCCAGGGTCAGCTCACCTGCCTCGTACACCTCCAGCAGCTCCTTCCTGCTCTCCTCGGGGATGTAGTGGGAGTGCAGCAGGTCCCACAGTGAGACCTTGTGGCCCCGAAACTCCCCAGCCTCCACCTCGACCATTGTGGTTTTTAGGGTTGTTTTCCATGGCTCCTCTTTGGTGGGGGTGTCACCCTCCTCTCCTGCTGCTCTCACAGGGTCCTTGCTGGAACTCTTGACTGTAACGTGCAATTTCCTGCCTGTAGATTCTTTTTTCTTAATGAGAGTGGTGACAACAAGGGTCAGCTGCTCCAAGGCCAATGTCCCGCCACGGTACAGCTCCAGCAGCTCCTCTCTCTTCTCCTCAGGGATGTAGTCAGAGAAAAGCAGGTCCCACAGGGAGGTCTGCCTGCCCTGGAACTCCCCCACCGACACCTCGGCTGTGGTGGCCTTCAGGGTCTCCTCCCAGGCCCTATCCTCATGCAGAGGGGTGGGTTCAGCCGCTGGCTCTGCCCTGGCACTGCTCACAGGTTCCGCTGGCTCTGCTCTCTCTGCTGCTGCTGCCCTGGTGACGATGGTGCTGACGACGGTCTTCACCTGCTCCAGGGTCAGCTCACCTGCCTCGTACACCTCCAGCAGCTCCTTCCTGCTCTCCTCGGGGATGTAGTGGGAGTGCAGCAGGTCCCACAGTGAGACCTTGTGGCCCCGAAACTCCCCAGCCTCCACCTCGACCATTGTGGTTTTTAGGGTTGTTTTCCATGGCTCCTCTTTGGTGGGGGTGTCACCCTCCTCTCCTGCTGCTGTCACAGGTTCCTTGCTGGAACTCTTGACTGTAACGTGCAATTTCCTGCCTGTAGATTCTTTTTTCCTAATCAGAGTGCTGACAACAGTTGTCATCTGCTCCAGAGTTAATAACCTTTCATGGTACAGCTCCAGCAGCTCCTGCCTTTTCTCCTCGGGGATGTAGTCGGAGACGATCAGGTCCCACAGGGACACCTGCTGTCCCTGCAGCTCCCCAGCTGGCACACTGATGGTGGTGGACCTCAAGGCATCATCCAGGTGTGCCGAACAATCCTCTCCATCCTCCCCAGCCGCTGCCACTGCCCTGTGTGGGCTCCTGGCGTTTGCCACCAGCGCGGCGCTTGCAGCTTCCGTTCGGTTCACGATGGTGGTGACCACGGTGGCCACCTGCTCCGTGGTCAGTATCCCTGCCCTGTACAGCTCCAGCAGCTCCTGCCGCTTCCCCTGAGGGACGTATGTGGAGAAGAGCAGGTCCAGCACGGAGACGTTTTGCCCCCGGAACTCCCCAGCAGTGACACGGACAGTTGCGGACTTCAGGGACTTCCTCAGGTGTTGCTCCTGCGTGTCCTGAGCTGGGGGTGACGCCCTCGCCTCGTGGTTGGGGTTGGCTGTGGATGAGCCCAGAGCCCCGTTCTCCCTTTCTGCCGCTGAGATGGTGGCCGTGAGGATGTCTATCATCTGCAGGATGGTGACTGTCCCCGCCTTGTACTTCCTCAGCAGCTCCTCTCTCCGGTGCTCGGGGACGTAGCGGGAGAAGAGGAGCTCCCAGACGGTGACGCTCTGGCCCTGGAAGAGCCCCACGGGCAGCGTGGTGCGGGCGGCCTGCAGGGCTCTGCGGGCATCCTCGCTCAGCTGGTAGAGCACAGAGCCCTTGTCCATCAGCTGCAGCATCAGCAGCCCCGTCTCCGGGTCGGGCACGCAGCGGCGCAGCAGCTGCAGGTACGTCAGGTTCTCGTGCGTGTTGGGGTCGAAGCAAGTCCTTGCTTGATTCTCGGGGTCGGAGAGGATCTGGTTCACCTCCTGGTCAAAGTAGCCACGCTTGTAGGCCACCTCCACGGGGACACGGTGGCTGTGCACGGGGTCGATGATGCCGCCGGTGGCGATCTGGGCCTGGAGCAGGCGGACGGCGTGTTCCCTGACGATGAGATCCTTCTTCATGGCCTGGAACAGGGAGATCCTGCGTCCTGTGTAGGGCTCTGTGTAGCCCGTCACGGCTCCCTCCGCTGAGAGCAGCTTCTCATAGAAGTCCCGGCCGATGAGTCCCTGAGCCAGCGCCTCCTTCACCGAGAGCCGCTCGTTCCTCGCGGGGTCCGTGAGCAGCCCCGAGGCCGCCTGCGCCTCCAGCAGCACCAGCGCCGTGCCCGGGGTCAGCAGCCCCCTCATCATGGCCTCGTAGATGCTCAGCCTCTTCTTCTTGGCCTGGAGGAAGACTCCAGCGATAAAGTTGCTCCCGCCCCCACCCATCTCTTCGTGCTCACCTGCAGCCGGGTTACTCCCTGGGCTGCTCGGCTTGTTGTCCTGGGAGCATCCGCTCATCTTCCTCATCGTCTCTGGGGAGGAATCCTGCTGCTGGGGGCGCTGGGCACCTCTGAGGAGGGAGAAACAAACAGAGCCTCTGGTAAGACACAAATCCCCGTGTGGTTTTCACAGTGGGGTCTTGGGGAATGTGAAGGTCCCTCTGACTTTGCTGGTGATCCCCAAATTTCGTGTGTCCCCCTCCCCAAATTTGAACCCCCAACCATGTTTGGGACCAGCAGTGTTTATTGGGGGGTCCCCATGGGTGAGGAGGGGCTTGGGGGAGATTTTGGGGTTGCCAGGAGGACCAGAGGGACCCTTGGGGGATGTGGGAGTCCCTCTGGCTTTGCTGGGACCCCCAGATTCATGTCACCCCCTCCCCATATTGGAACACGGGAGCACAGCTGGGACCAGCAGCGTTTATTGAGGCCACTCTGAGGGGGCTGGGGTGTCGGGGCAGCCTCTCCCGGAGATGATCACAGGAGCCCAGGGGGAAGCAGGGAGGCGCCTTTGCTGCTCCCTCCCAGCAATCCTAGGGCCAGGCTGCAGCTGGGATGGGCAGAGAGCTTGGAGGGCACGGCACGGGTTAGTGAGAGACACGCACCACACCAAGAATCATCATCCTAGCAGCACGGACACCCTGGCCCCACTGCAGCCCCCCGAGGACCCCCCACTCTTTCAGAGCCTGACACTGCCTCAGATCTGTGGCCTCAGCCACTTTCCTCTTCTGTTCCTGCTGACACAACCACCCCTTGCTTTTGGGCTGATGCCACCAGGTGCCAGCATGACACAGGACCACTGCTCCTGATGCCTTAAGTTTCAGCTTTCATATTTTCCAGACTCTGCGCTGCATTATTTTATAACTCTGGACTTCATTTAAAGTGTCAGCAAGTTCTCCTCGCAGTTCAATCAGGCAAAACAATCCTTTTCCAGCCCCAGAACCAAGGGCACCATCGCAGCTTCGGGCCCAAAAAGTGCAAACAAAAGTGAATTGAGGAGAGCAATCTGGGAGGAGGCTGTGACTTCATAACCTGTAATTGGACAATTAACCCCAATATGTAAATGAACCAAAACTTATAAAAGTGTGAAAAGTCATGACCCATTGTCCAGCTGGGGTGTAGCCACAGCTGGGCTTTTGTATTGCCCAAGGTGTATCCTTTGAAGACCTTTTAATAAATACCTCCTTTGTCCTTTAACACCATCTAACCTCTGTTCTAGGTAGTGTCACTCCCTCCCTGCTCCCTCCCTGCTCCCTGGAGCTGCCCTGGGACAAACAGATTTCACTGGTGGTCTCTTCCCAAGCTCAGGTCACACCGAGAGGCAGCAGCAGCTTCCTGACATGGTGCCACAGCCCCTGAGAGGTGCTGGCTGGTGCTGCCAGAATTTTCTGCCCTCTGAGGCAGTGGCCCAGGCTGGCCCTGTGCTGGTCACAGGCTGCCCGTGAGCGTGGTGGGACGTGGTGCCAGGCACAGCCCAGGTGTCTGTGTGGATTCTCCTGGGGGCTGTGTGATCCCAAACCACCCTGGCAGTCCATAGGATGTGGGAATATTCTTAGGGATGTATGGGTGGCTGTTCAGATCCAGGAGCAGCAGCAGGAGCTGAGGAGACCTTTCCTCTGGCTGTGCTGCTGCAGCTGGGGTGGCCCTCTGGGTTCTCTGTGTCTCTCCTAGTTCTAAGGCCACCGGGTGGGCAGAGACCCCAATCCCCATCCTGTCAGCCTCCTGTCCTGCAAAACTGGGCTCTGTATTAGTTAATGCAACAATCACGGATGCATCATGGCATCCCAGAATTGTCTGGGTGGGAAGAGACCTTGAAACTCATCTGGTTCCAACCCCTGCCACAGGCAGGGATGCCACCCACTCCCAGATGCCTCATGTTGTCACCCGGTGCTTTTGGGAAGCTCTGTAAACAAACTTTCAGCATCTCCAGCATCGTGCAGTGATGAGGCCACAGTGCTTATAAAAACAGAATGGAAACGCAGAGGATCTCCTCGGGAACACCCATCTCCCGTAAACTCTGGTGACTGACATTAATGACACGTTTAACATGTTATCAGGGTCACAGCTTAAGTCTCCCACTGTTTACTTAACAGTTGGGAAGTCTCTGAGTCACTGCTTTGGATCCATTTAGGTATTGGATTGATGCTGGGGCTGAGATCCATCCCAGCAGTCCCAGCCCAGTCCCTGCTCCCCGGGGACCCTGCCCGTGGCTCTGTCCCACCTCACCTCGTGCCTCCAGCCCCTGGCAGCAGCTTCTCTCCGTCCCTGCCCGGCTCCGAGGTGCAGCCGGGAGGTGAGGGGCTGCTTGTGCCGCTGCTGGGGTGGCACTGGGTCCTGGAGTGAGGTGTCACACCCTGGAGCCGGCGACACCTTTGTAGGACACGGCTGTCGTGTGAACACCCTGCACTGCCAAGCGTTTCCCAATTGCAGCCTGTCATTAGCAGCTCTCTAATCAGGCTCCCGGTGCCGGGGCTGGGCTGCACACGCAGCTCCCGGGGCAGGGGCCGGCTGGCTCTGCGAGCTGTCGCAGCAGCCCAGCCCAGGGGTGTCCCAGCCCTGCCCGCCCCCAGGGAGGGAAATCACACCAGTCCGGTCCACTCTGGACCGGACACCAGCCCAGTCCCCCCAGTCCAGTCCCCCCGGCCCAGTCCCCCCAGCCCAGTCCCCCCAGCCCAGTCCCCCCAGCCCAGCGCAACACCCTCCCACCGCCTCCTCGCTGGGCTCCTGGCCAAGCCCCACTGCTCCAGACACTGCTCTGCAGTCCCAGCGAGCCCCATCGTGCCAAGCACAGCCTCCAGCCCCTGGATCCCAGCGATTCCCGTGGTGACAGCCCCTGGATCCCAGCGATTCCCGTGGTGACAGCCCCTGGATCCCAGCGATTCTCACCGTGACAACCCCTGGATCCCAGCGATTCCCACTGTGACAGCCCCTGGATCCCAGTGATTCCTGTGGTGACAACCCCTGGATCCCAGCAATTCTCGTGGTGACAACCCCTGGATTCCATCAATTCACACCGTGACAGCCCCTGGATCCCAGCGATTCCCGTTGTGACAGCCCCTGGATCCCAGCGATTCCCACTGTGACAACCCCTGGATCCCAGCGATTCCCACCGTGACAGCCCCTGGATCCCAGCCATTCCCACCGTGACAACCCCTGGATCCCGGCCATTCCCACCATGACAGCCCCTGGATCCCAGCGATCCCCATGCTCCAGGCCTGGATCCCAGCCGAGCCCCACTGCTCCAGGCCTGGATCCCAGCGCATCCCACTGCTCTGGCCCCTGGATACCAGTGAGCCCCACTGCTCCAGCCTCACCGCTCCAGCCCCAGATCCCAACAAGTCCCACTGCTCCAGCCCTGGATCCCAGGGAGCTCCACCGTGCCACCCACACCCCTGAATCCCAACAAGTCCCACTGCTCCAGCCTCCGGCCCCGAATGCTGGCGAGCTCTGGCGGGTCCCGCAGCTCCGGCTGTTCCCCTCCCGCATCCCAGCCCGGCTGAAGCATTGGCGACACAAAACGTATCACACAGAGCAGCAGCTCAGCCAGCCCTGGCACTACTCGGTCATTTTGTCCCTTCCCAAAAAGGACCAAGTTCTGCCTGGAGATCTGCTGCTCACCGATCCCGAGAGTTTCAGCAGCCGCCGCCTCCCCGCGCTGGAGTTTGGGATAGAGGTGAGGTCCTGCTTCCCGTGCAGGTCCCCTGTGGTGGCCTCGGTGGCTCCCAGGTGGGCTCTGTCCTACCTCCTGGCCGTGTATCCGGAGCGGCTGGATGCCGGGAGGCTCTGATCCTCCTCCTCCTCCTCCTCCTCCTCCCGCCGACTCCCAGCCAGGTGAGCAGAGGAGGCAGGTGCCCAATTTAAATCATTCCCTCCCCCGCCCCTGGGGACGGCAGGGAGGCCCTGCCCTGTTCTGGCACACAGGAGCAGACCTGGAACACCGACCTGGACTGAGCTCAGAGCCCCCCCTGCCCAGGTGCACCGGGAGCAGTGCCAGGCCAGGACGTGGCACACGTCGCTCTCCATGGGACTCTGGACTCGCCACCGCTTTTTTCTGCCAGCACAGCCTCTTGTGGACAGCCCTGCCCACGGCCCCGGCTGCCACGGGGGTCTCCAGGGATCTGAGCTCCTTGGACGTGCCTGGGGAGCTGCAGCCACCACCCTGCAGCTGTCCCTGCACCCGGCCGGGACAGGGACCGAGCCTGGCCCTGGAGCCACTCTGGGCTGACAGAGGAGGGACAGCGCTGGCCACATCTGGGATGACAGAGGAGGGACAGCGCTGGCCACATCTGGGATGACAGAGGGACAGTGCTGAGCATGCCTGGACTGACAGAGGGACAGTGCTGGGCATGCCTGGGCTGACACAGGGACAGTGCTGGCCATGCCTGGGCTGACACAGGAGGGACACTGCTGGCCGTGGGTGTGCAGGGGACACTGTGACAGTGTCCGTGCTCCTGTCAACCTGCACAAATGGCTGTGCCTCGGTGTGTGTGACAGCCCCTGTGGGCTCCTTTGGGATTCTACATGTCTGGAACCCTCTGGGGTCCTGTGTGACCCTGTGTGTGACTATGTGACCCTGTGTGTCACTGTGTGTGACTATGTGACCTTGTGTGTGACCATGTGACCCTGTGTGTCACTGTGTGACCCTCTGTGGGGCTGTGTGGCTCTGGTGTGACTCTGTGAACATCCCTGGTGTGGCTCTGTGTGGGTCCCTGGTGTGGCTCTGTGCACATCCCCGGTGTGGCTCTGTGCACATCCCCGGTGTGGCTCTGTGCACATCCCCGGTGTGGCCCTGTGCACATCCCCGGTGTGGCTCTGTGCAGGTTCCTGGTGTGACTCTGTGCACACCCCTGGTGTCGCTCTGTGCAGGTCCCTGGTGTGACTCTGTGCAGGTCCCTGTTGTGACTCTGTGCACATCCCTGGTGTGACTCTGTGCAGTTCCCTGGTGTCACTATGCAGGTCCGTGGTGTGGCTCTGTGCAGGTCCCTGTTGTGTCTCTGTGCACATCCCTGGTGTGACTCTGTGCAGGTCCCTGTTGTGTCTCTGTGCACATCCCTGGTGTGACTCTGTGCAGGTCCCTGGTGTCACTATGCAGGTCCCTGTTGTCACTATGCAGGTCCCCAGTGTGACTCTGTGCAGGTCCCTGGTGTGGCTCTGTGCAGGTCCCTGGTGTGACTCTGTGCAGGTCTCCGGTGTGGCTCTGTGCAGGTCCCTGGTGTCACTATGCAGGTCCCTGGTGTGACTCTGTGCAGGTCCCTGGTGTGACTCTGTGCACATCCCCAGTGTGACTCTGTGCACATCCCCGGTGTGACTCTGTGCACATCCCTGGTGTGACTCTGTGCACATCCCTGGTGTGGCTCTGTGCAGGTCCCTGGTGTGACTCTGTGCAGGTCTCCGGTGTGGCTCTGTGCAGGTCCCTGGTGTCACTATGCAGGTCCCTGATGTGACTCTGTGCACATCCCCGGTGTGACTCTGTGCAGGTCCCTGGTGTGACTCTGTGCAGGTCCCTGGTGTGACTCTGTGCACATCCCCAGTGTGACCCTGTGCAGGTCCCTAATGTGACTCTGTGCAGGTCCCTGGTGTCACTATGCAGGTCCCCGGTGTGACTCTGTGCAGGTCCCTGGTGTGGCTCTGTGCAGGTCCCCGGTGTGACACTCTCTGCAGGTGACTCCCTGTGAGCCCGTTCTCACGGGACAATGCATGTGCAGGGCGTGGGTGACTTCCCGTGAGTGGGGACACACATGACACATGGACAGCTGCCCGCAGCCAGTGTGTGACCATGTCCCACGTGGCCGTGCGTGGCTCGGTGCCATCCCCGTGTGCAGGAGGGGCTGCCTGTCCTGCGCTGCCTTTCCTGGGTGTCCTGCTCCGGGAGAACATTCCTGCTGGCGTGGGCGCTCGCCAGACTGGCTGATCGGCTCACGGAGAGCTTTTCCCTCTGACTCAGCGCGGGGGTTTGGCTGCAGGAGCACACCTGGCCGGGAGGTCCCCTGTCCTCGGGGTGAGGTGGCTGCAGGACCCGCTCCTGGTGGCTTCGCCTGCTGCTCTGAAGCCCTTCCCTGGCTGACATCTGCTTTCAGGGTGGTAATTGCAGCGTAACTGGAGCTTCACTGATTGCATTTCTCTTGTCCTGGGCAGAGAGCGACAGGACAAGGGGCAGGGCAGTTTTTAACTGAAAAAGGGGGCGTTTATTTAGAGGAGGTATTGGGAATAAAACCTTCACTGTGAGGGTGGGGAGGCCCTGGCAGAGGGTGCCCAAGGCAGCTGTGGCTGCCCCATCCCCAGAAGTGCCCAAGGCCACGTTGGATGGGGCTTGGAGCAGCCTGGTTTGGTGGAAGGTGTCCCTGCCATGGCAGGGGTGGCACTGGAGGGGCTTTGGGGACACTTCAGCCCAAACCAGTCTGTGATTCCGTGGTGCTTTTGTGGTTTCCAGCGATTTTGTGAGTACCAGGGTGCAGGGGTCACCTGGTCCCACCTGTCTGCCCACCCAGCTCTGCTCAGTCCAACCCAGGCTCCGTGCACAGGCTGGGCCCGATGGTGGCATCACCGAGTTACTCCGTGTCGGTCCCTCCTCCTTGGGCACGGCCATGGCCACCCAGGACACTCCTCCAGAGGGTTTCTTTTTATATATTTAAATAGAAATAAATAAATATATGTTGTTATATATTAAAAATATAAAGAAATAGACAAATATATTTAAAATATATTAAAAATATATAAAATATTTATTTTTAGATAAAATTTTATGTGAAGGGTGAGAGAATATAGATGTTACAATTTATGTTATTGTAATTAGAAGGTAGTTATTTTTAAGTTATAACATACTATAAGATATAATATATAATATAATAATATAATATAATATAATATAATATAATATAATATAATATAATATAATATAATAATATAATATAATATAATATAATATAATATAATATAATATAATATAATATAATATAATATAATATAATATAATATAATATAATATAATATAATATAATATAATATAATATAATATAATATAATATAATATAATATAATATATATAATATAATATATATTATATTATATTATATTATATTATATTATATTATATAATATATAATATTATATAATATAATATTATATTATATTATATAATATTATATAATATTATATATAATATTATATAATATTATATAATATTATATAATATTATATAATATTATATAATATTATATAATATATAACATAATAGAAATAATATAATATAATACTATTATTATTTGCTTGTTTATTAGTTTTTGTTTTGTATTATGTTGCAAATGCAAAAAGTTAATTATTTAAATTTTTTTTGTGGGTTTTATTATAATGCATTTTTTATAGTTTTACTTTTTAGAAGTATTTAGTTTTATTTGTCAGGTTAAGCTGCTCCTCAGGGCACCTGCCAGGGCGCTGTGCCTCTGCCAGGTGGCACCTCGAGTGACCACGGGAGGCAGGGAGGGGACAGCATCACACCTGGGGACAGCTCATGTCACATCAGGTGGGACCTTCTCGCTCCCTGCAAGTTTCTGACAGGAGGGCTCAGCCAGATGGGAGCTGGGCTCTGCTCCCAGGGAGCAAGGGACAGGACAGAAGGAAACAGCCTCGAGTTATTGGGAGTTATTAGTCTATATAACACTTTATTTTTATTTTTAGATTTAGTTTTATATTTTTATTCTAGTTTTATTTTGGTTTCTTTTTAAATTTTTAATTTTAATTTTAATTTTAATTTTGATTTATATTGTTTTGGGATATTGGGATAATATTGGGATGATGATGATGATGATGATGATGACGATGATGATGATTATTGTTGTTGTTATTGTTGTTTTTTTTGTTATTGTTATTGTTATTTTGGGATACTGGGAATATATTTTGGGATACTGGGGTATTTGTAGTACAGGGCTGTCCAGCCCTGGCACGGCTGCCCAGGGCAGTGGTGGAGTCCCCACCCCTGGATTTAACAGAGGTGTGAATGTGGCACTTGGGGACATGGGCTAGTGGTGGCCGTGGCAGTGCTGGGGGAGCAGCTGGGGGTGATTCTGCAATTCGTGGGTGTGATTCCACAATTCGTGGGGGTGATTTCCTGATTTGTGGGGGTGATTCCCTGATATGTGGGGGTGATTCCCCAATTCGTGGGGGTGATTCCCTGATTCGTGGGGGCAATTCCCCAATTCTGTGGCACTGGATTCTGATGCTGCCACGGCTGTGCCCGTGTGGCCTCAAAGCTGTCAAGGGTTGAAAAGGGCCGGTGTTTTTTATGCTGCAAAGCAGCACCAGTGTTGGAGTTCTGTCTGCTGGAATTTTAGATTTTCTGTGCTGGCAGACTCTGACCCCCAGGAGAACACTGCATTTGACCCGAGGCCGTGGAAAGGCTTCCAAAATGGAATGACAGCCCCGGGATTACGGATGTGTAATACCACAGGGTGGAAAACTCACGACTTTTAACAGAGATAAGAAATAGTAAACATCTGAGTCTGAACGTGAAATACCATCTGGAGCGCTTCAATCCAGACCTCGGCAAACCAGGTGAGCACAGGTGAAAAATGCGCATTTTATCATCAGCTCTTCACAAATATTAAATTGAATATGTATTATGGAGGGTTATTTTGTAATACTGTATTAATCCTTTTTAAGTAGTGTGTTAAGTATAGTTTTAGATTATAACATAATATTAAAATACAAACTCTGTGATATAAGATTTTTTTTTACTAGCTCAAGAAAAGGGATAAGATAATCAAGAAACTCTTGGCACAGAGATAACAGCGACAGGGCACATAAAGAGTTACAGCCTCCTTATTGGAAAAGACAAACCTTCTTCCACCTTCTCTCTGTCTTTATGGAACCACGAGGATTAAGGGGAAAAAAAACCAGAAAAATTCTTAATTTGCAAGGAATTTTTGCATCATGTATGAGATGTATGAATATGCAACACTCAGGTGTGGGCAAGCCCCTGACACATTTGTGCAGCTGCTTCTCCCCGCAGCTCCACAGGGCACAGAGACGGGCACAGAGCCCTGGGATGTCCCCGTGTTCTGGTTTGAAAACAAAACCAGAGATAGTCCAATATACAAATACAATCTATTAGGAAAAGTTACAAAGGAAAACAAAATATGTGCGATAATACAAAAGAAAAACCACTGACAGAGTCAGAATACAACCTGACACCCTTTTTGGTCAGGGTGTTGGTAGCATTCCAATTTGGAATGGCTGCTGTCCTCCTGGAAATCCATTTTGAGCGTCCCAAAAACCCAGATTATATCCAGGTAGGAGTGCCTGGCTCCTCCCTCTGGGCGGAGCCTCTGGCAATGGGCTGCTGTAACTTTTGTCAGCCATCGGTGACATTCAGTAGCCCATTATCAGCAGATGTCTCCTGGGGGGAGCATTGGCTGTGGAAGGGATAAGGAGAGCTGCCCACCGAAGAGAAGCCAGCTGCCGTGCAGATGGCAAAAGGAACCCATCCTGCTTTTTGCAGTCTGGGGCACCCCACGCTCCCTGACTCACCAGCTGGTCCTGCAGCTTCCCGGGAGCCTGGCACCGGCACACCCGGGCCTGGGCACCCCGGCCCGCGGCCTCACCTGCCGGAAGGTGTGGGAGTCGTGGCTGGAGCAGCCCTGAACCACATCAGAGGCCGGGAGATGCCTTTCCCAAGGATGTTTCAGCTCTGGGGTGTTCGGGGAGGGTTTTCCTTCAGTGACTGATTTGGGAAACCTCTGGTGTCAAAGCTCAGGTGCTGACGGCGCTCCCGGCTCCCTTCCAGCTGGTGCAGGTAATGCCTCAGGTCTGAGCTTTCCTATTTTTCAGATTCTCTTCTGCTTTAGTGTTCAAGTCTGGGCTTCACATGAGGGGATGGTGAGCTCTTCACAGAGCAGGGAGACAAAACAATTCCTTCTCTAGCTGGGGACCAAGGACACATGATCCAAATCTCAGGCCCAAGAGCACAAACAATGTGGGCTGAAGAGAGAAAAACAACTATTGGAATTCATAACCTAAAGCTGTAATTGGACAATGAACTCCAATATGCTAATGGACCAAAACTTATAAACGAGAGACCCCGTGACCTGTTGCCCATTTCTGTGGCCATTTTGGGTTGTACTACCCAAGGTGGGTCTATTTGAGGCCTCTTAATAAATCCCTACTTTGTTCTTTATCTCTGTCTGGTCTCTGTTCTGGGTCAGCCTTCACAAGGCATCACTGGGAGCATGGGTCTCTGGGGCCCTGTGGCTGCTGAGGGTGTTTTCCTGTGGAGGGTGATGCACAGAGGCTGTGACTGATGTGGGGATGGCAGCCCCTGCCCTGGGACAGCTCTCAGAAACATCCCTGAACAGGCAGAGCACGCAGAGTTCTGATTAACCCACCCCTGGGGTGTGCCAGAGTGAAACGAGACTGAATGACCCCTGTGAACATGGCTGGGGTGGTTCTAAAACAATAAGGTTGTTTTAATTCCTTAAAACAAGTAAAATAAATTTAATGTAAGTGGAAAGGAAGGATGTGGCTGTTTTTGTTATTCTCTATAAAATATAGGAGTCTATATTGCTTAAGAAAATATATAAGGAGAAAAAGAAAGAAAGGAAGGAAGGAAGGAAGGAAGGAAGGAAGGAAGGAAGGAAGGAAGGAAGGAAGAAAAGAAAGAAAGAAAGAAAGAAAGAAAAGAAAGAAAGAAAGAAAAGATAGAAAGGAAGAAAGGAAGAAAGGAAGAAATAAAGAAAGACGGAAAGACGGAAAGAAAGAAAGAAAGAAAGAAAGAAAGGAAGGAAGGAAAGAAAGAAAGAAGGAAGGAAGGAAGGAAGAGGAAGGAAGGAAGAGGAAGGAAGGAAGGAAGGAAGGAAGGAAAGGAAGGAAGGAAGGAAGGAAGGAAGGAAGGAAGGAAGGAAGGAAGGAAGGAAGGAAGGAAGGAAGGAAGGAAGGAAGGAAGGAAGGAAGGAAGGAAGGAAGGAAGGAAGGAAGGAAGGAAGGAAGGAAGGAAGGAAGGAAGGAAGGAAGGAAGGAAGGAAGGAAGGAAGGAAGGAAGGAAGGTAGAAAGATAACGGAGAGGAAAGGCATCACCCCCTGTTACCCCACAGAACGAGAATCCAGAGGGTGAATTTCCATTCAGGTTCAGGAGGGGGTGTCCGGGTATTTTCCCTGGGCGGCAATTTTACGCTACTGGATGAACTGTGGATCACGGGCCATCCTCTGGAGGAAGGCTCCGAATGAATCGGGGGCTGCTTCGGGGGTCTCTGGGGGTCTCGGATGGTTCCTGGCCCCTTCCACTGCCGTGCCGCTGCTCCTCGTGCCGGTACAGCCGAGTCAGCGGTGCCTTATCAGGAGGAATCCTTCTCAGAGGATCTGCTCCTGCCCGGGGGTCTCCCTTGTCCGGCTCAAAATCAGCCGCTTAGAGCCATCGGTCCCGAGGGATCGGGGGCACGGGGGGCGCGGGGCTCAGCCGGTTTGGTCCGACACCCGGGGGACACCGGGAAGCAAAGAAATTCAGAGAAATCCAGAAATCCAGCCGCGGTGTGGAGCCCGAGCGCCGGCATCCCCGGGAGCGGGCTGGGGCAGCGGGAGGGACCCGGGAGCGGCCGGGCAGGGCTGGACCCGAGGGGAACCTGGACCCCCGGCAGGGCTGGACCCGAGGGGAACCTGGACCCCCGGCAGGGCTGGACCCGAGGGGAACCTGGACCCCCGGCAGGGCTGGACCCTCGGCAGGGTTTGATCCTCATCAGGGTTCTATCCTCGGCAATGTGGGACCCTCGGCAGGGTGGGACCCTCGGCAGGGTGGGACCCTCGGCAGGATTTTATTCTCGGCACTGTGGGACCCCCGGCAGGGTTTTATCCTCATCAGGCAGGGTTGGTGTCTTGGAATTGTGGGACCCTGGGCAGGGTGGGACCCTCGGCAGGATTTTATCCTCAGCAAGGTTTTATCCTCGGCACTGTGGGACCCTCGGCAGGATTTTATCCTGGGCAGGGTGGGACCCTCGGCAGGATTTTATTCTCGACACTGTGGGACCCCCGGCAGGATTTTATCCTGGGCACGGTGGGACCCTGGGTAGGGTGGGACCCTCGGCAGGATTTTATTCTCGGCACTGTGGGACCCTGGGCAGGATTTTATTCTCGGCAATGTGGGATCCTCGGCAGGATTGGTGTCTAGACACTGTGGGACCCTCGGCAGGATTTTATCCTCAGCAAGGTTTTATTCTCGGCACTGTGGGACCCTCGGCAGGATTTTATTCTGGGCACTGTGGGACCCTCGGCAGGATTTTATCCTGGGCAGGGTGGGACCCTGGGCAGAGTGAGACCCTCGGCAGGATTTTATTCTCGGCACTGTGGGACCCTCGGCAGGATTTTATTCTCGGTACTGTGGGACCCTCGGCAAGATTTTATCCTGGGCACTGTGGGACCCTGGGCAGGGTGGGACCCTCGGCAGGATTTTATCCTCAGCAGGATTTTATTCTCGGCACTGTGGGACCCTCGGCAGGATTGGTGTCTAGACACTGTGGGACCCTCGGCAGGATTTTATCCTCGTCACTGTGGGACCCTCGGCAGGGCCGGACCCCCGGCACCACTGCTGTCACCTGCCCGGCAGGTACCACCGGCCGCCGCCCCTGCTCCGCCTCTTCCTCCGCAGCACCGGCGCCTCCGGAGGAAAGAATAACAAAAATGTTCCCAGGAAAGAATAACAAAAATGTTCCCTATCAAAAGCCACACGGAGCCAGCCCATCCCCGCGCCCAGGGGACGGGCACGGGCAGACACGGACACGGACAAAAATGCTCTTTATTCCGGCTGGGAGGGATTGCACAACTCTGATCTCTGTGGGAAAGGGACTATCAAGTATCCTCTGCCCTGCCTCGTTGTTCCTGGGAAAAAGGGATCGGCCAGGCTTTTCCTGGTGTTCAGGGCACCTGGCCTGTGGCAGGGTCCGGGAGGGAAATAATCTGGAGGTGCTGGGGTGGTGCCAGAGCTGCAGGGATGGTGTCAGGGTCACTGGGGTGGTGCCAGGGGTGCGCCACAGCTGCACCCTTCCCAGGGAACTTCTTTACCATTCGGCTTCCTGGCAGCCGATTTTCCCTCGGCAGCTCTGGGGCACAGCGAGGGGAAGGATCACGCTTAAGATCTGGCCCAGGTTGCCTCCAGCCACACTCCTGTTGTCCCCTGAGGCACATTGGGACACAGGTATGGTCAGAGCTCTGCTCATTCAGTGCCTGCTCCAGGGGTCCCCAAGCCCCCGAGATTCCCAGAGCCTCAGCTGGGAATGGGGTGCATCTCCAGAGCTCTCCTTGGGCACTGGAGGATGTGCAGGCCTAACTGGAGCTGGTTCTGCCCAGCTGGCCGAAGATGGAGCTGCACCGCCCTTCTCTGAGGGTCAGGGTCAGCCATCCGTGCCACCCCCATTCCCAGGACGCAGGTGACAGGGGACAGGTCCTGACAGAATGTCCTGCTGAGAGCAGACAGGCCAAACCTTGCCCCAGAGATCATCACCTGATAACTGATAACACCCCAAAAGGTGGCTGCTCTGCCTGGGCTGGTTGAGCCTGTGCTCCCCCAGCTCAGCCCATGAGGCCACCAACACCTTCAGGAGGACAGTGCCGCACACATGGCCACAGCGGTCACAGCAGATGTGGGCAGTGGCCTCTGGAGACCTGCAGACCTGTGCCAGCTCATTGTGCTTGGCCGAGCAATCCCAAAATGTGCCCACAAGGGCTGCGCATGGAGCAAAGGCAGATGTGCCTCTGCCAGGAGCTCAGGAGTCATGGAATGGTTTGGGAGGGAAGGGACTCCAGTGCCACGGGCAGGGACACCTTCTGCTAGCCCAGGCTGCTTCCAGCCCCATCCAGCCTGGCCTTGGACACTGCCAGGGGTCCAGGAGCAGCCACAGCCGCTCTGGGCACCCTCACAGGGAGGAATCTCTTCCCAATACCCAGGAATCCAGGGGGTGCTCTGGAACAGGGGGTTTGCTGTGCTGTGGAGAGCTGGGGCACACAATATTCCAACATCATCCCCAGTTGGAATAGGTCAAAAGGTCCCCAGTAGGTCAGCTCTGGGCTGCAGGGAGGGGGAGAGCTGAGTCCTGTCCTGTGTCTCAGCAGGGCCTTTGGTTCTTGTGTTTTCCACTTTCAGCTTCACCAGCAGCTGATCCTCAAACGCGCCCCTGGGCACAGAGGGGCTGTGGGTTGGGTTGGGTAAGGTGAGGTTATGAAATCCCAGACTCACAGAGTCCCAGGATGGGTCAGGCTGGAAGGAGCCATTGTGCGGGTCCTCAGGAAGGGTCATCACAGACCTCATGGCACAGGATTGTATCCAGAGGGTTCTGGATAACCACTGGTGAAGGACACCCCACACCCTCTCTGGTCTCTGTTCCAGGGCTGTGCCAGTGTCCAGGGCCCAGCTCTGGGTGCTGTCAGAACCCAGGGTGGCTCGAACCGTGCCCTTGAGAGCGTCCCAAATCGTGTCCCAGTGCAGGGGACGCCGTGTTGGCACCGGCACAGTGGGATGTCACAGACACAGCCCAAGGACCCAGCACCCGCTGTTGCTGTTTGCCTCTGTGGAAGGCAGAATTGGATTTCCAGGATGAGAAAACTCCTGGGAGATGTTATTGTGGCTTCCCAGCAACTTAAGGGGGCTATAAGGGAGATGGAGAGGGACCTGGGATAAAGACCTGGAGTGATGAGGGTGATTGGCTTCAAATTGGAAGGATGAGGGAGATTCATTATTCAAAATGGAAGAATATAGGTGTGGATTAGATATTGGAAGGAATTCCCTGTGAGGATGGGGAGGCCCTGGCACAGAGTGCCCAGAGAAGCTGTGGCTGCCCCTGGACCCCTGGAAGAGGGATGCCCCTGAACCCTGCCAGGCTGGATGGGGCTTGGAGCAGCCTGGTACAGTGGAAGGTGTCCCTGCCTGTGGCAGGGGGCGGGATGAGAAAGCTCCTTCCTACACAAACCATTCCATGATTCCGTGATGTCTCTCCCATTAATTTGTTCCATCACTTTCTGAGCCCCTGTAATTCTCTGGGTCCCACAGCAGGTTACAGTGAGGAGTCCCACACCTCCTCTACACTTGTTCCCAGGTATCAGCTCTACAAGCTCGTGGCCAAAAGTCCATTTTCCAGGACATTACCAGGTTAATTGAGGCAATCACCCCAAGGCAGCACATTTAGGGATGGTAAGTTTCCTTCCATTAAATAGCAGTAGAATTATTCATCCCTGAACTGCATGGAAGAGTGGCTCCAGGGCTGTTCCTCTCCTGTGGCATGTGGCTGAGTCAGCTCAGGACACGGGAGGGCAAAAGGAGCAGGAGGGAATGGAGACTCCCCTGGGGATGGACGGACTGAAAGCACAGCACAGCCATGTCCACTCCCAGCTCCCGTGAGGATCCATCCCCACAGAGCCTTCACAGGGGGAAGGAAAGCACAGAGACAGACCAAACCACTCTGGGCTGAGGCTGTTTGTGCCCCAGACACCCCCGGAAAGGCAGGACAGGCTGAGGCACGGAGAGCAAACACAGATTATGTGTTCCACGCCAGTGACACCCAACGCAAGCCTGGCATCCTGCCCACGCAGAAATCTGCTCTCCACACTGTCCTGACTTGAAAACTTGCAACCCAAATATCGTCCTGTAAAGCTCCTGGGGAAAATAGCTGGTGTATGCAGAAAAAAAAAGGCAGAGAATAAAAATACCACTCACAGCAACACCCATACGGAGAAAAGACCTGCAATAAAACCTGCGTGAGGAAAAGGAGGATGACACACTTCACCAAAATGACCTGAGATAACCCAGGCTGCCTCCTCTGTTCCTGAGAGGCGACCAAGGAAAGATTAACAATGCAATGCAAGAACACTGCTCAGGGGGAGGCACTTCAAAGCCGCACCTGATGTGGGTGGGTGGTGGTAAAGAAAAGAGATCATGAAGGAAATTCCCTCACTGGGATCATAAATGGCAAAAAAATATTCAGAAAAAGAAAGACAAACACCAGCAGCAAAAGAATTATTTACAATAGTAACAATCTTCCCCAAGGTAAAAACAAGGAAAAAAATAAAATGGTTTGGCAATTATTTCTGAAAAACTTGGAAGAAATAGAGCCCCGTCTCCGGGTCGGGCACGCAGCAGCGCAGCAGCTGCAGGTACGTCAGGTTCTCGTGGGTGTTGGGGTCGAAGAAGCCCTTGGTGTCGTCGCCGGGGTCAGAGAGGATCTGGTTCATCTCCTGGTCAAAGTAGCCACGCTTGTAGGCCACCTCCACGGGGACACGGTGGCTGTGCACGGGGTCGATGATGCCGCCGGTGGCGATCTGGGCCTCGAGCAGGCGGATGCCGTGATCCCTGACGATCAGGTCCTTCTTCATGGCCTGGAACAGGGAGATCTTGTCGCCCGTGTAGGGGTCGGAGTAGCCCGTCACGGCCCGCTCTGCCGACAGCAGCTTCTCGTGCAGCTCGCCGCCCACCAGCCCGGAGGACACAGCCTCGTCCACAGAGAGCTTCTGGTTCTTGACGGGGTCCACCAGGAAGCCGGTGGCCGCCTGCGCCTCCAGCAGCACCAGGGCCGTGCCCTGCCTCAGGATGCCCTTCCACATGGCCTGGTAGATGCTCATCTTCTCCATCTTGCCCGGATGCTCCTTTGAGGGCACCAGCACGCCGGCGATGACGCCCGTGCCGTCCAGGTAGCGCTTGACCGAGGCCATTTGCGTCACCTCCTGCACCGTCCTGGCACCCTGCACCAGGTCGGCCAGCGTGCCCGTGTCGATGATGCCCGAGTCCAGCAGGTCCGAGGCGCTCACCTGCCTCCTGAAGCCCGTGAATTTGACGCTGCTGCTGCGCTGGGCCGCCTCCTCCACCAGCAGGGTGAGCAGCTTGGCCAGCTCGGCCAGCGCCAGGCTCCCAGCTCGCAGCCGCCCCAGCAGCTCCTGACGCTTCACCTCCGACACGAGCTTGGAGAACAGCAGCTCCCACAGGGACACCTTCCTGCCGTGGAAGCCGCCTGCCGAGACCTCGACCGTGTGGGACTTGAGGGACCGCTCCAGCTCCTGCTCCAGCTTCTCTTCCTGTTCCTTCTGGGAGTTTGCAGCACTGCCGTTCTGGGTGGGTTCGGGCAGGACCTCCCTTTCTGGGGACTTGGGGGCCCTGTTGTCACCCTGGGCTTCAGCCCTGGTGACGATGGCCGTGAGGACGTCGATCATCTCTGCAATGGTGACTGTCCCCGCCTTGTAGCGGCGCAGGAGGTCCTGGCGCCGGTGCTCGGGGACGTAGCGGGAGAAGAGGAGCTCCCAGACGGTGACGCTCTGGCCCTGGAAGAGCCCCACGGGCAGCGTGGTGCGGGCGGCCTGCAGGGCTCTGCGGGCATCCTCGGTCAGCTGGTAGAGCACAGAGCCCTTGTCCATCAGCTGCAGCATCAGCAGCCCCGTCTCCGGGTCGGGCACGCAGCGGCGCAGCAGCTGCAGGTACGTCAGGTTCTCGTGCGTGTTGGGGTCGAAGAAGCCCTTGGTGTCGTCGCCGGGGTCGGAGAGGATCTGGTTCATCTCCTGGTCAAAGTAGCCACGCTTGTAGGCCACCTCCACGGGGACACGGTGGCTGTGCACGGGGTCGATGATGCCGCCGGTGGCGATCTGGGCCTCGAGCAGGCGGATGCCGTGATCCCTGACGATCAGCTCCTTCTTCATGGCCTGGAACAGGGAGATCTTGTCGCCCGTGTAGGGGTCGGAGTAGCCCGTCACGGCCCGCTCTGCCGACAGCAGCTTCTCGTGCAGCTCGCCGCCCACCAGCCCAGAGGACACAGCCTCGTCCACAGAGAGCTTCTGGTTCTTGACGGGGTCCACCAGGAAGCCGGTGGCCGCCTGCGCCTCCAGCAGCACCAGGGCCGTGCCCTGCCTCAGGATGCCCTTCCACATGGCCTGGTAGATGCTCATCTTCTCCATCTTGCCCGGATGGTCCTTTGAGGGCACCAGCACGCCGGCGATGACGCCCGTGCCGTCCAGGTAGCGCTTGACCGAGGCCATTTGCGTCACCTCCTGCACCGTCCTGGCGCCCTGCACCAGGTCGGCCAGCGTGCCCGTGTCGATGATGCCCGAGTCCAGCAGGTCCGAGGCGCTCACCTGCCTCCTGAAGCCCGTGAATTTCACGCTGCTGCTGCGCTGGGCCGCCTCCTCCACCAGGAGGGTGAGCAGCTTGGCCAGCTCGGCCAGCGCCAGGCTCCCAGCTCGCAACCGCCCCAGCAGCTCCTGACGCTTCACCTCGGACACGAGCTTGGAGAACAGCAGCTCCCACAGGGACACCTTCCTGCCGCTGAAGCCGCCTGCCGAGACCTCGACCATGTGGGACTTGAGGGACCGCTCCAGCTCCTGCTCCAGCTTCTGTTCCTGTTCCTTCTGGGAGTTTGCAGCACTGCCGTTCTGGGTGGGTTCGGGCAGGACCTCCCTTTCTGGGGACTTGGGGGCCCCGTCGTCACCCTGGGCCTCAGCCCTGGTGACGATGGCCGTGAGGACGTCGATCATCTCTGCAATGGTGACTGTCCCCGCCTTGTAGCGGCGCAGGAGGTCCTGGCGCCGGTGCTCGGGGACGTAGCGGGAGAAGAGGAGCTCCCAGACGGTGACGCTCTGGCCCTGGAAGAGCCCCACGGGCAGCGTGGTGCGGGCGGCCTGCAGGGCTCTGCGGGCATCCTCGGTCAGCTGGTAGAGCACAGAGCCCTTGTCCATCAGCTGCAGCATCAGCAGCCCCGTCTCCGGGTCGGGCACGCAGCGGCGCAGCAGCTGCAGGTACGTCAGGTTCTCGTGCGTGTTGGGGTCGAAGAAGCCCTTGGTGTCGTCGCCGGGGTCGGAGAGGATCTGGTTCATCTCCTGGTCAAAGTAGCCACGCTTGTAGGCCACCTCCACGGGGACACGGTGGCTGTGCACGGGGTCGATGATGCCGCCGGTGGCGATCTGGGCCTCGAGCAGGCGGATGCCGTGATCCCTGACGATCAGCTCCTTCTTCATGGCCTGGAACAGGGAGATCTTGTCGCCCGTGTAGGGGTCGGAGTAGCCCGTCACGGCCCGCTCTGCCGACAGCAGCTTCTCGTGCAGCTCGCCGCCCACCAGCCCAGAGGACACAGCCTCGTCCACAGAGAGCTTCTGGTTCTTGACGGGGTCCACCAGGAAGCCGGTGGCCGCCTGCGCCTCCAGCAGCACCAGGGCCGTGCCCTGCCTCAGGATGCCCTTCCACATGGCCTGGTAGATGCTCATCTTCTCCATCTTGCCCGGGTGGTCCTTTGAGGGCACCAGCACGCCGGCGATGACGCCCGTGCCGTCCAGGTAGCGCTTGACCGAGGCCATTTGCGTCACCTCCTGCACCGTCCTGGCGCCCTGCACCAGGTCGGCCAGCGTGCCCGTGTCGATGATGCCCGAGTCCAGCAGGTCCGAGGCGCTCACCTGCCTCCTGAAGCCCGTGAATTTGACGCTGCTGCTGCGCTGGGCCGCCTCCTCCACCAGGAGGGTGAGCAGCTTGGCCAGCTCGGCCAGCGCCAGGCTCCCAGCTCGCAGCCGCCCCAGCAGCTCCTGACGCTTCACCTCGGACACGAGCTTGGAGAACAGGAGCTCCCACAGGGACACCTTCCTGCCGTGGAAGCCGCCTGCCGAGACCTCGACCGTGTGGGACTTGAGGGACCGCTCCAGCTCCTGCTCCAGCTTCTCTTCCTGCTCCTTCTGGGAGTTTGCAGCACTGCCGTTCTGGGTGGGTTCGGGCAGGACCTCCCTTTCTGGGGACTTGGGGGCCCCGTTGTCACCCTGGGCCTCAGCCCTGGTGACGATGGCCGTGAGGACGTCGATCATCTCTGCAATGGTGACTGTCCCCGCCTTGTAGCGGCGCAGGAGGTCCTGGCGCCGGTGCTCGGGGACGTAGCGGGAGAAGAGGAGCTCCCAGACGGTGACGCTCTGGCCCTGGAAGAGCCCCACGGGCAGCGTGGTGCGGGCGGCCTGCAGGGCTCTGTGGGCATCCTCGCTCAGCTGGTAGAGCACAGAGCCCTTGTCCATCAGCTGCAGCATCAGCAGCCCCGTCTGCGGGTCGGGCACGCAGCGGCGCAGCAGCTGCAGGTACGTCAGGTTCTCGTGGGTGTTGGGGTCGAAGAAGCCCTTGGTGTCGTCGCCGGGGTCGGAGAGGATCTGGTTCATCTCCTGGTCAAAGTAGCCACGCTTGTAGGCCACCTCCACGGGGACACGGTGGCTGTGCACGGGGTCGATGATGCCGCCGGTGGCGATCTGGGCCTCGAGCAGGCGGATGCCGTGATCCCTGACGATCAGCTCCTTCTTCATGGCCTGGAACAGGGAGATCTTGTCGCCCGTGTAGGGGTCGGAGTAGCCCGTCACGGCCTGCTCTGCCGACAGCAGCTTCTCGTGCAGCTCGCCGCCCACCAGCCCGGAGGACACAGCCTCGTCCACAGAGAGCTTCTGGTTCTTGACGGGGTCCACCAGGAAGCCGGTGGCCGCCTGCGCCTCCAGCAGCACCAGGGCAGTGCCCTGCCTCAGGATGCCCTTCCACATGGCCTGGTAGATGCTCATCTTCTCCATCTTGCCCGGATGGTCCTTGGAGGGCACCAGCACGCCGGCGATGACTCCCGTGCCGTCCAGGTAGCGCTTGACCGAGGCCATTTGCGTCACCTCCTGCACCGTCCTGGCGCCCTGCACCAGGTCGGCCAGCGTGCCCGTGTCGATGATGCCCGAGTCCAGCAGGTCCGAGGCGCTCACCTGCCTCCTGAAGCCCGTGAATTTCACGCTGCTGCTGCGCTGGGCCGCCTCCTCCACCAGGAGGGTGAGCAGCTTGGCCAGCTCGGCCAGCGCCAGGCTCCCAGCTCGCAACCGCCCCAGCAGCTCCTGACGCTTCACCTCTGACACGAGCTTGGAGAACAGCAGCTCCCACAGGGACACCTTCCTGCCATGGAAGCCGCCTGCCGAGACCTCCACCGTGTGGGACTTGAGGGACCGCTCCAGCTCCTGCTCCAGCTTCTCTTCCTGCTCCTTCTGGGAGTTTGCAGCACTGCCGTTCTGGGTGGGTTCGGGCAGGACCTCCCTTTCTGGGGACTTGGGGGCCCCGTTGTCACCCTGGGCCTCAGCCCTGGTGACGATGGCCGTGAGGACGTCGATCATCTCTGCAATGGTGACTGTCCCCGCCTTGTAGCGGCGCAGGAGGTCCTGGCGCCGGTGCTCGGGGACGTAGCGGGAGAAGAGGAGCTCCCAGACGGTGACGCTCTGGCCCTGGAAGAGCCCCACGGGCAGCGTGGTGCGGGCGGCCTGCAGGGCTCTGTGGGCATCCTCGCTCAGCTGGTAGAGCACAGAGCCCTTGTCCATCAGCTGCAGCATCAGCAGCCCCGTCTGCGGGTCGGGCACGCAGCGGCGCAGCAGCTGCAGGTACGTCAGGTTCTCGTGGGTGTTGGGGTCGAAGAAGCCCTTGGTGTCGTCGCCGGGGTCGGAGAGGATCTGGTTCATCTCCTGGTCAAAGTAGCCACGCTTGTAGGCCACCTCCACGGGGACACGGTGGCTGTGCACGGGGTCGATGATGCCGCCGGTGGCGATCTGGGCCTCGAGCAGGCGGATGCCGTGATCCCTGACGATCAGCTCCTTCTTCATGGCCTGGAACAGGGAGATCTTGTCGCCCGTGTAGGGGTCGGAGTAGCCCGTCACGGCCCGCTCTGCCGACAGCAGCTTCTCGTGCAGCTCGCCGCCCACCAGCCCGGAGGACACAGCCTCGTCCACAGAGAGCTTCTGGTTCTTGACGGGGTCCACCAGGAAGCCGGTGGCCGCCTGCGCCTCCAGCAGCACCAGGGCAGTGCCCTGCCTCAGGATGCCCTTCCACATGGCCTGGTAGATGCTCATCTTCTCCATCTTGCCCGGATGGTCCTTGGAGGGCACCAGCACGCCGGCGATGACTCCCGTGCCGTCCAGGTAGCGCTTGACCGAGGCCATTTGCGTCACCTCCTGCACCGTCCTGGCGCCCTGCACCAGGTCGGCCAGCGTGCCCGTGTCGATGATGCCCGAGTCCAGCAGGTCCGAGGCGCTCACCTGCCTCCTGAAGCCCGTGAATTTCACGCTGCTGCTGCGCTGGGCCGCCTCCTCCACCAGGAGGGTGAGCAGCTTGGCCAGCTCGGCCAGCGCCAGGCTCCCAGCTCGCAACCGCCCCAGCAGCTCCTGACGCTTCACCTCTGACACGAGCTTGGAGAACAGCAGCTCCCACAGGGACACCTTCCTGCCATGGAAGCCGCCTGCCGAGACCTCCACCGTGTGGGACTTGAGGGACCGCTCCAGCTCCTGCTCCAGCTTCTCTTCCTGCTCCTTCTGGGAGTTTGCAGCACTGCCGTTCTGGGTGGGTTCGGGCAGGACCTCCCTTTCTGGGGACTTGGGGCCCCGTTGTCACCCTGGGCCTCAGCCCTGGTGACGATGGCCGTGAGGACGTCGATGATCTCTGCAATGGTGACTGTCCCCGCCTTGTAGCGGCGCAGGAGGTCCTGGCGCCGGTGCTCGGGGACGTAGCGGGAGAAGAGGAGCTCCCAGACGGTGACGCTCTGGCCCTGGAAGAGCCCCACAGGCAGCGTGGTGCGGGCGGCCTGCAGGGCTCTGCGGGCATCCTCGGTCAGCTGGTAGAGCACAGAGCCCTTGCCCATCAGCTGCAGCATCAGCAGCCCCGTCTCCGGGTCGGGCACGCAGCGGCGCAGCAGCTGCAGGTACGTCAGGTTCTCGTGCGTGTTGGGGTCGAAGAAGCCCTTGGTGTCGTCGCCGGGGTCGGAGAGGATCTGGTTCATCTCCTGGTCAAAGTAGCCACGCTTGTAGGCCACCTCCACGGGGACGCGGTGGCTGTGCACGGGGTCGATGATGCCGCCGGTGGCGATCTGGGCCTCGAGCAGGCGGATGCCGTGATCCCTGACGATCAGCTCCTTCTTCATGGCCTGGAACAGGGAGATCTTGTCGCCCGTGTAGGGGTCGGAGTAGCCCGTCACGGCCCGCTCTGCCGACAGCAGCTTCTCGTGCAGCTCGCCGCCCACCAGCCCGGAGGACACAGCCTCGTCCACAGAGAGCTTCTGGTTCTTGACGGGGTCCACCAGGAAGCCGGTGGCCGCCTGCGCCTCCAGCAGCACCAGGGCCGTGCCCTGCCTCAGGATGCCCTTCCACATGGCCTGGTAGATGCTCATCTTCTCCATCTTGCCCGGATGCTCCTTTGAGGGCACCAGCACGCCGGCGATGACGCCCGTGCCGTCCAGGTAGCGCTTGACCGAGGCCATTTGCGTCACCTCCTGCACCGTCCTGGCGCCCTGCACCAGGTCGGCCAGCGTGCCCGTGTCGATGATGCCCGAGTCCAGCAGGTCCGAGGCGCTCACCTGCCTCCTGAAGCCCGTGAATTTCACGCTGCTGCTGCGCTGGGCCGCCTCCTCCACCAGGAGGGTGAGCAGCTTGGCCAGCTCGGCCAGCGCCAGGCTCCCAGCTCGCAACCGCCCCAGCAGCTCCTGACGCTTCACCTCTGACACGAGCTTGGAGAACAGCAGCTCCCACAGGGACACCTTCCTGCCGTGGAAGCCGCCTGCCGAGACCTCGACCGTGTGGGACTTGAGGGACCGCTCCAGCTCCTGCTCCAGCTTCTGTTCCTGTTCCTTCTGGGAGTTTGCAGCACTGCCGTTCTGGGTGGGTTCGGGCAGGACCTCCCTTTCTGGGGACTTGGGGGCCCCGTTGTCGCCCTGGGCCTCAGCCCTGGTGACGATGGCCGTCAGGACGTCGATCATCTCTGCAATGGTGACTGTCCCCGCCTTGTAGCGGCGCAGGAGGTCCTGGCGCCGGTGCTCGGGGACGTAGCGGGAGAAGAGGAGCTCCCAGACGGTGACGCTCTGGCCCTGGAAGAGCCCCACAGGCAGCGTGGTGCGGGCGGCCTGCAGGGCTCTGCGGGCATCCTCGGTCAGCTGGTAGAGCACAGAGCCCTTGTCCATCAGCTGCAGCATCAGCAGCCCCGTCTCCGGGTCGGGCACGCAGCGGCGCAGCAGCTGCAGGTACGTCAGGTTCTCGTGCGTGTTGGGGTCGAAGAAGCCCTTGGTGTCGTCACCGGGGTCAGAGAGGATCTGGTTCATCTCCTGGTCAAAGTAGCCACGCTTGTAGGCCACCTCCACGGGGACACGGTGGCTGTGCACGGGGTCGATGATGCCGCCGGTGGCGATCTGGGCCTCGAGCAGGCGGATGCCGTGATCCCTGACGATCAGGTCCTGCTTCATGGCCTGGAACAAGGACATCTTTTGTCCTGTGTAGGGGTGGGTGTAGCCCGTCACAGCTCTCTCGGCGCTTAGAAGTTTGTTTTTCAGTTCACTGCCCACCAGTCCAGAGGACACAGCTTCGTCCACAGAGAGCTTCTGGTTCTTCACCGGGTCAATGATGAAGCCGGTGGCCGCCTGCGCCTCCAGCAGCACCAGGGCGGTGCCCTGCCTCAGGATGCCCTTCCACATGGCCTGGTAGATGCTCATCTTCTCCATCTTGCCTGGCGGGGCCTTGGAGGGCACCAGCACACCAGCAATGCTTCCAGTTCCCTCAAGGTACCTCCTCACACTGTCCATTTTTGCTATTTCTTGTGCTGTCTCCTTTCCTTCCTGGAGTTTTTCTATTGTTTCCTCTGTAATTATTTGTGCACTGAGCAGTTCTGATGCTGTAATTTGCTGTCGGAGTCCCTGGAACCAGACATCACTTCTGTCCTCTTCTTTTTCCCTAATGATCTTTAGTATTGTCTCAATGATGCCTTGCACAATGTGCTGGGACTCCGCTTTGTATTTTTTCACCAGCTCTTTTCTTCTCTCCTCTGTGATGTACTCGGAGCAGAGAAGCTCCCACAGCGATAACACTTGTCCCTTGTATTTTCCCACAGGCACCTGTACCTTTGTGCACAACAGGGCATTTTTCGTTTGCTCATCGATGTAGAAATAGTCGCCTTCCTTTTCCAGGACCTGCAGCAGGTACAAGCCGCTCTCCCTGTCTTTGGCACACCTCTGCAGGAGCTGGCTGTAGCTGATCTTCTCGTGAGTGTTTGGATCTTTGAAGCCTTTGCTACCATGATCTGGATCCGAAAGCAGGAGGAACATGTCCTCGTCCAGGTGCCCACGTTTGTAGGCCACCTCCACGGGCAGGCGGTGGTCATGCCAGGGGTCGATGATGCCACCAGTGGCAAGCTGGGCCTCGAGCAGGCGGATGCCGCGATCCCTGACTATTACCTTCTGCCTTACAGCCTGGAAGAGAGATATTTTACTTCCTGTTTGAGGATCTGTGTATCCCGTGACGGCTTTCTCTGCTGACAGCAGCTGCTCGCGCAGCTCGCTGCCCACTAGCCCAGAGGACACAGCCTCGTCCACGGAGAGCCTCTGGTTGTTCCGGGGGTCCAGGAGGAAGCCGGTGGCCGCCTGCGCCTCCAGCAGCCCCAGCGCACACTGCTCTGTGAGGAGGCCTTCCTTCAGCGCCTGGTAGATGCTCATCACCTCTTTCCTCAATGGGAGGAGAACCCCAGCAATGCACCCAGTGCCGTCCAGGTACCTTTGGATGGTGTCCCTCTTTGCGAGGCTGGCAAGTGTGAGACTCCCGTCATGCAGCTGATCCAGAGTTTTCTTGTCGATGATCTCAGAGTTGAACAATTCTGATACCGACACCTCCCCCCGCAGTCCTTTGATCTTGAGGGCTTCTCCTCTCCGCTCTGTGTCCTCAATGATTTTTAAGATGAGGGATATCAGCTCTTCCAGCGCTAGGGTTTTGCTTTTGTACTGCATCACTAGCTCTTTCCTTTTCTGCTCTGAGATGTAGTGAGAGCAGAGGACTTCCCAGACGGAAACAGTTTGGTCCTTAAACTTTCCAACTTTCACTTGAAGGGGCTTTGAGCGCAAAGCCTGTTTTGTGGACTCATCAATGTAGAAGTACTTTCCTCCCTCCTTTACAACCTGCAGCATGTACAACCCAGTCTCTGGGTCTTGGACACATCTCTCCAGGAGCTGCATATACGTCAGGTTCTCGTGGGTGTTGGGGTCGAAGAAGCCCTTGGTGTCATCACTGGGGTCGGAGAGGATCTGGTTCATCTCCTGGTCAAAGTAGCCACGCTTGTAGGCCACCTCCACGGGGACACGGTGGCTGTGCACGGGGTCGATGATGCCGCCGGTGGCGATCTGGGCCTCGAGCAGGCGGATGCCGTGGCTCTTCACAATCAGCCCTTGGTTCATGGCCTCAAACAGGGACATTGGGGCTTTGGTGTAGGGGTCAGTGTAGCCCGTCACGGCTCTCTCCGCACAGAGCAGCTTTTCAAAAATCTCCCCTCCAATCAGACCCACCTCTAACGCCTCCTCCACTGAAAACTTCTTGTTTTTCTCAGGATCGATGATGTAGCCAGTGGCTGCCTGTGCCTCCAGCAGCACCAGGGCGGTCCCTGGCCTCAGGATGCCCTTCCACATGGCCTGGTAGATGCTCATCTTCTCATTGCTTGGCTGGATAAGGACCCCTGCTATGAAATTGCTGCCCTCCAGGTACCTGCGGACAGACTCCATTTCAGTCACTTCTTTGACTGTTTTCTTCCCCTGGTTGAGCTCATCGAGGGTTTTTTTGTCGATCAGCTGGGACTGGAAGAGGTCACTGGCGGACACTCTTTTCCGCAGGCCCTTGAACTCAAATTTCTTGCCCCGTGCCTCAGTCTCTTGGATGATTGTGGTGATAATTGTTGTGATTTCCTGCAGCACTTCAGCCTTCTCATCTTTGTACTTTTGCACCAGCTCTCTTCTCTTGCTGTCTGAGAAGTATTCGGAGTTGAGGAGGTCCCAGACAGACACGGTCTGTCCCTTGAACCGCCCCACGTTGACACAAACAGTCACAGATTTTAGCACCTTCATAGTCTGCTCATCCACACAGAACATTGCGTTTTCTGACAGAGGGAGGAGCCACAGACCCGACTCAGCCTCACGAATGCACCGGTCCTTCAGCTGCTGGTAGGTCACGTTCTCCTTGGTGTTTGGGTCAAAAAAGGTCTTGGTGCTGTCATCCAGCTGTGAGAGGGTTTGGTTCAGGTCCTCGTCGAAGAAGCCGTACCTGCAGGCAGCCTGGAGCGGCAGGTGGAGGTGGTGGGTGGGATCGATGACCCCTCCCGTGGCCAGCTGGGCCTCCAGCAAGGGCACAGCCTCTGCCAGGGGGATGAGCTCCTTCCTGAGCGCTTGGCACAGGGAGATGGAGCCCCCGGTGTAGGGGTCTGTGTAGCCTGTCACAGCCCTCTCAGCCAGAAGGAGTTTCTCACTAAGCTCCTCTCCAACAACAGCTGCTCTCACAGCGTCCCTCACACTGAGCCTCCGGTTTGTGGCAGGGTCAGTCAGGTATCCTGTGGCTGCCTGAGCCTCCAGCAGCCTCAGAGCAACCCCAGGGAGGAGGAGATTGTTTTTCATGGCATCATAGATGCTCATCTTCTGTTTGGATGCCTCTATGAAGACCCCAGCTATGCTGCCCGTGCCCTTCAAGTACCTCTGTACACTCTCCATTGCAGCCACTTCTTCAGCAGTTCTTACACCCTGAGCCAGTTCTTCAAAAGTCTTCTGAGAAATTATGCCCGTGTCCAGCAGCCAGACCACAGGGACACTGCCCCTCAGGCCTTCCAGGGAGATCTGGGTCCTGGCTTTCATCTCCATCTCCCCCACCAGCCTGAGCACAAGAGCCACCAGCTGCTCCAGCGACAGCTCCTTCGACCGGAACTTCTCCGTGAAGTCGCTCCTCTGCTCCTCGGTGAAGTACCCCGAGTGCACGAGCTCCCAGAGGGAGACTCCTTTTTCCTTCACCATGGTTTCCTTGAAAATCCGTTGGATTTGCTCATCAGTGTAGGCAGGAGCAGCTGTCTGTGCCAGAGGCAGCAAGTGGAAGCCAGAGACGTCGTCCTTCTGGCAGTGCTGGATGAGCTCAGCGTAGGTCACACTCTCTTTGCTGTCCGGGAGGCAGAAGACTCTGTGGTCATCACTGGGCTTGGAAAGGGCCTTGCTTGTGTCCTCATCCAGGCAGCCTCGCTGCTGGGCTGACTCAAGGGGGATGTGGTGGCCACACGTTGGGTCAATGATGCCTCCTGTGGCCATCTGCACCTCCATGAGCTGCATGGCCTGCTTATCCGCGATCAGGCCCTTCTTCATCGCCTGGAAAAGGGGGATCTTCTTGCCCGTGAAAGGGTCTTTATAGCCCGTCACAGCCCCCTCCGCCTGCTGCAACTTCTCGTGGACGTCTGGCCCAATGACTCCCTCCTTGACGGCCTCATCCACACAGAGCTTTTGGTTGTTCACGGGGTCAATAATGAAGCCCGTGGCAGCCTGGGCCTCCAGCAGGGGCAGGGCCACTCCTGGCACCACGATGTTCTGCTTCATGGCCTCATAAATGCTCATCCTCTGGTTGGATGGCTGGAGCACAATGCCCCCAATGCTGCCCGAGCCATAGAGGTACTTCCTGACAGAGTCCATGTGCAGGACTTGTTCTGGGGTGACGGATCCCTCCAGCACCTGCTCCAACAGGGCCCTGTCGATGACACCCGTTTCCATCAGGTGATAAGCGCTGACGTTGCCTCTTATGGCCGGGAACTTGATGGGCGCCCATTTCTTCATCTCCTCCTCCAGCATGAGCCGGATTTGCTCCAGGCTGAGCTTCCTCAGCTGGAAGTGGTTGAAAATCTCCCGGCGCCTGCCCTCGCTGAAGTACTCGGAGTTCAGCAGGTCCCACACGGAGACCTTCTCCCCCCGCAAGCGCCCAAACCTGACGGGCAGCCAGGAGCTCCTGAACACCTGCCTGGTGGCCTCATCCACGAACTGCCGCTTCCTGCTGTTCAGAGGGAGGAGGCAGAGCCCCGTGGAGGGCTCGGTGATGCATTTCTCCTTCAGCTGCAGGTACGTCAGGTTCTCGTGGGTGTTGGGGTCGAAGAAGCCCTTGGTGTCGTCGCTGGGGTCAGACAGGATTAAATTCATCTTCTTGTCAAAGTAGCCTCGTTTGTAGGCCACCTCCACTGGGATGCGGTGGCTGTTGACGGGGTCGATGATACCACCGGTGGCGATCTGGGCCTCGAGCAGGCGGATGCCGTGATCCCTGACGATCAGATCCTTCTGCATGGCCTGGAAGAGGGAGATCTTAGCCCCTGAGTAAGGATCTCGGTAGCCAGTGACAGATTTCTCCGCAGCCAGCAGCTTGTCGTAGACATCCGGGCCAATGACGTTTGCCCGTAAAGCCTCATCCACGGAATACCTCTTGTTGGCAGCTGGGTCAATGACGAAGCCTGTGGCAGCCTGTGCCTCCAGGAGAATCAGAGACGTTCCCGGCCTGAGAAGTCCCTTCCGCTTTGCCTGGTAGATGCTGATCTTCTCCTGGGAGTCAGGGAGCAGCAGCCCCCCGATGCTTCCTGTGCCCTGCAGGTACTTCCTGACAGTGTCCATGCTGACCACTTCTTTGGCCGAAGTTTCTCCCTCCTTGAGTTTCTTGAACAAATCTTTGTTGATAATTTCTGAGCTCAGGAGCTGGTCAGCTGTCACCTGGTCCCTCAGACCCTTGAAGGTGACGTTAGCGGTGGCAGCCTTTTCCTCAACGGCGGCTCTGATGGCCTCTCCCAGTCCTGGCAGGGAGAGCATTCCTGCCAGGAACTGCTGAGCCAGCGCAGCTCTTTGCTCACCCTGGATATAGTCAGAGAAGAGCAGTTTCCACAGGGACACTGACTTGCCCTTGAATTTCCCCACAGCAACAGGCACCTGTGTGTTTTCCAGCGCTGTCTGGGTCTCGTGGTCAAAGAAGCCCTTGAGTGTCCCCTGGGGCCCTTTGCCGCCGTCCCCGGTGAGCGGCAGCAGCAGGAGCCCCGTGCTGGGGTCGGTGACGCAGCGCTGCAGCAGCTCAGCGTAGCTCAGCTTCTCCTTGGAGCCGGGGTCGAAGAACCCCTTCACCTCCTCGGGGGGGCTGGAGAGGAGCTCTCGGGTGGCCTCGTCCAGGTACCCCCACTCACAGGCTGTCTGCATGGGGACACGGAGGTGCCTGCCTGGGGCGATGACACCTCCCGTGGCCCCCTGAGCCTCCAGAAGGCAAAGGCCATGATCCCTGGGAACAAAGCCCTTCCTGATGGCTTGGAACAGGGAGAGCATTTCTCCGGTGGATGGGTCCCTGTAGCCAGTGATGGCTTTCTCAGCTGAAGACAGCTTCTCGTAAAGCTCTGGGCCAACGAGACCAACCCTGACAGCCTCATCCACTGAGTAGATTTTGTTCTTTAGGGGGTCTGTCAGGCTGCCGGTGGAGGCCTGGACTTGCAGGAGCATGAGAGCAGCACCAGGCACGAGGAGATGTTCCCTCAGTGCCTGGTAAAGGCTCTTCTGCTCCCCGGAAGGCAGAACGACACCAGCCACGCTCCGTGTCCCACGCAGGAAGTGCTGAACAATGTCATTCTCTGCCACCTCCTGGGCAGAGATTCTTCCCTCCTCGAGGCCTCTGAACACCTCAGAGCTGATGATGCCAGAGTCCATCAGGTCCCTGCTGCTCACCCTCCTCCCTCCCAGCCCCGGGAATGTGATTTGCAGCGGCAGGAGGAGGAAGCCTGAGGCTGGATCCACAACGCACCTCTTCCTCAGCTCCGAGTAAGTGACCCTCTCCAGAGTGCTGGGCTCAAGGAACACCTTGCTGTCCTCATTGCCGGGGTCGGAGGCGAGCTGGCTCATCTCTTCATCCAAATATCCCTTCTCACAGGCCACATCTGCCGGGAGCCGGCCGCCGGTGGCCGGGTCGATGATGCCTCCAGTCGCCATCTGGGCCTGGAGCAGGCGAACGCCCTGCTCCCTCCCCACCAGCTCCTTCTGGATCGCCTGGTAGAGGGAGATTTTCTCCTCTGTGTAGGGGTCCACAAAGCCAGTAGCAGCTCTGTCAGCTGAGAGCAGCCTCTCCTTCAGCTCCAGCCCCACCAGCCCCGTCCGCACGGCTTCTGCCACGGGGACGCGACAGCTCCTCAGCGGGTCAGAGATGGAGCCCGTGGCTGCCTGGGCCTCGAGGAGGCAGAGGGCCGAATCCAGGCTCAGCAGATGCTCTCTGGTGGCCTCATAGAAGCTCATTACCCTCTTTGAAGCCTCTATGTACACGCCTGCAATGCTGCCAGCTGTCTCTGAGGGCTCCCTGGGAGCATCCGGCCCCGCATCCCTGCCAGCTGCTTTTTGCTGTTTGCACGGCATCACGTCCTGGCACAAGTGGTTTTTCCCTGACACGTCTTCCCTGGGAGAGCTGGGAACAGCGTGACCATTCACTGCTGGCTTGCTCTCCATCGTCCTGCTGCACGCCTCTCACAGCTCTCAGGACTCTGCAGAGAGAGGGAAAGGTCAGTGGGAAATCAACTTCATGGTTTGCATGTTAAATACAGGGAAATCAGAAACATAAATATGCTCAGGCAGGAGGAAGTGACAGCCAGAGGCTGAGCATGCCCAAACCTGGTGTGCCATCCTGCGGGATCTGGCCAAACTCAAGGAGGCAGTGGATGAGAAGCCACATGCCCTGGCCACGTGCACTGCAACCCCCAAACTCCCTGTGCCCTGGGCTGATCCCCCAGTGCAGGCAGCTGGAAAGGAGGGGGGGATTCTGCCCCTGTGCTCAGGTGAGACCCCACCTGCAGAGCTGCATGAGCTGCTGGAGAGAGCCCAGAGGAATCCCGGAGCTGCTGCAGGGCTGGAGCCCCTCTGGAGCCAGGCTGAAGAGCTGGGGGTGCTCACCTGGAGAGGAAAAGGCTCCAGGGAGAGCTCAGAGGCCCTTGAAAGGCCTAAAGAGGCTCCAGGAGAGCTGGGAAGGACATGGGACAGGGGGCTGGAGTGACAGGCAAGGATGAATGGCTCCCCACTGCCAGAGGGCAGGGCTGGATGGGATTTTGGGAAGAAATCCTTCTCTGTGAGGGTGGTTTGGCCCTGGCACAGGGTGCCCAGAGAAGCTGTGGCTGCCCCTGGATCCCTGGAAGTTTTTCAGGCCAGGCTGGATGGGGCTTGGAAGGTCCCATGGAAGGTGTCCCTGCTCATGTCGCAGGGTGGGACTGGATGGGCTTGCACCCAAACCATTCCATGATTCTGTGATTCTGGGGGTGCTGGCATGCAGATCCACTGCTCCCACACGGCTGCTGCATGAACTCCCCCCTTGTCCTTCACTGTCCCCCCCTTGTCACCCTGTCCAAGCAAGGCGAGGAAGGCAGAGGCTCCATCTCAGTGTGCAGTGGTCACCAGGCCACCTCCAGGGCTACCTCAGGGTGAGATTGCACCTGGTCCAAACCTGCCCTCCTGCTTGCAAAGCTGTGGGATGCACTTGTGTCAGAGACTGAAAGAGTTAATGCCTCAAACACTGCTATAAAATTGTGCTCGTGAAGCCCACCCCTCCCTAAAGAATGCCTGACTGGAATTCGGACTGAAAGTGGAACTGCTGAGATTAGATAAAGGGAAACCCATTCCTGGGGGAGAAGTAAACAAGTAAACAACGAAAAGAATTTGAGCCAAACCCAGCAGACCCCTTTGCTGGGAGCAGGCTTGCACAGATTCCCCCGGCTGAGGTGGGGCGGGAAGTTTCGGTGTGTTGTCACCTCTGCTCGGGGCACCGAACCCATCCTCCCTTACACGAGCTGGCCCTGGAACTCCAGCCTGGGGAAGATCACATCCCTGGACATTCACGTCAGAGGCAGCTGAGGGGTGCCTTCCTCCACCAAAGACCCCCGAAGTGCCCCCAGAGTCATCCTGAAGCCTTGTGCCACAGGACTGCACACGACAAACCCGGAGTCTGGTGTAGGGGACAATGGCAAACCCCAGGGGGGGTTTCCTACCTGGCCTGAGCGTATTAACCCACCTGTGCTTTCCAGGGGGGCCTTCACCACCAAGACCAGCTGGAGGGGGGATCAACAGAGCACTGCTGGAACCCACAGATGGTGATGTTTTCTTTATTCTCTCTGTCACCCTTTTTTTTAGTTTCTATTTCTTCCCCCCCTCCCCACGCATGTTTACTGTCAGATAAAACCATAAAACCCACACTATTTACTTTGGCATAGTTTGCACCTTAATTCGGGCAGAGGCATTCCTAATAACCTCAATAACTGGATCCTGACCGCTTGGACCTGCCCCCGCGGCAGGCTGGAGGGTGCCCGTGGTGGAACACGGGCGTGCCGAGCTCCGCGGGCTGCGGTCAGCCACGGCCTCCGGGCTGTGTCCGCGGCTCACGGCGGCACAGGAGCATGCCCAAACCTGGTGTGCCATCCCTGGAGCATCCCTGCCGCAGCCCCCGCAGCGCCGGTGCCAGCACCCTGCGGGAGAACGTCCTGCAGCGGGGCTGGAGCGGTTGGAGGAGCGGGAGGGCAGGTGGGATGGCTGATTCCCTCCTGAACGCCATCCCCCAGGGCAGAGCCCCAGCCCCGGGGCCGAGCGGGGGCTCTCAGGGCTGGACTGGCCCCACAGCGGTGGGTGAGGCCACGGGCCAAGCGCCGGGTGCTGGGGGGGACCAAGGAGCCGCGCCTGCCCAAGCTCCTGCAGCCGAGCAGGGTGGTCACGGTGCTGCCCACCGGGATCGCGGGACCCGGCTGCAAGGACACGGCCAAGGCAGGGCTGCCTCGAGGTACCCACCACACAGAACCCCAGAGTTCTGTGCCACACTGACCCCCCCGCAGAGGTCACTTCGAATGGGGACAGCTGGAGCAGCTCTGTCTCATCGCCTGGAGCTCATCTCCTCCCCACCCGTGTAAACCAGCGCTGGCAGCGAAAAGCACCCTGAAGGTGCCGGCGGGTGCTGTGCCCGGGCTCTGCCCGTCCCAGGAGCAGCCTCTCCAGCGGGGCTCCGTGCACCCGGCTTGGTCCCCACGCGTGCCTCCAGCTCACTCCGTGCCCCTCGGCCACGCCAGCACCTTTTCCTCACGCGTGCTCCTCCGTCCCAGGCGTGCTCCGGGCTCGCTGCCCGGCCCGGGGAAAGGTCTCGACAGGAGCCGGCTCCCTCCGCCCGGTGATGTCAGCGCGGCTCGGATCTGCCCAGGCAATGCTGTTTGTGTTTGCAGGACCAGGATCGCGCCCGGCTCCGGCGCCAAGAGGCGGGGACGGCCGGGAGGCCCCGGGGCTGCGCCGGCCTCGGGAAGCACCGGAGAGGGCAGGAGGACCCGGGGGTCTCCGCCTGCGAGGCAGGGCGAGGGGTCCAGCTGCTGGCTGAGAGCCGGGACAGCTCCTGCGTGCTACAGCCAGCGGCTTCCCCAGCTCCTCTGTCCCACGGGCTCGCCCCGGCTGCCCACGCCCGCTCGGGCATCCCTGTGCCAGGCTCATGCAAAACACCTGCGGGGCTGGCAGCACCTCCCACCGGCCCCGCTCCTGCGGCCGGGAAAGCCGCGGCTGGCCCCGCAGCTCGCTCCTGGCCAGATGGCACCGGCTGTGCTGCCCTTGGAAGGAGCCGTGACCCACGTCCCGGTGGCAGCGCCGGTGCGGCTCCGGTGTCTGGAGAGCCCCCGGCAGGTCCCTGCACGCCCCAGAGCTGAGGCGGCCGCGGACACCCGCACCGGTGCGGCTGCAGCACCCGGACAGCCCCAGGCAGGTCCCCCCCGCATGTTCCCAGAACCGAACCGGCACCGGAGTGCAGATGGAATCTGGGCCACGGGGGTGGAAGTGCCACCCAAACCTGTGGGAGCTTGGGGAACCAAAGGGCCTGGGTGCTGCCCCCCGCCCCTCCCCGGGCAGGGGCAGGCGGGGGGCGCGCAGCAGGGGAAGGGCTCCGCTCCCTTTCGTCAAAAGGCGTCAGCCCCATCGGAAACTTTGAGTAACCGACTCTGCCGACGAAGGCAGCGAGATTCCTGGCAGAGGTGTTGGCACCTGCCACCCTCCCTCGGGCCACGGTCTCTCCCCGACGCGGGCAGCGCTCCCTGGCAGCCGCAGCCGCTGCTCCGTGGTTTTCGCTCTCGGCTGCGTCAGGGAACGCGCTGGCACCGGTGTGAGCCGCGGCCCCCGCACCCACGGGAGCCCCCGCACACCCACGGAGCCCCCGCGGGACAATCCGCACGCCTGCACCCGCGGGGAGCACCCGGAGACCGGCACCGGCTGCGGAGGAGGGGCTGCCGGGGGCCCCGGGGAGGGACTGGGAGAAGGGACAGGTTTTACTGGCAGAGTGCGGGACACGGTGTCGGGAGAGGGTGGCGGAGGAGTTGTTTGTTGGGGCAGGGACTGCAGAGCACTGGGAGAGGCTGGGGCTGGGGGTGGGAGCTTGGCGGGGCCGGGAGCGCCTGCAGGGTGGGGTCTGTGGGGCAGGCTGGGGGAGGGAGAGCAGCAGGGAATTTTCTGGGGCAGTGACGGAAGGTGATGGGAACAAGGAGAGCAGCCGGGGCGCGTTTTGGGGGGCCCTGCTCTGAGCGGGCTGGGGGCAGCTCAGCACCCCTCCCCGGCCAGTGCTGCCTGCCCGGCCGCCCTGGCACAGGGTCCTACCCACAGGGACAACCCCACCTCACCGGGTACCGTGGGAGGGTGCTGCCAGTCCTCCTGCCCTGTGCCAATACCCGCCCTCTCCTCAGCACCCGCCGAGCCCGCCCGTGCCATCGGAGCTTCGAGGCATCACGGGCTTTTCCCGGGAGCCATCACCGGCTTTTCCCGGGAGCCATCACCTCCTGTCCTGCTCCTGGGACGTGCCGGGGTCAGGGACCGCCATCCTCCCGCCGTGCCCCAGGGCGATCGGTGGCGCCCAGGGTGCCACAGCCCCGTGCGGCTGCTGCTCCGCACCCGCGGTGCCACCCCGGCACCGGGAGCGCTGCCGCATTCCTGCCGTTCCGGGGATTGCCTCCGTGCCCTGCAGCCCCGGCACGGCCCGCAGTGCCCAGCCAGGGCCCTCTCCGCCCGAATCTCCTACCTGTGCACGGCGCTCACACCACGGGCTCCCCTGGCAGGTGCCTGGCGTTCCACGGCTTTGCCGCTGCTTCCTGCCCGGGACCAGAGCACCTTTAAAACCTGGCCCTTCCCCGCCCCTGAGGATGACACACCGGCCCAGCCCTTGCAGAAACTCGCGGGCCAGCCCTCCCCACGGCTCCCTCTGGGAGCTGGGGTCCCTCCTTGCAGGGGTTCACTGGTCCCAGAACGGCTGGGGTGCAGGAGGTGGCCCTGTCCTGGTGGTCCTCATCCTCTGCAGAGGAGGTGAGAGCAAAGGGCAGAGACCTTCCACCCCAGGGTCAGCACTGCCTCCATGCCCAGCAGCTCCTCATCATTCTCTCCATCACCCCCTGAACTCTCCCTGCTGCCACAGTGCCCCTGTGCCTCGTTGCAGGGCTGGAGCCCAGGCTGCAGGTGCAGGGCTGGTGGAACCCAGTGTAGGCCAAGCCCTGGCACCACAGCAGATGGGGTAGAGAGGGGGACCCTTCCCTGCTTCCCCCAGTCTTGCCCACGCCCCTGTGTGCGCATAAAGCCTGAATTGCCCAAAACATGCCCAAACCATCCTGTTGCTGCTTGAGTCACCCAAACATCCCTGCCCTGCCTCCGTCACCAGCTCCACACCCTCTCTCCAGACCCTGCAGCCAGCCCCACACGCTGCTCCCACTGCCCCCTGAGCACCCTGAGCCCCCTCCCCAGTGCCACAGGTGCTCGGTGGGCCCTGTAAGAGCAGCGGGTACCTCACAGGGCGATGAGGCCTCTGTGGCCACTGGGGCAGGGGGGCTGTGCCACAGCCTCCTTGGTACCACCCTGCAGGGCGAGGTGCTGCGGGAAGGATGCGGCGCTTGGGCAAGATGTTTACAGCGCGTGGGAGTGTGTTGTCTGGAGAGGTGCCGGTATCCAGGCACGGGCTGGCTGCCGAGCCCACGGGCACGGGCCAGCGGGCACAAAGCCCTGGTGCCCGCCGTGGGCACGGGCAGTCCTGGCACCGGTGGTGCACCCCGGTGCAGGGATATTGCCATTGGAATGGCAAACACCTGGGCAGGGTGGCCCCCCTGTGCCTGCTGCTTGGGCAGTCACACTGGTGGTCCAGAAGGGCAGAGGGACCTGGGCAGGGTCACCTGGAGCACCCAGAGCTGCAGATCCAAGAGACGCTCTGGCTGGCACAGTGCCCTGGACCCCATCAGTGGGGTGATGTCTGAACAGGGGCAGCCCCAGTGGGGCCAGTGACAGGGCCAGGGGCCGCATCCTCCCTGGCAGGGGGTGGCTGCAGTCCCCAGAATCACAGAATAATGCCCTCCCCGCTCCTGCAGGGATGGCAGCTGTGTCCCAGAAACCGGCACAAGTTTCTGCCAGCTGCCCAGGCGCCAGCGGAGGTGTCGCTCACAGGAGGCACTAAGAGCCTTAATCCATCAGCAAACAGGGATGAGCACTGATGACACCACGGAGAACTCGGCGCCACAGAAGTTTTTGCTGCGTCTCGGCAGCTCCTGTGAACCACGCTGGGCGTGCAGAGAGCCCCGGGGCTGCAGTGGCACCAGCATGGGCATGGTGGCCAGTGACCGGACAGTGGGCACGGCCGATGGGGCACGGCCGATGGGGCACGGCCGATGGGGGCACGCTGATGGGCCCACGGCCTCCCTGCTGGGCTGCTGGGACAGGCGGGAGGGGATCTCAGGTCCCTGCTGGGGCAGCAGAGCTCTGCAAACAGGACCCAGGGTACTGAGCTGGGCTGTACTGGGTTGTTCTGGGCCATGCTGAGCCAGGGCAGGGCAGCTGTTGCTGCCCGAGGGACACGAAGGGGTTCTGGTGTTAATTAGCCGTAATGAGCAGCTGCGATTTGGGCAGATCCAACCAAAGCACGCGCGGCTTCATCAAAGCTCCTTTGCTGCCAACGAGGAGAGACCAGCCTGGGCACCTCTCCCCTGCCCGTGGGCAGCTGCAGCTCCCAGAGCCTCGGTGACACCCCTGCCATGCCAGCCAGGCTGCGGGGCCACAGGGCCACTGGCTGTGGGGAAGGGGAGCCCAGAGGCGCTGGGATATGGTCACACAGTTGTCCTCCAGCAGAAACCCCACGTGGGTGGCTTGGTGGCCAGCCAAGGTGGGTGTCATGGGCACGCTGGCAGAGTTGCCATGCCCGGCTGCCGGCAGGGGCTGTGGGGAGGGTGCTGGATCCCAGCGGGAGCGGTGGGAGCTTGGGCTGAGCCAGCAGAGCCAGTCAGGGGTCCCAGCAGTGGTCACTCCACCCACCACAAACCGCTGCCACTGGCTGAGCTCCCGCACACAGGGACATCCCACCAGTGCCTCCAGCACAGCCCCTGGTGCTCAAGCACAGCTGAGCTCAGGCGCTCACACGCATTCGCCGTGGGAATGGCTCCTCACACTCACACGTGTGCTTGGACACGGGCTGGCCCCAGCCCGGAACCAGAGCTGGTGTTGACGCCAACCCACGCGGCACCAAGGCCTCCAGCCCTGCCAGCCTCCATTGCCAACGTGCCATCGCCTCCAGCCCCGCCGATGTCCCAGCCCTGTGCCTGGATGGTGGCTTCCGTGGGGCAGGATGGGGGTCCGGAGGGCTCCAGGCTCTCGTCCCCTCCCCAGCCGCACTATGTGCTGGAAAAGGCTTGGCTGGGTGCAAGCGGCCGGCAGGAGAGCCCGGTGCCTGCAGGTGGGAGATGGAGCAGCCTGGGACACAGCTGGGCTGAGGAAAAGCCAGGAGCAGAGCGGCACAAGCTGGGCTGTGCCTCCCAGGGCTGGCAGAGCCACCCTGGCACCGGTTCTCTTCACACCCCAGAGAGAGGAGAGGAGGGGTCTGGTGGGGCTTGAGTGCTCTCCTCTTTGCCAATCCTCAGCCCTGGGGCACAGCCTCTCACCTGCACCAGGCTTGGCTGGGTGGGAGGATGCGAGGGGCTCCAGCCAGGTCCGGGGTGGCTGTGTGGGGTGTGTGGAATGGGACATCAGGTGGGCCACGTCGCCCTGCCAGGGTTTCCACAGCCAGGGTGAGTGCTGGGGTGGTTGGGCAACAGGGCAGCACCCGCCTCTGGTTCCCCACGCTGCGGTCAGCCAGCTCTGGGACAGCTGCTCTGACCCATGAGCGGGGCTGTGGGACTCGGGGAGGGCTCAGGGGCTCACGGCTGGTGGTGCCACCTGGGGCTGGTGGTCACACCTGGGGCTGGTGGTGCCACCTGGGGCTGCTGGTGCCACCTGGGGCTGCTGGTCCCACCTTGGGCTGGTGGTGCCACCTGGGGCTGGTGGTCACACCTTGGGCTGGTGGTCCCACGTGGGGCCAAGCCTCCAGCCCCACTTCCCACTGCTGCCACCCGCTCGCAGGCTGCCCTGGCACTGCGATCACTCAAACCCGGCCCGTCCTGCGGACACCAACCCCAGAGAGCCATGAAGGCTCTCCCAGGACATCCCCGCTCCCCACCTCATCTCCCTGAGGATGGTGAAGTTCCAGTGGGTGAAGTTCCCATGTGCCCATTCCCGTGCTCCGCATGGGTGTGTCTGTATTGCGTCGCTGCCAGCCTCGCTGGCAACTAACAACTGCTCGTGTCTCTTGCCCAGGGGCTGCGCCGCAGCGAAAACACAAAAGAGTTTGGTGTGGGCCCAGCCACGCCGTGCCTGCTGTCTCTGCTTCCCAAGCCAGCAGCGTTGCCTGGGGCTCGGGATGTGGCTGACACAAGCCGCGGTGCCGGTGATGCCGGTGGTGCCAGGCACGTTGCCCCAGCTGGGAGTGGTGGGTGAGATTTCCATAGGCGCAGGAATGTGCAGCGCAACTCGCGCTGGCGGGTCCAGCCCGGGACGTGTTGGCAGATGTGCCACCGAGAGCCCTGTGCCCAGCCCTGCTCCTGGGGGGCTGCGGCAGGGCCGGGCGAGGGGTCCTGACCTGTGCCAGGGCATTCATGGAGCTCCAGTGATGTGCCCAGCACAGGCACAGTTCCAGTCCTGCACACTTTGGCTCTGTGCTTATTCAAAGAAGAAATGGTGGAGGGAGGGTTTTAGGGTGAAACAGTGCAAAAACAGAGCTGGAAGCCATGAGGACATGGCCAGGTGACCGAGAGGACCGGGACTGGGAGGGGACAGCCAGGCAGTGCTGGTTGGTGGGGGATCAAAGAGAACAACCACAGCCCTCATGTGCGGGGTCTGGGACTCCCCCAAGGCGGGGAGATGCCAGGCTGGGGTTGTGCTGCAGTGTCCCCCATGCTCCCCTCTAGGAGTGGGGAACAACCAGTGCCCCCAGACACCCCATCCCATCCTGACAGGCAGCTGGGCCCATCCCAGCTGGGACAGGACATGCAGGTGGTGGATGCACAGCTGCCAGGACCGTGCTGGCCGGGGACCACGCGGACATCCCGGTGCCCTCAGGGCTGCAGCCAGCACCCAGGGACACGGATCTGGCCTCTCCCCGTGCTGCCCACGGTGGGCGCTGGTGCCAGGCACAGCAGGAATGGCAGCAATGCCTTCCTTGGAAAGGAGGGGATGCGGCACGGTGCCCGCTGGCACCGCTGCAGCGCCTGGGGCTCGCCAGCTGCGGCTGCGGAGCCGGGCGGCTCTGCTGGTGGCACCGGCTGGGGCACACCCGGCCATGCCCAGCCACCGTGTGCCACCGCGCTGCTGTGCCCCTGCTGTGTGATGGGACACCCCTGCCCTGGCAGCACGAGGGGATGGACAGACTGACGGACTGCAGTCCCTTGTCCAGAGGAGATGGACAGACTGACAGAGTGCAGCCCCTTGTCCAGAGGAGATGGACAGACTGACGGACTGCAGCCCCTTGTCCTGAGGAGATGGACAGACTGACGGACTGCAGCCCCTTGTCCAGAGGAGATGGACAGACTGACAGACTGACGGAATGCAGCCCCTTGTCCTGAGCAGATGGACAGACTGACAGACTGATGGACTGCAACCCCTTGTCCTGAGCACACAGACAGACTGATGGACTGCAGCTCCTTGTCCTGAGGAGATGGACAGACTGACAGACTGACGGACTGCAGCCCCTTGTCCTGAGCACACAGACAGACTGACGGACTGCAGCCCCTTGTCCTGAGCACACAGACAGACAGACTGATGGACTGCAGCCCCTTGTCCTTAACACACAGACAGACTGACAGACTGCTGCAGCCCCTTGTCCTGAGCACACAGACTGACAGACTGACAGACTGCAGCCCCTTGTCCAGAGGAGATGGACAGACTGACAGACTGCAGCCCCTTGTCCTGAGCACACAGACAGACAGACAGACTGACGGACTGCTGCAGCCCCTTGTCCTGAGCACACAGACAGACTGACAGACTGATGGACTGCAGCCCCTTGTCCTGAGCACAGACAGACTGACGGACTGCAGCCCCTTGTCCAGAGGAGATGGACAGACTGACAGACTGCAGGTCCCCATCCTGGGAATGGGATGAGCACACAAGTCCGACAGAACGCATCCTCCCGCCCTGAGCAGACAGACAGACCGACGGACCCCTGCTTTGGCAGAGGGGCAAGGAGGCAGACGGGTGGCCTCCCTGAGCAGACGGACAGACAGACGGGTGCTCATAGAAAAAGGAACCTCACTACAGTTTATTGTGGCGGCGGGTGGGCCCGGCCGGGGTTACATTCAGCGCTACTGCTGTCCGGTTAGCGGGGTGGCACGGTGGCACGAGCATGCGGCGGCGGGGCGGGGGTCCCGCTGCCCGCCGGTGCCCCGGCAGGACGGGACTGCAGCGCCGGGGACCCCTGCCCGTGGCGGCCCCGGCCCCACCGGGACAGGGGGCGGCCAGAACCGGGGGCCCGGCGCTCGCACCGCCGGCCGAGGGGTGAGGGTTAGCACCAGAAACGGGGCTCGGCGTCCGGCCAGGGCTCCCGGTGCACGGGTACCGAGCCCGGCCACGTCCCGCCGGGGCATGGGAGGCACGATGGGGACCCGGTCAGCAGCGCCGAGCGCCGGGGGTACCGCAGCCACGCCGAGCTGGCGGCACGGGAGAAGGGTGCCCGGCTGGTCCCACAGCCCCGGGCGCTCGGAGCGGGGCACCGGGGCTCAGACCTGCCCGCTGGAGCCGCGGGGCGGGAGACCAGAGCCCGGGGGCTCGGTGAGCGTCGGGAGACAGTTGCATATCCTCTGGAACGGGCCCCGGCGGGATCGGTGACGGGCGTGCAGCTCAGCCCCGCTCGGGGGGCCGCAGCGCCGGGCCGGAGACCCGCGGGGGGCGCGGCCGCGGCTTCGCCGTCCTCCGGCCCCGTGGAGGAGGGTCCTGAGTGGGGCCGGCCGAGGGTGCTGGGCGCAGGGCGGGCGCGGGGGTCAGCGGCAGGGGCTGCAGCGCTCCGGAGGGGACCCTTCGGGCGGCTCTGCGAGGGCACGGAGGGGCTGGAGCACGGAGCTCTCCTGCGCCCGGCCGGGGGGACATCCTGCGCCCGGCTCCCCTGCGCCCCCCAGCCCCACGGAGCTCACCTGGGGGTGCCACAGCCAGGCTCTCCTCAGCCGCGCTGAACTGCAGCTCGGCTCCGTCGGGCAGTCCCGAGCCCCGGGAGCGCGGACACCGGTCCCCGGAGCGCGTCCTCCGCAGCACCGACTGCGGGGGGAGAGGGTCAGTGCCCGCCGTGGGTGGGCTGGGGGCGTCGGGACTTCACGGGGGGCTCCGCGACCCTCACCTTCCTGGCCAGGGGGCTGCTGGGGGCCGAGGCGCTGCTGTAGAGGCTGAGACTGGAGTTGGAGCGGCTCGGGGACAGCACTTTGGAGGAGGAGGCCGACTGGTTCCCGGCACACCTGGCGGCGGCTCCGAAGACGTCTGAGGACAGGTACTTCTCGTTGATCTTCAGGTTGGTCCTTCCCTTCACTGGGGACAACGGAGGGGGCGAGTGAGGGGGTCCCAGCAGTGCCAGACCCTGGGGAGTGTGCTAAGCTGCGCTCCCCATGGCCCCCCCCTGACCCGCATGGCCCTGCAGGACCCGTGCCAGGCACGAGTGGCCGGTGTGGGATGCCCACACCCACCTCTGCAGGGGTCGTTCTTCACCAGGAACTCGTCCAGGGCGATCCAGCCCCCACCCACCCTCACCATGAGGGTGCTGCGCAGGATCCGCACCATCCGCAGCTGCTGGGACTCCCCGAACTGCAGCGAGAGGGACGTTGGGGCAGGGTGGGGGCTTTGCCAGGGCTAGGTGCTGGCAAGGGGTGCCAGAGAAGGTGGCAGCACCCAGACCTGCCCCTCCCTGCGGCCCCTCCGGCCCCACTGGCACTGCCTCCCGCAGGGGCCAGGGCTCCTCGGGGCAGGGGGATGTGCCCCCTCCCTGCCCCGGCACACAGGCACTGCAGGACCCCTGCACGGGACGGGTGTCAGAGCAAGCCAGAGCCCGGCCCGGCACTTACCCGGTACCTGTTGGCGCTGATCTGCTCCACCTGGAAGCGCTTGGCGCAGTTGCACTGGGCCACTTGCCTGTTCACCTGCGGGGGCACGCTTAGCTCAGCCCCAAGAGGGACCCCCATCCTTCCAGCTGCCCCCCACACCGCTGCCCGGCCCCACACCTCGTCCTGGATCTGATCGGCGTCGGCGGAGCGGCGCAGCGGGTCCCGGTTGGGGTGCAGAGCGCTGACAAACTCGTAGTAGTCGATGAAGCCGTCACCGTTCATGTCGAAGATGGTGGCCACGGCATTCATCTCCAGGATGTTGGTGGGGAACTCTGTGGGGGGACCGGGACCGTCAGCCCCCCCCAGTGCCAGCCCCCTCAGCCTCCTCCAGGCCCCCCAACACCCACTGGAGGCAAGGACGCTCTCGATGAATTCCCGCTGGCTGATGCGCCCGTCCTGGTCCCTGTCGATGCCGCGGAAAATGTCCAGGACGCGAGACTTCATCTGGCTGATCCACTGCATGTAGCGCTTCCTCCAGACCCCAAAGTCAAAGTGCGCAAACTCCTCCAGCTTGGAGGGGCACACACACGGGGGTGAACACGGCAGCAGGGCCCCTCGTGCCCCCCAGCCCGGTTCACCACGCCGTGCCCACGCTCAGCCTCAGTTGTGCAGCCTGGCCGCTCCCAGCCCTGGCTCTGCCAAGGCTGCAAGGGGGCGGTTTCTGCCCAGGACCCCCGACTCTGTGGTGCATGGGGGTCCCTGGGCTCCTCTGGGATGTCAGGGTGAACCCATGGGGCGTGCTGGGACCCCCGCAGCAGGGACAGGCTCTGGGGCTGCCGGCCCCATCTGCATCTGACCTGGCCGGGGGGGCCATGGGCAGAAGATGAGAGGAATTACTCAGGACCCCCAGGGCAGCGGGACCCCGGGGTGCCACCCCTACCTCCCGCAGGTGCTGCAGGGCCATCTCCAGCCGGTACTGCCGGTCCAGGGCCAGCAGCCAGAGCTGCTGCCAGCGGTGCAGGAGCTGGGCCATCAGGGGCGTCTGGGGCTCCAGCCCCCCGAGCGGCACCGCCGCCGTGCCCTGCGCCTTCCCGCTGCTGCGGCGACCTGCGGAGAGGGGGATGAGGGGCGGCCGGGGGTCCGGGGCGTGTGAGGGGCGATGATGGGGTTCCTTACGTGTGGCCAGCCGGCGGGTGGCCGGAGGGACCAGATCCACCGCCAGCTTCCGCTTGCAGCTCTTGGTCACCTTCTCCACGTCAGGCTGCTTGCGGTTCAGCTCCTCCATGAACACCTGCAGCGGAGCAGAGGCGCTGAGCGCAGGCCGGTGCAGCCCCCCGAGCTCCACATCCCCTCTGTGCTCCCCAGCCCCTCCATTCTCCACAGCCCCTCCATTCTCCACAGCCCTCCCTATGCTCCAAATCCCACCCCCGTACTCTACAGCCCCCCCGTGCTCCACAGCCCCTCTGTGCTCCACATCCCCTCCGTTCTCTACAGCCCCCCGTGCTCCACAGCCCCACCCGTGCTCCATATCCCCTCTGTGCTCCACAGACCCCCGTGTTCCACATCCCCTCCGTGCTCCACAGACCCCCGTGTTCCACATCCCCTGCGTTCACCACATCCCTCCCTGTGCTCCACACCCCCTCCGTGTTCCACACCCCCTCGGTGCTCCACAGCCCCACCCGTGCTCCATATCCCCCCTGTGCTCCACAGACCCCGTGTTCCACATCCCTCCCTGTGCTCCACATCCCTCCCTGTGCTCCACACCCCCTCCGTGTTCCACACCCCCTCGGTGCTCCACAGCCCCACCCGTGCTCCATATCCCCCCTGTGCTCCACAGACCCCGTGTTCCACATCCCTCCCTGTGTTCCACATCCCTCCCTGTGCTCCACAGCCCCCCCGTTCTCCACACCCCCCTGCTCCCCAGCCCCGGGGACTGCAGACCCGCTGTCCCCTCCCGAACCAGCACACACGGTGGGCTTGGACAGCACAATTGGAAAGCGAGCCCCACCCACGAGCCCAGCGCTCCCCAGAGCCCCCCGGTCCGGCCAGGGGCTGGCCCGGGGCTGCGCGGGGTGTGCCAGGGGCACAGGGAGAGCCGGGCTGGGGGTCCCTCACCGCGTGCTGGGCGCTGAGCTCCTCCAGCGGCTCGGCCTCCTCTGGCAGCGGCTCCTGGTCCCGCAGCCCCAGCGCCTCCTCGGCCGCCGTGATCCAGTCCAGCAGCTGCTCCGTCTCCTCCCGCTCGGCCGCCAGCGCGGCCGCCTGTGCCCGCAGCCGCTCGCCCTGCTGCTGTGCCCAGCTCAGCACCTGCGGGGCAGCACGGCCCGTGGGGCACGGGGATGTCACCCCACTGCAGACCCCAATGCCACCGGGCCATTGCTTTGGGGGAACGAGTCAGCACTGGGAGCCAGGGGGCAGTGGGGGGCACGGGGATGTCACCCCACTGCGGACCCCAATGCCACCGGGCCATCGCTTTGGGGGAACAAGTCAGCACTGGGAGCCAGGGGGCAGTGGGGGGCACAGGGATGTCACCCCACTGCGGACCCCAATGCCACAGGGCCATCGCTTTGGGGGGAGCAAATCAGCACCGGGAGCCAGGGGGTATAGGGCATGGTGGGCACAGGGATGTCACCCCACTGCGGACCCCAGTGCCACCAGGCCATTCTTTGGGGGAACGAGTCAGGACTGGGAGCTGCAGACAGCCCGGCCGTGGGACAGGCTCAGGGACCCCCAGCAACACCCCAGTGACAATGGGGCAGGGACTGGGGAGTCCAGAGCCCACCACGACTGTGGGGCAGGCACATGGACCCCTGGCCAGCAGCTGCAGTGAATGTAGGGCAGGGACACGGGGCAGGGGCACGGGGCAGGGGCACGGGGCAGGGGCACGGGGCAGGGACACGGGGTAGGGACACGGGGCAGGGACACGGGGCAGGGACATGGGGCAGGGACACGGGGTAGGGACACGGGGCAGGGACACGGGGCAGGGACATGGGGCAGCACCAGGCTCCTGCTGGGCAGCTGGGGCAGGGCTGGGGGTGCTGCCCCAATTGCTGAGGGTCCCCACGGCTGTGCTGTGTGGACACGATGGCTGCTGCCCCATTTTGGGGTGAGTGGGGTGAGGGTGGGCAGCCCCAGGGCAGATCCTGCAGGTCTCTGCTCAATGAGGGCTTTGTGTGGGATGGGCTGAACTTGCCAGACCAGTCCCAGGAATGCCAGGAGCCTCTTAGCTGTGAATCCTGAGCAACCCAGGGAGGCTCTGGGCCACTGTGGGAGCATGGTCTGGGTGAGGGTCCCTAGGACACTGCTCCCAGGTTTCCCTGCCTGGGCTGTGTGGTGGCTGCCATTGCACAGGAATGAGCCACCACCATCCAAGGGGGCTGCGGAGACCCCAGGTGACCCCGTGAGGCCACAGGATGGGGGAGCAGGGGGTGACACTGGCAAGGCCAAGACCCTCTAGGGCTGAGCACCCCCAGATCCTGCAATGCTCTGGCTGGGGGGGCTGCACCTGGCAGTCCCTGGTGGTAGGAGAGGTGTGGGGTTGTGGGACAGGTATGGGGCCGTGCTTCCCCCACGTGCAGGTGCCACTCTGCTCCCCCGGGCAGGGATGGGAACGGGGCACCTGTCTCATCTCACCTCCTGGAAGCGGCTCTTGGCGACAGTGACCCAGGATTTGATGGTGATGATGGAGTCGGGGTGGCAGGTGGTGAGGATCTCCTCCCCCAGCGAGGTGATGCACTCCAGCTCCAGCTGCTGGCACTGCAAGGACTGCATCAGCTCCTGGGGGGACAAGGACCACGGCACTGTCAGGTCTCAGCCCTCCACACACCATCGCACCCTCCTGCAGCACAGGGACTGCTGGATGGGGGTGGCGGTGCCCAAATCTCCCCACCTCAGGGCATTGGGGGCCCCAAACCCCGTGCTCTTGGCGCGGTGGCACTCAACATCCTGAACCCCTCAGTGGTGGCACCCAGCATCCCACGTGTGCCCACCACAGCCCAGCAGGGGCCGGCTGACCCCAGATGGAGGTCCTGGGGCAAAGCTGGAGCCAACCTTTGGTGGGGGCTGGCGGGGGCTGGCACCCACCTGCAGCTGGGCCTGGCACTCCTGCACAGCCGCCTCCTCCTCGGGGAACACTCCGTACTTGAGGGTCTTCTCCGACTCGGTCAGGCGCCCCAGGAAGGAGTGCACCAGCGTGTGGAACTCCTCCGCCTGCCAGCACAGTGGGGACCTGCTCAGCACCCACATTGCAGCCCCAGCTCCCAGCCCCTGAGCCCCCAGCCCCTGAGCCCCCAGCCCCTGAGCCTCCAGCCCCTGAATGTCCCGGGCAGACCCTGAGCCCTGCTGGGTGGGCAAGGCCCTGGCACAAGGGAGAGCTGCCAGCCCCGCTCCAACCCCACGGGGGGATCGAGGGGAGACCCCTCACCCAGCTCTACTAAGAGTGAGAATCCAACAAGGCAGAAATCCATTTGGATTTAGGTGAAATCTGCTGCTTTGAGCTTGCTAGCATAAGTAAAATACGCTGTTTAGTCTGGTAACTTTGCAACACTGGTAAAACTGCCCCAGCTGAGGAGAAAGAATGCAAATTCCCAAGCTGAAGAGAGAAAAGATAAGAAAGACTCCTCGAATCTTGAAACAGATAAAGCAAAGTGACCCAGGTGTTCTTTCTATACTTTCTGACAAAAAACTGAGTACAAGTGTAACTAGCTGTAAGTGTAACACAAAATCAGCAGAATGAATATGCATAAAGCTATTGTGACATTCGATACATATGTAAATTAGTAAGGAGTAATATGAAAATATCAGGAGTCCTCAGGGGCACGCATGTCCTTTGAAGGGGAACGATCCCTCACATGCTGTGACAAACACAGCGTCCCTACAGATCTTTATAGGAATTGTGGGGTTTTGGTTTTTCATCCACGTTTCACTACACCAGGACCCAATTTCCTCTGACCCTCCGGTACCTCCCTGTGCCACCCAGCCACCCGCCCCGGGCGCTCTGCACGGACTCACACCTGTAACAGGCACCCAGCCTGGCACCTGGCCACGGCACCTTGTGACAGAACCCCACAGCCCCACGCAGCCCCACACCCCGAGCCCAGGCACCCCACAGAGAGCCCCAAACCACCCAGGTAGCCCAGGAGCAAACCCCAAATGTACAGCCACCCGCCAAGCCTGGGCAGCCCATGGAGCACCCTGGAAGTGTCACAGCCACCCACAGAGCACCCCCAAAGCACAGCCACCCACCACCTGTGAACCCCCCAAAGCACAGCCACCCACAGAGCACCCCCAAAGCACAGCCACCCACCACCTGAGCACCCCCCAAAGCACAGCAACCCACAGAGCACCCCCCAAAACACAGCCACCCACCACCTGAGCACCCCCAAAGCACAGCCACCCACAGAGCACCCCCAAAACACAGCCACCCACCACCCGAGCACCCCACAGAGCACCCCCCAAAGCATGGCCACCCCCCAGCCAAGCACCCCACACAGCACCCCACACAACACGGCCACCCACCACCCCACAGAGACCCCCCAAAACACGGCCACCCCCCAGCCGAGCACCCCACATCCCCACGTGCATCTCAGCCTCCCGACACGGGTGGTCCAGCTGCAGACCCCAAACCGGGGATCCCCTGCTGCAAACCCCAGCCCGGGGCTCCCCTGCTGCAGACCCCGACCCAGGGATTCCCCTGCTGCAGACCCCGACCCAGGGGTTCCCCGGCTGCAGACCCCAGCCTGGGGACTCCCTGGCTGCCCCCCCAGCCCAGCCCAGCCCAGCCGAGCCCTCACCTGCCGCAGCGCAGCCTCCAGCCGGGCCTGCTTGGACAGGGAGAGTTTGCAGACCAGGTCCCAGCGGGTGCTGAGCTCCTCCACCTGCCGCTGCAGCCACTGCGAGTCCACGCTGCTGCTGCCGCGCGTCAGGTCCCGCACCGAGCGCTTCAGCGTCTTGATGCAGCTGGCACGCTTGCCCAGCTCCTTCTGGAACACCTGGCAGGGAGGGCAGGAGGGTGGGACAGGGACCCCACGGCTGTGCGGGGCTCCCCTGCACCCCAAACCCTTCAGAAATGGGCACAGGGCTCTCCTGCACCCCAAACCCTCACAGCAGTGGGCACAGGGTTGCCCTGCACCCCAAACCCTCACAGAAGTAGGCACAGAGTTCCTGTGCACCCCAAACCCTCACAGCAGTGGGCACAGGGCTCTCCTGCACCCCAAACCCTCACAGCAGTGGGCACAGGGCTCTCCTGCACCCCAAACCCTCACAGCTGTGGGCACAGGGCTCCTGTGCACCCCAAACCCTCACAGCAGTGGGCACAGGGCTCTCCTGCACCACCCCAAACCCTCACAGCTGTGGGCACAGGGTTCCTGTGCACCCCAAACCCTCACAGCAGTGGGTACAGGATTCCTGTGCACCCCAAACCCTCACAGCAGTGAGCACAGGGTTCCTGTGCACCCCAAACCCTCACAGCAGTGGGTACAGGGTTGCCCTGCACCCCAAACCCTCGCAGAAGTTGGCACAGGGTTCCTGTGCACCCCAAACCCTCACAGAAGTTGGCACAGGGTTCCTGTGCACCCCAAACCCTCACAGAGGTGGGTACAGGGCTCCTGTGCACCCCAAACCCTCACAGCAATGAGCACAGGGTTCCTGTGCACCCCAAACCCTCACAGCAGTGGGCACAGGGTTCCTGCACCACCCCAAACCCTCACGGCAGTGGGCACAGGGTTCCTGTGTGCCCCAAACCCTCACAGCAATGAGCACAGGGTTCCTGTGCACCCCAAACCCTCACAGCAGTGGGCACAGGGTTCCTGCACCACCCCAAACCCTCACAGCAGTGGGCACAGGGTTCCTGTGTACCCCAAACCCTCACAGCAGTGGGCACAGGGCTCTCCTGCACCCCAAACCCTTCCCATCTCTGGGGCAGGTGGGACCCCCAGTACCAGGTGAGGGGCACCAGCTGGGGTCACCCCAGTGGGCAATGCCCCATCCTGCCCCAGAGACAGGGAGGGAGGGCACTGCCCGCGGTTTCCTGGGGTCTGGCAGGCCCCGGGCACTCACCTTGTGCTTGTCCACGAGGTCCCCGACCAGGTCGCGGTCCCCTCCGACGGGCACGTCCTCGCTGAGCTGCGGCTCGGCGCGGTACAGCCAGTCCATGAGCGCCTGCAGCGCGTCCGTGAACTTGCCCGAGAAGAGCAGGCTCTCCTCCAGCTTGTGCTGCCTGCCGGGCACGGGACACGCTGCAGCAGCCGCCATGGGTCACCCATGGGGACACCCTATGGGGCCACCCCATGGAGACACCCCATGGAGGCACCCTATGGGACCATCCCATAGAGCCACCCCATGGAGACACCCCATGGGTCACCCTATGGAGGCACCCTATGGGATCATCCCATGGAGGCACCCTATGGGATCATCCCACGAGCCACCCCATGGAGACACCCCATGGAGCCACCCCATGGAGACACCCCATGGAGGCACCCTATGGGACCATCCCATAGAGCCACCCCATGGAGACACCCCATGGGTCACCCTATGGAGGCACCCTATGGGATCATCCCATGGAGGCACCCTATGGGATCATCCCATGGAGCCACCCCATAGAGCCACCCCATGGAGGCACCCCATGGGTCACCCTATGGAGGCACCCTATGGGATCACCCCATGGGTTACCCATGGGGCCACCCTATGGAGGCACCCTATGGGATCATCCCATGGAGCCACCCCATAGAGCTGGCAGTGCCATTATGGACATGGATGGGTCCTGGCAGTGCCATTTTGACTGGGACAGGTCCTGGCAGTGCTATTATGGAACTGGGACAGGTCATGGCCGTGCCATTATGGACAGAGACAGGTCCTGGAGGTGCCATAATGGACAGGAACAGGTCCTGGCAGTGCCATAATGGACAGGGACAGGTCCTGGCCGTGCCATTATGGACTGGGACAGGTCCTGGCAGTGCCATTATGGACAGAGACAGGTCCTGGCAGTGCCACTTTGACTGGGACAGGTCCTGGCATTGCCATTATGGACAGAGACAGGCCCTGGCAGTGCCATTATGGACAGAGACAGGTCATGACAGCACCATAATGGACAGGGACAGGTCCTGGCAGTGTTGTTATGGACAGGGACAGGTCCTGGCAGTGCCATAATGGACAGGGACAGATCCTGGCCATGCCATTATGGACAGGGACAGGTCCTGGCACTGCCATTATGGACAGGGACAGGTCCTGGAGGCACCATTATGGACAGGGACAGGTCCTGGCAGTGCCATTATGGACTGGGACAGGTCCTGGCAGTGCCATTGTGGACTGGGACAGGTCCTGGCAGTGCCATTATGGACAGAGACAGGTCCTGGAGCTGCCATAATGGACAGGAACAGGTCCTGGCAGTGCCATTATGGACAGGGACAGGTCATGGCAGTGCCATAATGGACTGGGACAGGTCCTGGCAGTGCCATTGAGGACAGGGACAGGTCCTGGCAGCACTATAACGGACAGGGATGGGGCCCAGCTGCACCCCAAGGGCAGAGCCCAGCAATGCTGGGAATGGGATCCCAGGGCACGATGCTCAGGGAAGAAGGGCAGTTCCATGTGCCCGCCTGGGACCCGCACAGCGAGCAGAGAACAGATCGTGCCACAGCTGGAAGTGGATTTTTGAAAGGGGCTATGACAGCACTTGTCACCCTGAAGCTGCCATGGAACACTAACAATCCTGTCTGGGTGAGTCAGTGGCCCCTGGAGAAGAAGAAACTGAGTTCCCTCAAACAACTGGCCAAAGAACAATTACAGAAAGGCCACATCAAAGAAACAACCAGTCCCTCACAGTGGGTGCAGGGTTCCTGTGCACCCCAAACCCTCACAGCAGTGGGTACAGTGTTCCTGTGCACCCCAAACCCTCACAGCAATGCTGGGGGCACCATTTCCATCCCTATTCCCATCCCACCTGCATCCCATCCCCATCCCAACCCATCCCATCCCACCCATATCTCATTCCCATGCCATCCCAGTCCCTCCGTGCCTCCCCACCTCTCTGCGGCGTGGCTGCACAGCGCATCCCAACGCTCCTTCAGCTCCCCCAGCAGCTCCTCCAGGGGCTGCAGGTCCTGGGGCAGCCGTGCCCCCTCCCGCAGCGCCCGCCCGCTCCGCAGCGTCGCCTCATACACCGGCCGCTTCGCCCGCAGCACCTTCTGGAATGCCTGCGGGGGCCCCACGCACCCCACAGCTGGGTGCTGGGTCCCCCAGCTGTGGGGGAGACTCCCTCCTCCCCTAAGGGCAGTTGGGATGCCCTACACGCCCAAAATCCCTTGGCCCAGCACTCCCCCCCCCAGGTCTCCCAACTCTGCAGGATCGCCCTGGGGAGTTGTCCAAACCCCCTGGCACGGGTGTTCCCCCTGGGTTCTGGGGATCCCCCCTCTTCAGCCCCCAGAACCTCCCTGGGAGCTGGGGATCCCCCCCTCTGCAGCCCCCAGAACCCCCCTGGGAGCTGGGGATCCCCCTCTGCAGCCCCAGAACCTCTTTGGGAGCTGGGGAACCCCCTCTGCAGCCCCCACAACCTCCCTGGGAGCTGGGGATACCCACCCTGCAGCCCCAGAACCCCCCTGGGAGCTGGGGATCCCCCCCTGCAGCCCCCACAACCTCCCTGGGAGCTGGGGATACCCACCCTGCAGCCCCAGAACCCCCCTGGGAGCTGGGGATCCCCCTCTGCAGCCCCCAGAACCCCCCTGGGAGCTGGGGATCCCCCTCTGCAGCCCCCAGAACGCCCCTGGGAGCTGGGGATCCCCCCTTTGCAGCCTCTCGAACCCCCCTGGGAGCTGAGGATGCCCACTGGGAGCTGGAGATCTCCATCCTACAGCCCCCCAAACCCCCCCTGGGAGCTGGGGATCCCCCCCTGCAGCCCCCAGCACCCCAGTTCTGCACCCCCCCATGCCAAGGAGCGGGGCAGCCCCACCTTGTGCTCAGCCAGCTGGCACTTGATCTCCTCCTGGCTGGTGGCAGCGTCCTGCGGCACCTCCAGGCTCTGCTCCACCTCGTCCATCCAGTCCAGAAGCAGCCGCCGGGACTCGCTGAACTGCAGGGGAGGGCAGGGCTGTGGGGGCTGCAGAGAGCTGGGGGGCTAAAGCAGATCTGGGGCTCCCAACAGGAGCCACGGAGCCACACAAGGGAGTGGCAGGGCCTGGGCACCACCATGGGCAACACCAGAGCCGCCTGGTCCCTTCCAGGGAGGACCCACGGCAGGAATCAACAGTCCCGGCACGGTTTGGGTTGGAAGGACCTTAAAGCACACACAGTTCCACCCCCCTGCCATGGGCAGGGACACCTGCCACTAGCCCAGCTTGCTCCAAGCCCCGTCCAGCCTGGCCTTGGACATATCCGAGGATGGGGCAGCCACAGCCTCTCCATGGAACCCCCCTCACAGGGAAGAATTCTCCCCAGGATCCCATCCAACCCTGCCCTCTGGGAGTGGGAAGCCATTCCTGTCAAGAGTTTAGCTAAAGAATAGCTGCGCAGCAAGGGACATGAAAAAATTAAGTTGATGAGAGTGTGAGAATACGTAACTTGTAGCATGAAAACTATGCCCTTGAGAAACAGATGTCTCCTAACAACCTTGAGAAACAGATATCTCCTAACAAACTTGAGCATACAGGTGTCTCGTTAAAAATGAAATATTACTTAGTATGCAGAAAAGTAATCAAGTATAAAGAAACAGTAACTGCAAGGCTTATCGCAAAGAGATATATGTGTTAATAGAAGGGTAACCAATCCTGAGCTTTGCTTTTGAAATAGGTATGAACTAATTAGTGCTTGTATAAAGAAACTGTAATCACCTCCAATAAACTGAAACTTGTTGATCATGATAGCATGAAGCTTGTTTCCCGCGACAATCTCACCAACACATTCCCCCTTGTCCTGTCCCTCCAGGCCCGTGTCCAAAGCAGAGCAAGGGGCAGACCCCCTCCCCAGCCCGGGGCTGTGTCCCGGTACCTGCTTGCTGCGTTTTCGGGCCTCCTCCAGCACGGCCCCGCGCTCGGCCGCCCGCTGCAGGACCTTGCCCAGCCGCTCCCGGGCCGCCAGCACCAGGTTCTGGATGACGGCCCCGTCCTGCTTCCGACTGAAATCCTTCAGGCGCGCCGCCACGGCCTCCAGCGCGCCCAGCTTCTCCCCGTGGGCGTTCGCCTCCTTCACCAGGGCCTATGGGGTGGGGGCAGCTGAGGGTCCTGGGGTGGGCGAGGAGCCCCCGGGCACAGCCCGTGCCAGGGCGGGACGCGGAGCAGCGGGCACGGGCTGGGATGGGGCAGGAGCGCCTCGCTCCGCTGCGTGGGGACACGCGTGTCGCCTGCCCCGGGCACCCCGCGTGCCCCGGCACCCCGCAGGTGCCACGCGGGACCCCTCGGGCGAACCCCAGCTCCACAAACCTGCCCCTCGGGCGAACCCCAGCTCCACAAACCGGCCCCTCGGGCGAACCCCAGCTCCACAAAGCGGCCCCGAGGGTGAACCCCAGCTCCACAAAGCGGCCCCACGGGCGAACCCCAGCTCCACAAACCGGCCCCGAGGGCGAACCCCAGCTCCACAAACCGGCCCCGAGGGCGAACCCCAGCTCCACAAACCGGCCCCAAGGGCGAACCCCAGCTCCACAAAGCGGCCCCACGGGCGAACCCCAGCTCCACAAAGCGGCACCGAGGGCGAACCCCAGCTCCACAAAGCGGCACCGAGGGCGAACCCCAGCTCCACAAACCTCCCCGAGGGTGAACCCCAGCTCCACAAAGCGGCCCCGAGGGCACCCCGCCGGCTCTTGCCTTGTGCTCCTGGATCTGGGCGGTGACGGTGTCCAGCACGAAGCTGGGGGGCGCGGGGGACCCCAGCAGCTCCTCGGCGTGGGCCACCCAGCGCAGCAGCTCCTGCGCGGAGCCGTGGAACTCGGTGGTGACCGTCAGCCCCTCGGCCAGGCGCTCCTGCGGGCAGCGGTGGGTACCGGTGGGGACGGGGCTCCACCGCTCCTGAGCCGGTCCGGGCAGGGGGAGCCCCCCGGGGGTCACAGCCCCCCAGAACCCCGCACACCTTCCGCTCCAGGGCCTCGGCCTGGACGCTCTCCCACTTGTGCTCCAGGAGCCGCAGGCTGTGCTCGGTGCTGCAGGGCCGCCCGGCGCGGCACGAGTCCAGCAGCCGCTGCAGCCGCTCCCGCAGCCCCCGGTAGGTCACGGCCCGCGCCTCCAGCTCCCGGCACAGCTCCTGCCGGGACACCGGGACACCCGCCACGGCACCGGCGTCAGCACCGGCACGGCGCGCAGGATGGGGGGGACAGGGAGGGGAATGGGGATGGGGTGAGGATGTGGATGTGGATGGGCAGGCAGGGTGACAGGTACAGGGACGGGGATGGGGATGTGGATGGGGCAGGCAGGGTGAAGGTACAGGGATGGGGATGGGGTGAGGATGTGGATGGGGCAGGCAGGGTGACAGGGATTGGAATGGGGATAGGGGTGAGGATGTGGATGGGGCAGGCAGGGTGAAGGTATAGGGATGGGGATGGGGATGGGAACGGGGATGGGGATGTGGATGGGAATGGGGATGGGAACGGGGATGGCAGGGTGACAGGTACAGGGAACAGGGATGGGAATGGGGATGGGAATGGGGATGGTGATGGGTCAGGTAAAGCAGACAGGGGACAGGGAGGGGAATGGGGATGGGGTGAGGATGTGGATGGGGCAGGCAGGGTGACAGGTACAGGGATGGGGTTTGGAACAGGGATGGGGATGTGGATGGGGCAGGCAGGGTGAAGGTACAGGGATGGGGATGGGAACGGGGATGGGAATGGGAATGGAAATGTGGATGGAACAGGCAGGGTGAAGATACAGGGATGGGGGTGGGAACGGGGATGGGGATGGGTCAGGTAAAGCAGACAGGGGACAGGGATTGGAATGGGGATAGGGGTGAGGATGTGGATGGGACAGGCAGGGTGACTGGTACAGGGATGGAAATGGGGATGGGAACAGGGAGGGAGATGGGAAGAGGGATGGGGATGTGGAGGGGTCAGGTAAAGCAGGCAGGGAACAGGCATGGGGACAGGGAAAGGGGACAAGGGACACAGCCACAGTGAACAGGGAGAGGGGATGAAGACAGGGATGTGGATGGGGACAGGAACAGTTTCAGGGCAAGGGACAGGACAAGGATGTCTCCTGCTCTGTCTAACGGAGCTGGAGCAGCTGAGGGAGGGGTACCAGGCTCTGACAGGGGAGAGGAGGCAGCAGAGAAGGATCCTGGCCCAGCAGTGTGGAGAAAGGCGGATCTGGGGCACACATCCCCCCAAGAGCCCAGCAGACCCCAGGGGCCGGCCCTGCAGCAGGGCCCAGGCTGGCGCTGGTTCTCACCAGGTGTGCATTGAGCTTCTCTTTGGTGGCGTCCGGGTGGCCCCAGGCCGGCTTGGAGCAGAAGAGCTGCAGCTCCACCTGCTCCAGCCACTGCAGCAGCTCCGTGATCTCCAGCGTGATGTCCTGCACCTGGGGGCGAGGGGGGGCTCAGCGCCGGCCCCGCGTCCGGCAGCGCGGCCGTGCCGCGGCCCTACCTGGCTGAGGTTGTTCTCCAGCTCCAGCTGCCGGCTCTCGGTCTGGCTGCGCACCAGCTCCCAGTGCTGCTCCAGCTGCTGCAGGCTGCGCTGCAGCCCCTCCACGCTCTCGCCCAGGCTGGAGAGCAGCAGCCCCTGCCCGGCCTCAGTCACCGACTGCACCGTGCGGGCGTGGGACATCACGTCGGTGCGCAGCACCTGCGGGTGCAGCGGCGGGGTCAGGGCTGGGACCGGGGCACCCACACCCCGCAAAGCCCCGAGCCCCGAGACACCGCTGCCACCACAGCTCCGGGGACTGGGGGTGTCACACGGGGCAAGGACAGCACCCATGGGTGCCTCCAAGCTGGTGCCAGTGCTTTCGATCTCAGCAGGGTGCGGGGCACAGGATTTGCCGATTTGTGGCAGTGGGGTGGCCGGGACAGGTGCAGAGGGGACAGGTACCCCTCACACAGCTCCCCTGGCACGGGGGCAGCCCGGCCCTCGCAGCCTCGCCGGCGTCGGGCACGTCAGGAGCGTGCCCGGGCACGGGGCTGTGGCACGGGGCTGGCACTGAGACAGCTCATTCCTCCCGGGGTGTCACCGCGGCAGGGGACGCGTCCCTGCGCTGCAGCCTGCCCAGCCCTGCTGCCACAGCACCCGAGGAGGGGCCAGGCAGAGCCCTGTGGCCAGGACACGCACCCCCGTGTGCCACCACAGCCAGGACCCCCACCCTGGCGTGTCACCATGGCCGGGACACCCATGCTGGGTGTGACACCATGGCCGGGACACCCACCCTGGGGTGCCACCAGGGCCAGGACACCCACCCTGATGTGCCACCATGGCCGGGACACCCACTCTGGGTGTGCCACCAGGGCCAGGACACCCACCCTGGGGTGCCACCAGGGCCAGGACCCCCAGGACACACACCCCGGCAGTGCCACTGTGGCTGTGGCCGCGTGTCCCTCAGGCCACTTAGTGCAGCCCCACCTTGTGCTTGGCCAGCTCGATCTCGCAGCTCTGCAGGTCGGGGCGCAGGGGTGCGGGGCCGCGCAGCTGCTCCCCGGTGCGGCTCAGCCACTGCAGCAGCTCGGCCAGCTGGTGCTGGAACTGCCCCAGCCCCAGCAGCGCTGCCTCCAGCTGGTGCTGCCAGGAGAGAGCCGTGGTGTCAGGGGGGCAAGGGCAGCCCTGGCCCTGGGCGCCCACAGAGCACTCGGCACCCACCCAGTGCTCATATAGCCCTGGACACCCACCCAGCACCCACTCAGTGCCCACCCGGCCCTGTGCCCCCACCCAGCACCCACTCAGTGCCCACACGGCCCTGGACACCCACCCACTGCCCACCCAGTGCCCACACGGCCCTGGACACCCACCCAGTGCCCACCCAGGGCCCACACGGCCTTGTGCCCCCACCCAGTGCCCACCAGTCCTGTCCACCCACCCAGCACCCACCCAGGGCCCAGCCGGCCCTGTGCCCCCACCCAGCACCCACCCAGTGCCCACCCAGTGCCCACCAGTCCTGTGCACCCATCCAGTGCCCACACAGCCCTGGACACCCACCCAGTGCCCACCAGTCCTGTGCACCCACCCAGTGCCCACCCAGTCCTGGACACCCACCCAGCACCCACTCAGTGCCCACCCAGTGCCCACACGGCCCTGGACACCCACCCAATGCCCACCCAGTGCCCACACAGCCCTGGACACCCACCCAGCACCCATCCAGTGCTCACACAGCCCTGGACACCCACCCAGTGCCCACCCAGTGCCCACCTGGCCCTGTGCACCCACCCAGCACCCACTCAGTGCCCACCCAGCCCTGTGCACCCACCCAGTGCCCACCCAGTCCTGTGTACCCACCCAGCACCCACTCAGTGCCCACCCGGCCCTGTGCCCCCACCCAGTGCCCACCTGGCCCTGGACACCCACCCAGTGCCCACCAGTCCTGTGCACCCACCCAGTGCCCACCAGTCCTTTGCACCCACACCCAGCACCCACTTGCAGCCCCCACGCTGCCCCAGAACCACAGGACGTGCCTGGCCAGCACATTCACGGCATCCCACCCGTCCTGCCGGCCCTGCCCCGAGCCCCCCGTGCCCCCCGAGCCCCCTCCCCACCTGCCGGCTGACGATCTCCTCCTCCAGGTGGTCCCAGCGCTGGCGGAAGTCGCTGAGCGTGGCCGGGGGCTCCCCCTGCCCCGCGCCCCCCTGGTGCCGCAGGCTCTCCACATCCACCTTGCACTGGTACAGCTCCCGCTTGAACTCCTGGGAGGTGGCACCGGTTGGTGGCAGGGTCCTCCTGGCCCCACAGCACCCCATGGCACCCCACGGCACAGCACAGGCACCTCGGCCCTGAGCTGCTCCTGTGGGGGTGCCCAACCTCCTCAGGGACTCGTGGGGGACAGGACTTGGCTACCCCAGGCAGGACTTGGCTACCCAGTGCGCTGAGGCCCTGGCAATGTCCGACCTGCCATCCCAATCCATCCCCGCTCTGCCTGGAGCGCCCACTGCCCTCCCTGCCCCTGCCAGCCCCCAGGGAGCAGGGTGGTGTGGCACGGCACGGTTTGGCACAGCACGGTTTGGCACGGTTTGGCACACCTTGAGCTCCGCCAGCTGCTGCTGCACCATGTCCAGGTCCCCCCCCACCAGGAACTCCTCGGCGATGCGCAGCTCGGCTGCATCAAGCCACTCCAGCAGCCGCTGGGGACAGGGAACACGCGGGGTTGGGGGGCCCCATGGTGGCCCCATGGTCCCTCACACCCCTGAGTGGGGACAGGAGGGTGACAGGGCCCCCCCTGCACCCACCTGCATGGTGTCCTGGTAGCTGAGGGCGGCCTGGAGCTGCTCCTCGAGGCGCCCGTTCCGCTCCGTCCACGCCCGGCTCAGGCTGTGCCAGGAGGAGTAGAGCTGCGGCCGGGCACGGGGGTCAGTGGTGCCACGGCGGGGCCAGGGACAGAGGGGACGGGACGTGGGGGACAGAGGGGACAGGGCACAGGGGTCAGCAGTGCCCCGGGGGGACAGGCCATGAGGGTCACTAGTGCCAGGGAGGCGGCAGGGGAGCGAACGGGGGTGGCACCACAGGAACATCCAGGCCTGGAGACACCACGGGAGTGCCTGGGCACAGGATCAGTGGGGTTGTGTGGGGCTCAGTGGCACTGAGAGGGTCTGGGGTGCGGGGGTCAGTGGCACTGCTGGGGATTGGGGACATGCCGCCCCACAAGCACCATCCACGCACGCCCAGGGTTTGTCCCAGCCCCGAGGACACTCACATCGTCCAGGCTCTTGGTGACATCGGGCTTGTCAGGGTCCCCGCAGGACGCCATCAGCTCCACGCCCAGGCTGCCCAGCGTGTCCAGCTCGCCCTGCAGCGCGTCGATCTCCTCCCGCAGGGCCTGTGCAGGGCACAGGGTCTCAGGGCTGCCCACGCTGGGGGCTGCCCACGGCACTGCCCACGCCAGGGCATGCCCAGGGCACTGCCCACAGCACTGCCCACACCAGGAGATGCCCAGGGCACTGCCCACAGCACTGCCCAGGGCACTGCCCACGCCAGGGGCTGCCCAGGGCACTGCCCACGCCAGGGGCTGCCCACGGCACTGCCCACAGCACTGCCCACACCAGGGGATGCCCAGGGCACTGCCCACGGCACTGCCCACACCAGGGGATGCCCACGGCACTGCCCACGCCAGGGGATGCCCAGGGCACTGCCCAAACCCCCGCCCAGCCGTACCTGCATGGTGCGCAGCTGCGCCCGGATGGCCTCGGGCTCGCCACCGGCCTCCTCCAGCCCCAGCACCAGCTGCTGGGTGTCACTGAGCGCCACGGCCAGCTCAGACAGGCCGTGCCAGAAGCGCTCGGCCAGCGCCAGCAGCTCCCGAAGCCAGCGCTCCTGCTCCTGGCAGCGGCCGCGCAGGCAGCCCCACTGGGACAGCAGCTGCGCCGTGCGCTCCTGGATCCCTGCGGGGCACAGTGGGTCAGGGATCAGGGTGCTGCGAGGGCACCCACCCACACAGGGCCCTGGCAGGGACACAGATCGCCTCTGCCGGGCTGCGCCCACCCCTCCGTGCCAATACCTCTGGCCGCGGCGTCGGAGCTGACCGCCTGCATGGTGGCCAGCAGCTCCTTGCCCTGTGCCCGGATGCCCTCCAGGGCCACTCCGAGCTTCTCCAGCTCGCCCAGGGCCAGGCTGTTCTCGCGGATCTGCTCCCTCAAGTGGGCCGCGTCGCCGCGGACGGGGGGCTGGCTCTGCAGCCGGCTCTGCAGCCGCTCCAGGCACTCCAGCAGCAGGTCCATGCGCTCCGACAGCTGCGGAGCAGCCCGGTGACTCGCTGGCAGGGCCCTGGGGACGTGCCCCACCGGGGCAGTGCCAGCCCCATACCTGACTGTACCGCGGTAGGGCATCCTCCAGCAGAGCCGCGGCCTGGCGCACACGCTCGCGGATGTGGCCGTACTGCTCCTCCAGCTCCTGCCAGCGCTGCTGGAACGGGGCTCCCTGCTCTGGGCTCAGCTCCAGCAGCTGCGCTGACACGCGCTGCAGCTTCCCCACCAGCGGCCGGTGCTCGGCAATCGCCTCCCGCAGGCTCTGGCGGCGAGGAAGAGCCGGGGGGTGCATTGGGGTGGGATGTGCCCCATGAGATTAGCCCCACAGGGATGTGCCGGTGCACCCGGGGCTGCTCCCAGAGAACTCCTGTTCACCGGGTGTCCCAGCCCGACAGTCCCCATGGCGGTGCCACCCCCATTCTGTCACCTCTCCACTCCCCTGTGGGGTGGCCGAGCGAGCCCCGTTTTCCCCTGCCCACACCTGCAGCAGCGCCTGCTGCTCCTTGAAGGCCTCGTAGCTGATGGCGTTGGGGGAGAGCTGCACCCCCAGGGCCTGCGTCTCCTCCAGCCAGGGCAGCAGCTCCTCGAGGGCCTCAGAGAACTGAGCGAGCAGGGACTGGGCGTGCTCCAGCTGCACAGCACAGGCGCTGCTGCGCAGGGACAGCTGCTCCGTGCGCTCCCGCAGCGCCTGCACCGAGAGCTGCAGAGACGGGAGTCACGGCGTGGCCAGGGACACGGGGCACAGCCACCCCCGGCACCCTCCCGGCTCACCTGCAGGCGCTGCCGCAGGGGCTCGGCGCAGCAGCGCAGCAGCGGCTCCGAGAACCCCAGCAGGCGTTCAACCAGGCCCCGGCAATGCAGGATCTCGGCGGAGAGCAGCTGCAATGGAGCCACAGGTGGGTGCCAGGTCCTGGCAGCAGCCAGCGGGATGGGGATGCCAAGCCAGTGCCCCCCAGACCCCTGGGCACCGCTGCAGACCCACCTTCTGCTCGGAGATCTGCGAGCGGAGAGCCTCAGCATCCAGCTGCACACGGCCGATCTCCTCCAGCCGCTCCCCCAGCCCAGCCACACGGCCGAGCTGGGACTCCAGGACCTGCTCAAACTGCAGCAGAGGGACAGAGGTCAGCCAGGGAGGGTGTGAACGCACCGGGACCGACGCTGGGAATGGTGACGGGCTCACGGAGCTCAGTGCCCCACACCTTCTCCCTGTCACTGGCAGTGACTGAGGGCTCCTGGCCGTCCTGCTGGCTCTCCTGCTCGCCCAGCTCCTTCTCCATGCGGCTCAGCCACAGCGCCAGGTCCTCAGGGGCCGTGCCCAGGCGAGACGAGGCCTCCAGGGTCTGCCCCAGCCGGTGAGCGGTGTCAGCGCTGCTCTGGCCCACGATGAGGTACCGCATCCTCAGCGACTCCATCTTCTCCTGAGTCAGCTGGGCCTCCTCCCCTGTGGCAGCGCGACACCGCCATCAGTGCCACCGCACTGGCATCTTTGGACATGGAACTGGCCACACCAACAGTTTCCAGCCACCTGACAATCACTGTCCTGGCCTTTCCCCTCTTACCGCCGCTCCTCCTGCTCCCAGACCCAGCTCTGGCCTCTCATCCCTCTGCCAGCACCTCCCCAGCTGCACCTCGCCACAGCTGAACCCTGTCCCACCACAGCTCTGACCCACAGGCTCTGCCCTGGCCCCACAGAATCCCATGGGGTGCTGTCTGCCCCCCCTCACACCACACCACAGCTCCCAGTGGGGAGCAGCACGCCCCAAGGGCCCCCAGTGCCCAGCGGGGCACTTTGCTGGCCTGGACTGCCGCTGTCTGTGCTCATCCCATCCCAAGTCCCACGGTCCTGACCCTGTGGCCACCACTCCCAGCCATTGCCACTCACCTGTCACCAGCTCCAGGACCCGCTGCCCGCTCTCCAGGGCGCCATCCAGCTCTCCCAGCCGCCCGCGGATCTCCTCACAGAGGGCCTGTAGCAGCGACCAGCGATGACACAGATGCCCGTGTCCACCCTGTGCCCATCCCACGCCCAACCTGTGCCCACCTGGGTCTGCTGGTGGGCGTCCTGCACGCGGCCCACACAGCCATCGGCACGCCAGAGCTGGGCCAGCTGCCGCTCTGTGGCACCGAGCCACTCCTGGAAGGCGTCTACGGCCTCCTGGAAGCCCTGGGCTGCCGGCAGGATCCGCTCCAGGCAGCTGTACCTGCGCCGGGAGGGCTGGTGAGCCAGGCAGTGACAGACCCTGACACTGAGGGCCCAGCCTGCAAAGGTTCCTCTCCCCCACACCAGAGTGCCCACGCCCCGTGCTGCCCTGCAGCGAGGGACACAGCAAGGCCAGGGTCCCCACGGAGGGGCCAGGGTCCCCACGGAGGGGCCAGGGTCCCCACGGAGGGGCCAGTGGGAAGGGCTGTGTGACAGACTCTCTGTACAGCCCCGGATCTGCTGCTCCTGTGCAGCCCCAGCACACGCACGAGGACGGTCCCTCCATCGTGGTGGCCCCAGCACCAGCGGGGCAGAGCATGGGGACATCAGGGTGTCACGGACACTCCATGCAGGGGACACCAGCGGCATGGGGATGCCAGCCCAGAGAGGAGCACCTGGCCCCTGACCCACCTGGCTTCAGCCTCCTGCATCAGCTTGTCCCACCTCTCCCCGAGGCTGAGGATGCCGGCACTGCCCGAGCCCTGTGCCGTCAGTCTGTCCTGCAGGACGAGCTCCACGCGCGGCCGCCGTTCCTCCAGCAGGCGCTTCAGGAGCTGCAGGGACGGGGGACACCGCTCCACATGTGCTGGGGACCCCGGTGCATCCCTCCCGCCCCGGCACAGCCCGCTTGAGCCCCGGCCCCCTAATCCCCGGCCGGGGCACGCGTGGGCGGGCACACCGGCTGGCCCTGCTGACCTTCTGCTCCTCCAGCTGCGCCTTCACCACCTTCGCCTCCGCCGACGGCGGCTTCTGGTTGCTCACCAACTCCTCCATGTCGGCCACCCAGGCCAGCAGCCGCTCCAGCGTCTCCTGGCCCCGCTCCGCTGCCTCCTCTGGGACAGGGACAGCCCGTGAGGACACCTGTGGGGAGAGGTGGCTGAGCTGCCCATGAGGGCAGGTATGGGGCTGGGCAGCAGCCCTCACACCATGCCCTGTCCCCGAGGTGACACCAGCGACAGCGGGACCCTGTCCAGCCCGTGGGGTCCTCCCTGGCATCCTTCACAGTGCTCTCCAAAGCAGGGGCTGCACACCCGGTGCTGTTTGGATCCCGCTGGACCCACGGCCCCCCAGACAAAGCTGAGGGAAGGGAGCTCCCTGTCCTACAGCACCAGGCCGGGCGCCCAGCACGAGCCGTGCTGCCCAGCCCATGCCAGGGCACAGACAACAACTCCACACGAGCCCTGGCCAAGGGACACGAAGGTCAAGACTCGCTGCGGAGAAAACCACGCTGGAGGGCAGCCCTGCGGCACAGAGCTTGGCACGGTGTCCTCCCAGCAAGGCTCTCTGTCCATCGGTCACCTCGGTGGCATCTGTGTGTCCGGCGCAGCCAGCAGCAGTGAGCTCCCCCACGCACTCCGTCAGCACGGTGACCGTCCGGGTGACCACGGGCTCGCCACCCTTCTCACCCGCCGGGTACTCGGTCACCTCCACGATCTCTGTCACGATGGTCTCGGTCACCTCTGTCACCTCCGTCACCTCCCGGGTGGTGACGGGTTTCCAGGACCAGGTGCTGCGGGGAACGCTGGCCCGGGGGGGGGGTCCAGGCTGCGCCCCCCACCTGCCCCCTCACGGGAGCTCCGGCTGCACCCCCGTTCTGCACCGCCACCTCGGACTGGCTGCGCCTCAGCACCGGGCTGCCCGGCCGGCTCCGGATGGCACCGGGCCCCGGGCTCCAGCCGTTCTCCACCGGCACCGGCGCCTTCTCCAGCAGCCCCGGCCAGGCCTCCGTGATGCCTCCGGGGGATGGCTGCCCCGCGTCCAGCCCCGGCTCCTGCAGGAGCTCCTCCGGCCGCCGGCTCTTCTCGCCCAGGCAGCTGGGCCGGCTCACCGAGTTCCCCATGGCGTGGGCGCCGGGCCCCCGCCTCAAATCCCGGCCTGCAATGAGCCAGGGGATCTGCGTTACCGGGACCACCGCGGGGCCCCCAAATGCCGCTGGCCTGCGCTCGGGTCACCCTCCTCGCTCCGCGGTGCTGCCACACCTCACGCTCCGGTCTTTGGGGTCCTGTCCCCCACAAAGGGTGCCCAGAGTACTGGGGCAGGGAGATGGGACACTGGCTGTCACCGGGGCCTGGCGGAGGGAGGGGACCTCGAGGGACCCTCGTTAGAGCCCAGGGTGCCTGTCCTACGCGTCTCAGCAGAGGAGGCGGCAGTGGCAGCAGCGCCAGGCACTGGGGAGAGGCAGATGCTCCCGCCCGGCATCGCCCCGTGCCGTTGGATTAACAGGAGCCGCGAGAGAGGAGCATCTGCCCGGGGGGACGGGGGGCTGGGGGCGGTGGGAGCAGTGCCGGGGGACAGGCAGGGGACAGGCAGGTGGCCTCTCCAGCCTGCAAGCCCTGCCGCAGCCATAAATCCCCGGCGTGACCCGGTAAGACCCTCCCTCGGCAGCCCCCCCGCCGCAGCCGCAGTGCTGCTACCCCCGGCCTCACCCCCGGCCCTGGGCACACGCCCCTGTGCACGTGTGTACACACAAACACACGTGTGCAAACACACGCACACACCCCGCACACGTGTGCAAACACACGCACACACACCGCACACGTGTGCAAACACACGCACACATACTCACTCCCACCCGTGTGCACACACTCCCCGGCAGGCAGACCCCACGCTCGCACCCCTGCTGGGGGCAGGGGGGGGTCAGTGACAGGACCCCCACGCCTGCATCAGCCGTGACACGACACACACCTGTAGCACCCCCGCACACGCGTGGGGACCGCACGTGCACCCACACTCCCCCACCATGGCCGTGCCCCTGGTGGGCACCGGGGTACCGTGGGTGCCCTGAGCCCCCACGCTCGGCCCAACACGCCGTGGAGCACGCCACGGGCACGACCCCCGCGGGACACACACCCACGGCGGGTTCCCGATGTGCCGCCCCGGTGGGCGCAGCCCCGCGGGGCATCGCACTCCCACCCCACCGCACCCCGCGTGTCTGGGGGCCGCGCGGGTGGGTGGGCACGGCGCGGGGTGACCCGGGGAGACCCCGACCCGCGCCACCCGCCCCGCGGGGCTGCGGGACACGGACCCCGCCCGGCCCCGCGCACGCCGCAGTCCCGGACCCGCGTGGAGCCCCCGCCCCGCACTCACCCCTCGGCGACTTCGGGCGTCCATGGGGCCGGGCCGGGGGCGCCGCCGCCGCCGTTACCGCTCCGGGGGGGCCCGGCCCGTGCGGGGGAGCGGGGCGGAGGCGGCGGGGGGAGGCTCGGTCCCCGTTACCGCCGCCCCGGCCCCGCCGCCTTTGTGCGCCGCGCCCGCGGCGCGGGGGGAGCGCGGGGCGGGGGGCACCGGGCGGAGACCCTCGCACCGACAGCGGCCCGGCTCGGCGGAGCTGGTCTGACCCCGGACACACCGCCGCCCCCGTTAACCCTCCGGGAGCCGATCGCCGCCGTTACCGGGGAAACCCCCGGGGCCCCGCAGCCATCCCGCGGGGGAGGGGCGGTGCCGGCCCACCGCCCGCCCCGCGCCGTCCGGGGGGGCGACTGCCCGCACCGGCACCGGCACCGGCACCTGTGCGACACCAGCACCAGCATTAACACCGGCACCTGCACCATAACCTCACCGGCACCTGCTGCTGCCCTGCACCTGCACCAGCACCTGCACCGGCACCAGCCCAGGCTGTGCTGCCTCACAGCGAGCCCCAGCACAGCACAGCCCCACGGTGTCACAGCCCCACGGTGTCACACCCCACAGTGTCACAGCCCCACGGCGTCACAGCCCCACGGCGTCACAGCCCCACGGCCCCCCCAGTTCTGGGGTTGCAGCCCCCACCCTGGCTCTGGCCCCCTGGCAGTGGATGCTGTGGTCACTGAGGGGCTTGGTCCCGCTCCCTGGGGCTCTTTGGGTGCAGGGACCCCTCAGCCAGGGTCCCGGGGGGCTCAGTGAAGCAGGGCTGGGCTGGGCTGGGCTGGGGGGGCCAGGCCCGGCTGCTAAGATGCTAAACTGAAGCCCACCCTGATAGCCAGGGTGCTGCAGGCCCGGGTCTCCAGCACCCCCCACCCCACCCCACTGCCACCCTGGGTGCTGGAGGGACCAGGGGGCAGCCGGAGGTGCCCAGCCAGGGGCTGATCCTGCCCATGGTGTGATCCCCATCCCCATCCTGCCCTGGCTCAGCTCCAGTGCTGCGGCCTCCCATGCACTGAGAGCCCCCCAGGACTGGATCCTGCCCCACAGAGCCGCACGGTGCCCCTTGCTGGGCCCCGGGAGCCGGGGGGCCGCTGCAGGCGCGTCGGCCACGCTGATGGATGGGGCTCCCTGGGGTCTCCTGGGAGCGGCGGGGCCGGGGGCTTTGTCTGCTGCCAGAGACGCTGCCGGGAATTAGCATCTGCCAGGGCCGCGGTGGCTGCGCACCGTCCTGCAGCAGCCCCGCATCATCCTCGCCGTACGGTTTGGAGCCTTCCGCTGCTGGCACCGAGCTGCTCGGCACCCGGCAGGGGTCTGAGCCCCACGGTACTGCAGTCACCCCACAGCCCCCTCAGAGCCCAGCCGGGACCTGCCAGGCAGAAGCCGGGCAGGCGGTGAGGATCCAGCCCTTTGCTCAGAGCCACCGCCGGCAGCTCGCCCGGCACGCTCCGCAGCCCCAGGTACCGGGCTCGGGGTGGCACGGGTGCCCCGGGCAGGGGAGCCCGGCGCGGGGCACCGGGCGGGAGCGGTCGGCTGGAATCCACAGCCTCAGATCCCGGGAACCGGGTGGGTTTCTGTGCGGCCTCGGCTTTGTCTGCGCCGGGGCCGGGATGAATGGCCCTTTCAGTTTGTGCCGTCATGTGTGCCGAGGGAGCCCGTGTGCCGGCCAGGCCTCGAACAAAAGGAGCCGGCGAGGGGCTGCAAGCGGGGCGGCAAGGAGGGGGCTGCCGGCAGCCCCCACTGCCCCTCCGTGCCTGGGCAGGGGGCACAGCAGCACACGGCTGCGCAGCCAGTGCGTGGGCACACATCTGACCTGCCCTGGCAAGGGCACACTCCCTGTGCCCGGCTGTACACCCCATGAACAGCCACACACCCCCTGTGCCCGGCTGTACGCCCCTCACACAACCATGCACCCCCTGTGCATATCTGTACACCCCACGCACAGCCACACACCCCCTGTGCATGGCTGTACACCCCACGCACAGCCTCACACCCCCTGTGCATGGCTGTACACCCCACGCACAGCCTCACACCCCCTGTTCCCACTGTACACCCCTCACACAGCCTCACACCCCCTGTGCCCACTGTACACCCCACGCACAGCCACACATCCCCTGTGCATATCTGTACACCCCTCACACAGCCTCACACCCCCTGTGCCCGGCTGTACACCCCACGCACACCCATGCACCCCCTGTGCCCACTGTACACCCCTCACACAGCCTCACACCCCCTGTGCCCGGCTGTACACCCCACGCACAGCCTCACACCCCCTGTACACCCCTCACACAGCCTCACACCCCCTCTGCCCAGCTGTACACCCCACGCACAGCCTCACACCCCCTGTGCATGGCTGTACACCCCTCACACAGCCTCACACCCCCTGTGCATGGCTGTACACCCCTCACACAGCCACGCACCCCCTGTGCCCGGCTGTACACCCCACGCACAGCCTCACACCCCCTGTGCCCACTGTACACCCCACGCACAGCCACGCACTCCCTGTGCATGGCTGTACAACCCACGCACAGCCTCACACCCCCTGTGCCCGGCTGTACACCCCTCACACAGCCTCACACCCCCTGTCCTTGCAGGGACCAAGACCTCACCAGCCTCGGTGCAGACGTGGGCCGGTCCTGCCCGGCTCTGCACGGCCCAGTCACACCCCAGGGCCAGACGTTACCTGCAGGGCCGTGCCGGGCTCTGGCAGCGCCAGCAGCCGCTTCTCCACGGCGTCCAGCCAGTGCCGCAGGGCGAGAAGCTGCTCCTGCACCTCCAGTCTCTGCTCTGAGCGCAGACAGGCTCTGGGGAGAGAGCAGAGACACACCAGGCTGTGGGGGACACGGCCACTGTACCCCCCTCCCCACACACCTCCCTGACCCCCGGCTTGCTGCCCGCCTGCACAGAGTGCCCCACGGCCACGCTGGTGCTCAGGGCCGTGCTCCCTGCCACCCTGCTCGCCCCACGCCCTCCCCACGCCGGCACTGGCCCAGGCTCCGGTGCAGGGTTCACCAGCTCCCCCATACGGGTGCAGACACCTGGGCACACCTGCAGCTCCCCACATGGCCCGTCTGGCAGTGCCCAGCGGTGTCAGTACCTCTCCATCTCCTCCCTGTCCCATGGCGACCCCTCCACACCGTCTCCGGTGTTTCCTGCAGCGCAGTGCACCTGCAAGGACAGCAGAGGGGCGGTGGGCACAGGGCACCGGGTCCTGGCAGAGGGGAGGCACACCAGCGTGGAGGTTTGGAGCGTTGTTGTGTCTCCCCAGGGAGAGCCCATCCCCACCAGCTGGACCATCCCCTGGCCAGGATCCCCCGTCTGTCCTGTGCTCCAGCCATCACCAGTACCTTTGGTTTTGGCTTGGCTCCACCTCCTCTGTGTTCCTGCGGTGCCTCGATTTCCCAACCTCTTTCAGCTGGGATCTGTCCCAGATCTCACCCTGCTGCCTCTCAGAGTACATCTGGTAACCCCGGGGTCCCTTCACCTGCTCTCAGTCCAGCCCCTGGCTGAGCCCAAACCAAGCCATGGCAAAGGACCCACAGCAAACTGACCCCCAGCAGAAAATTACCAAGTGACCCATGGAAAACCCCCTGCGCTGGCACGGAGCAGTGGTGGCTCAGACCAGAGCTCCTCGGGTGCTGCAAGTGCAGCCACTTCGCCACAACACATGGGAGAGGATGCCAGGCAAACACCAAGATGTACAAACCAGCAGTGCCCTGGCATGGACACAGGGCACGAACAGGCAGCAGTTACTTTGTGCCCCAGGAGAGAGCGGGGCTGGCAGGAGGGATCACACCAAGCCTGCACCCAAAGGCTGAGAGGGTTGCTGCTTCCACAGCCCGGGAGCACTGTAATTAACTGGTTGCTGGTGATTAATAAAGTCAGGTCACCCGGCTGAGCACAAGGAGGGGGAGACACCACGGTGCATCCTGTGAGGGAAATGGGGCACAGCCACAGTGATGCCATGAAGGTGGTGATGGGCCCAAGACCTAATCAAGGACACGACCACATCTCACACAGGATGTTGTACCAGGAGAACAGCCAGGGAATGTGGGCTGGATAAATGGGAGATAAAACGCTGTGGGTGCAGGAGGGACATGGTGATGCTGCCATGGATGGACCCAGGGAAAGTGACATAAGGCAGCTGAGCAGGAACTGCAGCACAAGGGGGCTGGGAGGGCCTGGGATATGTCTGCTGCAGAAGGAACCTCAGCCAGGGTCTGGTCAGGAACCCCACCAGCAGCAGCTGTGAATTCCCTGGATGAGGGGAAGAGGCATCAGGCAGGTGTTTGGTGCCGGTGCTGCAGCAGCTCCTCATGGTCAGAGTGCCAGCAGGGCTCATTCCTGTTGGGGACACTCAGGGGACATGTGCTCACAGCAGACACTGCTGTCACCATGCCATCAGTGGGGCCCCAGCCAACCCACGCACCCACAGTGTGGCCACCAGCCCCAGCACTGGCAGCAGTGCCACCCACCAGCTGGATAAGCCACCAGCAGTGCCTTGCTTCCCCTGCCCAGGCATGTCCAGGGAGGGAGCAGGATGGCACAGTTGGGGCCATCGAGGCTCGTGGGGTGGTGGCAGCTCCAGTGCAACCACAGGTGGTCCCACAGCCCTCCTGCCCCACGCTGGTGGTCCCTGGTCCTGTGTGCCCCACGCTGAGCCCTCATCCCAGGGCGGGACAGCAGTGTTACCATGCCAGTCCTGCTGCCGGAGGGCAGGGAACCTCCTTGGGTGCAGAGAACCTGGCAGGTGAGGATGCTGCCGCAGGTGGGCAGACAGTAACAGCATTGGGAAACGCTCTTCCAGCTCAGTCTCAGCCTGGGCTGGTGCGGCTGGGGCTGGGGCTGGAGCTCCAATGATCACTGCCAGCCTGTCCAGAGATGGTGCCAGCACGGCTGCACCGGCTGCTCCGGCCGGGACGTGCCAGGAGACACGAGACCGCGAGGAGCAGCGAACCCCAAGCGGGTGCTGGGACCTTCTGGGTGCCCTCATGCCCGGGAGGGTCCCACAGCCTCCACCTGCCCCGGACACTGTTCAGAGCGTGACAGCGGAGCAAACAGCGCTGGAGCTGCCCGACAGCATCTCCCGCTGCCGCTGAGGTCCCGCACCGCGCTGCCCACACCGCACCACCGCCGGCCTGGCCCCGGGCTCTGGGGGCCGCCGGTGCCCGGCAGCGGCTGCAGCCCCGGGGCAGCACCGTCCCCGCTCGCCCCGGGGCCGGGGGGATTCACCGGCACAGCCCCCGGCACAGGGGCACGGAGGCGGCAGCGCTTCGCACGGGGCACGGCCGCCCTTGGCCGGCGCACCGGGCTCCGAGCCCCAGCGGCACGGCCGGGGGGGGCTCGGGGTCCTGGCCGTGAGGAGGGGGGCGTGGGAGAGGCCGGTCCGTCTTTGTGGAGAAGCTGTACAGAGCGTTCCCGGCGCGGCGGGGCCGAGCCAGCAGCGCCCGGGGCGGTGGGCACGGGGAGCTGGCAGCGGCTCGGTGCCAGCAGGGCCGGGGACAGCGGCCACGGGTCCCGAGCGACGGACCGCGGCCAGGACGGGGCGGTGCTGCCGCTCACGCCCCGGAGGGCGGTGGGCAAACGCCGGGGGAGCGATGGACCCCTCCAGGGCCGGTGTCCCCCGTGCCACCGCGATGCTGAGGGATGGTTTAACTCGGGTTAGCTCCAGCCTCCTCAGCAGCAGGGCAGGATGACATGCAGGGCATTAAAATGGGGAATATCACGGAGTTCTCCATGGTGACCGAGTTTGGCCCGGTCACCCCCAGCGCATGGTGCTGAGGGGGCTGTGGGAGGGACAGGGGTATCAGTGGGGCAGGGGGCTGACACAGAGTGGCACAAGAGGATGAAGAGTGTCTATGGACAGGGGACACCGCGCTGTGTGGGGGAAAGGCTGGCTCACCCCAGGAGCAGTCAGTCTGGATCTTATGGCATCCCCCTCCTCACCCTCCTGCACCCCTTTGCCAGCCACTGCGGGGGGATCCCACTGCCTTAGGCACGCCAGGGAGCATCCCCATGCCAGGGGCACAGGGTCGAAGGGGTGTGGGGAATAGGGACCCCCTTGGCACATGGATGTGGGGAGCAGGGGTGTTTCTCACCAGGAAACAGAGTTGGATCCCACCAGTACCGGGTGGTAGGGGGATGAGGGGCTTCCAGGCCATGCCATGGGACTGGGCCATGGGTAAGAGGGCTCTTGGTGGTCTCATGAGCTTTAGCAAAGGTTACTCACCCTGGGGGAGGAGTTGGGAGGTAAGCAAGGAATATCTGGGGGAGCAGGGAAGATCTGGGGGACACAAGGAAATATCTGGTGGGGCAGGGCCCCAAGCAGCTTGTGTCACCTGGGGGAACGTCTTGCTGTTCTGGGACCTCTCCTGAGCCTCCCCAATGGCCTCAGCAGCCTGGAGCCCCCCTGAGTCCCCCTGGCCCAGCTGCACCTAACGGCCACATCCCACTCCCGTGGGGACAGACGGACGCTGCGGTTAATTGCTGATGGACAATGCAATTAACGTCCTACCCAGCCACCGCCATCTGTCCCAGCCAGCCCCACTCGGGCTGCTGACATGCTTGGCTGGTCCGGGCACAGTTGAGACCCCACCAGCCGCTAGACATTGCAGGGGTCCGGCAAGGTCCTGACAGCTCTGGCACTCCTGGCACAGTGCCTGGGGCTCCTGGCACTGCTGTGGGATGAGCCTCGTGCTCGGGGAGTCCCAGCCTGGGCTGTGCAGTGGCACCTGCACCACTGGGCTGGACAGACCCCTCGAGCCACCCGTGCCAGTGGCTGCACTGATGTCCCCGGGTTTGCCAGGCTTTCCCTTCTGAACGCTGCTGCCCTACCAGCGGCTGCCAGGCCGTCACATCCTGAACCCCCCGAAGCCCCTCAGCCTCACAGCTGACCGCTGCCATCCACCCACAACAGCCCCCACTGCCCAAAGAGAGTGCCCACAGCACAGCCCACGCCGGGCAGAGGCCACAGCACCGGCAGTGGGAGCAGCACACGTGGGAACAGTACCATGGAGGACAGCGTCCCTGCCCAGTCCAGAGCCCCACTGATGAAGGAACAGGTCTGTCGTCCTACAAGCAATGCTCAGAAGCCCCCACAGCACCCCCTCCCCAAAAGGAGGGGTCCAGTGCTGCACCCACATTGACCTCCCAGCAGTGTCAGCTGCGCCGCCAGCATGGGGCAGCTCTGGGGATGACCCTGTGGCCCTGCTCTGTGTCTGGCAGCGCCGTGGCTACACCCAGGAGCTGGTCAGACCCCTGGCAGCCTGACCTGTGCCAGCCCATGGAGCCTGTGGCATGAAGCTGCTGGAGGCAATGGGGGCCCACGGCCACGGTGGCAAGGCCAAGGGGCGAACAGATCACGCAGAGCTGCCGCTGGTTTCAGAGGATTCTCCTTTACTGCCCTTGCAGGGGAGCCCTGGGTCCGCACTGCTCCTTTTACAGACACTCCGTGGTATGTACAAGTTTAGTGTTTTGCCCCAAAAAAGAGATGTGTTTGGGTAATCCACGGACCCCCACCGTCCCGATGAGTGATGGTCAGGGCGTGGGGGGCCCCGGGAGTGGGGACTGTCCTGGAGCCGCGTGCAGTGGCACCTCATGCAAAGCCAAACGGGGTCATGAGAGCAATAATGACACCAGAGGCAGCGGGTAACATGACAGGATTTACAGGTGGCAGATGAGAGCAGGTGGGAAGGAGGAGATGTTTTGGAGATCCGCAGTGAGCCCGACACCACACCAGGAGGCCATCCCCAGGGAGGAGGGAGTGTGTGGGGCGAGCGGGGGCCAGGTGACCCCGTGGGTGCTTCTTGGGCCACTGGCTGCTCGGGCACTGTGGCCCCAGTCTCTGGCAGGGGACTCTGGCAAGTGCAAAGGGTGAGGGAGAGCGTCCCTGTGTCCTCAGGTGCGGTCCCACCGGCCTCAGGGCGGGGGACGGGCTCCATGGCGGCGATGAGGGGAAGTGGTATGGACATCCAGCCACACTACAACAAAGCGAACAGAAAAGATGGGATGAGACAAGGAGAACAATCCATGAAATGAAGCTACCAAGCCCGGCCGTCAGTGCGGAGCACCCGCTGTGGCACCGGGGAGGTCGGCGTTACCTGCGCAGGTGAGCACGGCCGAGCAGCTGCTGCCCCCGGGGCTCCCCTCGAGCCCGTCCATGACCTGCTGATGTCGGAGACCCAGCTCAGGAGCTCGCCCAGCGGCACTGGGAGGTCTTTGTTGGGACTGGAAAAAGACGTCTGCCAGAGAGAGAGCGCATTAGCGCCGGCATGGGGACGAACCAGGGGGATGGAATTACCGCGAAGAAGGAAAAGGAGGCTGTGTTTACAGAAATCTGCTTATTTCTAACAAGAGTGTGTGCCAGGCTGCTGCAGCATCCTACGGCCCACCCTGTGCTGCAGGGGTCCCATGGCCCTCATACCCCTTGTGAGGGTCAGGAAAACCCCCACGGCTCTGGGGAGTTCTGGGGGCAGGAGCTGCTCAGACCCAGCTGGGGCGCGGGCTCTGGCAGACACCTGCCAGTGGGTCGTGGAGCCACACGAGTGTGAGGAAATCAACCTCGAGCAGAAGCACTTCCCAGATACACGGAGAGACTGACAGACAGACCGGGCGACCGCGGCGGGCGCGTCCCGGAGGACGGGTGAGCGGGTGGGCTGGCGGAGGCAGGCGCGCAGCGAAGCCCCTCGGCGGGCGAAGTGGCGAGCGGAGGCCGGTCCCCCCGCGCGGCGCGGAAGCACCGGGCAGCGCCAGCGCGGCACTTACGGTCAGGGCACCGGCTCTGCGGCGTGGCGGTGGGGATGTGCCGGGAGGCCAAGGCAGGGAGATGGGGCAGCTCGGGGGGCTGGGGTGCAGAGCCCCCTCCTCGCTGCACTGAGGGCGCGTGGAAGGGGTCCAGGCAGCAGCTTCAGGGCTGGTGTGGTGTGTCTGGCTGTCCAGTGCCGAGGAGCTGGAGATGTCCTCCTCGGGCACGTTGTTTGCAGTGGGGTGCACCACAGGGCCAAGGCAGTCTCCTCCTTTGGGGCGCAGTGTCTGAAGCCGGGAGGTTAATTACAAAAGATTGCTAAGTGGTTAGATCCAAACAGGGAACTGTTTTCTTGGTGTCCGGCTCGGCCGCGCCGTGTGGGAGTAGCGGCGGGATTGGCACGGCCAGGAGCAGGAATGGTGTCCGGCTCCTGGGGCACAGGGTGGGGAGGGTAGTGTGTATTCTCTCTTGTCTCTTAATATACAAACACTGTCAGCACATTCGCATATATTAATTTATTAGTCTTGTCTTTTTGGTTAAACTTGAGGCACTGCTTTGGGAGAAGAGTGGAGGTTCAAAATTAAAAAAAATACTAGTGATTAGCCAGCAGCGTTGCCACATGCGGAGCGGGTGAGGCGGCGCCTCAGGGGGCTGGCAGGTCTCAGGCCACGTGGATCAGGGGCCCAGACACCCCGGGGCACTCCCTGCTCTCCTCCCACCCGCAGCTTCTGGATGCGGCCAGGGCGAGGGCAAGGGCAGCCTCCTCCATGGTGCCCTGGGTACTCCCCGTGTATCTGCGCCCGAAACTCGAGGAGGAGTAGGAGGAGGAAGAGAAGGTCATGGAGAAGCCAGAGCCGGTGGCGTCGAAACTGCCACGCCGGGAGCCTGAGCGGGAGCCGGTGCGAGAGCCCGAGCGAGATCCGGAGGTGGAGCCGGCGCTGCTGATGTTGTAGGGACTGTAGTAGCCCTTGCTGGACTGGGAGGAGGCCTCCAGCAGCCGCAGGCCAGTCCCATCCTCGATCATGCTCCGGTCCATGGCGTCCTTGTAGGAGATCTTGAGCTTGGTCTTGGGGCAGGTGAGGTACTTGGAATAGGTGTTGACATCCCGCAGTTTCTGGGCAGTCCGCGCGTCAATGGTGCCCTTCTGCAGCGCCTCATCCAGGGAGACACGGCCTGGGGCATCGGGCTCGATCAGGCCCCCTGTCAAGTACTGCACCTCCAGGAACCGCTGCCCGGCCTCGTAGTACAGCCAGCCCTTCTTCAGGGCCTGCGCCGCCGACATCTTTGTCTTGGTCCGCGGGTCCTCAAAGCCGTAGAAGGCCTTCTGCGCCAGGTTGATGCGGTCCACCATGATCTTGTCAACCAGGCCCTTGGTGACCGCGTCAGCAACGGTGCATTTGTCACCGGTGTTGGGGTCGATGATGCCCCCGGTGCAGGCCTGGGCTTCCAGCAGCCGCTGCCCGGTGATGTTGTCCACCAGGTTGCGGCGCATGGCCTCCGTGATGGACACCTTCTCCAGAGTGTCCGTGTCCAGGATGCCTGCCACTGGCCCAGTCTCTTCGGTTGGGTCAGTCCACATGGAGATCTGGCTCCGTGACAGGGCTGGGCTGACAGTGTAGGAGGAGGAGGATCCAACTGAGGACGACCGCGACCGGAAGCCACCCATGTTGCCAGAGAGCATGTCAGCAAACTCGGTGATGGAGAGGGTGCCGGAGCGGTACTGGTCCAGGGCTGACTGGTCAATCAGACCCTTGCCAATGGCATCATCGATGTCATACTGGCGCCCCGAGCGCCTGTCGATGATCATGGACTTCACCACGCCATCGGAGGAGGAGGTGGTGATCTCCTCCCACTCGCACTCCTGCTCTGACAGCTCCAGGTAAGTCTGGTGGTCAATGAGGCCCTTGCGATAGGCTTCGTACACAGACATCTCCTTGCCCGTCTCGGGGTCAACGATCACCACCCGGCGCTTGCGGACGGAGGACTTGGAGGAGGTCTTCCTCTCCCGCTTTTTCTCCTTCAGAGGCAGGAGGCAGAGGCCGGTCTCTGGGTCCGTGATGCACCGCTCCATGAGCTGCAGGTAGGTGAGGTTCTCCTCCGTGTTGGGGTCGAAGAAGCCCTTGGTGTCATCACTAGGGTCCAGCAGGATCTCGTTCATCTCCTCGTCAAAGAGGCCCCTCTTGTAGGCCACCTCCACAGGCAGGCGGTGGCTCTCCTCGGGGTCGATGATGCCTCCCGTGGCGATCTGTGCCTCCAGCAAGCGGATCCCGTGGTCCTTCAGGATCAGGCCCTTCTTCATAGCCTGGAAGAGGGAGATGAGCTTTCCGGTGTAGGGGTCGCGGTAGCCAGTGACAGCCCTCTCGGCAGAGAGCAGCTTGTCCTTGAACTCGGGGCCCACAATGCCCATGCGCACAGCTTCCTCCACTGTCAGCTTGAGGCCCTTGATGGGGTCAATCACGTAGCCCGTGGCCGCCTGCGCCTCCAGGAGCTCGAAGGCAGTGCCAGGCCGGATGATCCCCTTCTTCATGGCCTGGTAGATGGACAGACGCTCCTTTGTGGAGTCCACAAAGACACCAGCGATGCAGCTGGTGCCCTCCAGGAACTTCTTCAGGTTCTTAGAGACCTCCTCGATAGAGGTGAGACCCTCCTGGAGGCGCTGGGCTGTGGCTTCGTCCATCACCTGCGAAAGGACCAGCTCCTCCACAGTGATCTGCTTCCGCAGCCCCCGGAAGGTGAGCTTCCGTGTGTCGCAGAGCGGGAGCAGGAGGAGCCTGGAGCTCTCGTCCTTGCGGCACCGCTTCAGCAGCTGCGTGTAGCTGAGCTTCTCATCTGTGGAGGGGTCCACGTAGCTGCGCACCTCGCTGGGCTCCGACAGCATGTCGTACGTCTCCTTGTTGATGAAGCCCCGCTGGAGGGCCACCTCCAGAGGCAGGTGGAAGCCCAGGTGCGGGTCAATTATGCCACCGGTGGCAATCTGGGCATCTAGGAGCTTGAGGGCCTCTTCGCTGGGAATGAGATCCTTCTTCATGGCCTGGAAGAGGGAAATCTTCTGTTCGCTGTAAGGGTCTCTGTAGCCGGTCACAGCCCTCTCCGCGGACAGGAGCCGGTCGTGGATCTCTGGCCCCACCACGCCCTTCCTGACCGCCTCATCAACAGTCAGCATTTCATTCTTCGTGGGGTCGATCATGAAGCCAGTGGCTGCCTGGGCCTCCAGGAGGGAGCGGGCCACTTCGGAATTGATCAGCCCCTTCTTCAGCGCCTGGTAGACACTGAGCGTCTGCTTGGAGGAGGGGATGTAGATGCCAGCCACGCAGCCTGACCCATAAAGGTACTTCCAGACTGTCTCCACGTCCAGGAGCTCCCGGAAGGTTTTGGAGCCCTGTTTCAGCAGGTTGTAGATGTCCTGTGAGATAATCCTGGCCTCGTAGAGGTCCTCGGCTGTGATGCGGCGCCGGACGTAGTCATAGGACGTGAGATTCTGCTGCCGGATGATCTCAGTCTTCTCAATGATCTCGATGATAATGATGATCATGCGCTCCTTGGACACGCGGCCTGACTGGAACTCCTCCATGAGATGTTTACGCTGCTCCTCGGGCAGCAGGTCCGAGTGCATGATATCCCACAGTGACATGGAGGAGCCTGCCCGGCTGCCCACGGGGATGTCCACCTGCGTCTCCTCAAACACCTTCCGTGTCTCTGCTTCTGTGTACATCTGAGTGGTTTCCACCACTTTTGGCTTCTCGGGCTCCCGCAGAGGCAGCAGGTATAGGCCCGTCTCGGGATCCTCGATGCACCTCTCCTTCAGCTGCACATAGGTGAGGTTCTCCTGAGTGTTGGGGTCGAAGAAGCCCTTGGTGTCATCAGTGGGGTCGGAGAGGGTCCGGTTCATCTCCTCATCGAAGTAGCCACGCTTGTAGGCCACCTCCACCGGCAGGCGGTGGCTGTGCACGGGGTCGATGATGCCGCCGGTGGCGATCTGGGCCTCGAGCAGACGGATGCCGTGCTCCTTGACAATGAGCCCCTTCTTCATGGCCTGGAACAGGGAGATGGTATCGCCCGAGTAGGGATCCTTGTACCCCGTGACAGCCTTCTCAGCTGACAGCAGCTTCTCATGCAGCTCAGGCCCAACAATGCCAGCCTTCACCGCCTCGTTGACGTACAGTTTACGGTTCTTCACAGGGTCAATCAAGAACCCAGTGGCTGCTTGGGCCTCCAGGAGGACCACGGCAGTGCTGGGTCTCAGCAGGTTCCTCCTCATGGCCTCATAGATGTTCAGCTTCTCCTTGGTGGCCTCCACATAGACACCGGCAATGCAGTCACCGCCATGCAGGAATCTCCTCACTGAATCTGTCTCCGAGAGGTCCTTCACTGATTTCTTGCCTTCCTTCAGCTGCTCGTACTGGGTTTTGCTGATGATGCAGGACTCCAGCAGCTCACTGGCTGGCACCGGAGCCCGCAGACCACTGAACGTCAGTTTCTCCTGCTTTTTGGTCTCTGCCTCCTCGATGATGGTGATCACAATCTTGATGATCTTCTCGATTGTCACTTTGCCGGTCTTGTACTGCCGAAGCAGCTCCCGCCTGTGCTCCTCTGTGAAGTATTCAGAGTGGATCAGTTCCCAGATGGTCATTGTCTGGCCCTTCATGCTGCCCACTGGGACCTCAATGGTTGCTTTGTCGAAGCACTCCTTGGCCTGGCTGTCGGTGTAGACCTCCTCCTGCTGTGACTGGATTGCCTCGTCAGACAGGGGCAGCAGGCACAGGCCAGTCTGCTTGTCGCGGTGGCAACTCTTCTGCAGCTGGGCATAGGTGAGGTGTTCCTGGGTGTTAGGACAGTAGAAAGCCTTGGCATCATCTTGGAACTCAGTCAGAGCCTTGTTTATCTCTGGGTCGAAGTAGCCGCGCTTGTAGGCGACCTCAAGCGGGAGCCGGTGGCTGTTGACGGGGTCGATGATGCCACCAGTGGCAAGCTGGACGTCCAGCAGCCGGAGCCCAGTGTCGCTGGGGATGAGGCCCTTCTGGAGTGCTTGGTAGAGGGAAACCGTCTGACCTGTGTAGGGATCCTTGTAGCCAGTCACTGCCTTCTCTGCCGACAGCAGCTTCTCGTGGAACTCTGGCCCCACCACCTCGGCCTTCACTGCCTCATCCACAGAGAAGAGCTTGTTACCCACAGGGTCAATGATGTAGCCGGTGGCAGCTTGTGCCTCCAGCAGGGGCAGGGCAACCTCTGGCTTCAGCAGGTTTCTCTTCAGGGCCTCGTAGAAGGTGAGCTTCTGGCCTGTAGACTCCACCAGGACACCAGCGATGGCATCCGTGCCCTTCAGGTACTGCCGTACAGATTCCATCTCTGCCACATCCTTTACAGACTTCTTGCCCTGGTGCAGCTGGTTGTAGAGGTCCTTGTTGATGACCTTGCTCTCCAGCAGCTCGGCAGCAGGCACGGGGCCCCGCAGGCCCTCAAAGCACATCTGACTCTTTTTCTCACTTTCCTCCACAACCGTGATGACGATCTTGATGATCTTCTCCACTGTGATCTTGCCAGTCCTGTACTGCTGGATCAGGTCCCGCCTTTGGTCCTCAGTGAAGTATTCAGAGTTGATGAGCTCCCAGATGGTCATTGTCTTCCCTTGGAACTTGCCAAACGGTGCTGTCACTGTGGCCTTCTTGAAGACATCCTTGGCTTCCTTGTCGGTGTAGACCATCTCTCTAGCTTTGGCTGCTTGGTCAGTGAGCGGCAGGAGGCACAGCCCTGTGTCCGGGTCAGTCACGCACCGCTCCATGAGCTGCAGGTAGGTGAGGTTCTCCTGAGTATTGGGATCGAAGAAGCCCTTGGTGTCATCAGTGGGGTCAGACAGGACCTGATTCATCTCCTCATCGAAGTAGCCGCGCTTGTAGGCAGCTTCCACAGGCAGACGGTGGCTGTTGACAGGATCGATGATGCCGCCGGTGGCGATCTGGGCCTCGAGCAGGCGGATGCCGTGATCCCTGACGATGAGATCCTTCTGCATGGCCTGGAACAGGGAGATCTTGTCACCTGTGTACGGGTCCTTATAGCCAGTGACAGCCCGCTCGGCCGACAGCATCTTGTTGTGCAGCTCTGGCCCGATCACTCCCTCTCGCACTGCCTCGTTCACCGAGAGCCTTGCATTCCGCACAGGGTCGATGATGAAGCCAGAAGCAGCCTGTGCCTCCAGGAGCACCAGTGCTGTGCCTGGGCTGAGCAGCTTCTTCTTCATGGCTTCGTAGATGCTCATCTTCTGGTTGGAGGGTTTGATCAGCAAACCGGCAATGCTGCTCTTGCCCTGCAGGTACTTCTTGACATCCTCCCTCTGAGAGAGCTCGCCCACACTCACGACACCCTTTGCCAACTTGTCTAAGCTCTCCCTGCTCAGGATGCCGGCATCAGCCAGCTTCTCTGCTGACACCTTCTGCCGGATGCCGTCAAAGGCGAACTCCGGCTCCCCATTCTGGGCTAAGCCATCCATTGCATCCCGGCCATTGGGCACAGCCTTGGTGTCCAGCAGCTGCGTTGTCGTAACCGCCTCCTCAGGCAGGTCATCTGTCTGGATCATGATCTCCCGTCTCTGGGCCAGGGCAGCCTTGTACTCCTCCTGCATCTGCTCAAGCCTCTCCCTCAGCTTCTTGTTCTCTTCTTCCAGAAGTTTCTCCTGCTGCTGTCGCTGTCTCTCCAGCTCCTGTAGTTCTTCCTGCTTGTGCCGGACGTTTTCCTCAGCTTCCTTCTGATGCTTCTTGGCTTCCTCTAACATAGCTTTCAACTGCTGCTTCTCCCGCTCCATCTCCTGCTGCTGCCGCTCCTGCTCTGCCTTCAGGTTCTGGGCTTTGTTCACCTCATCCTTAAAGAGCTTCTCCAGCTTCGATTTCTCCTCCTCAATGAACTTCTCCTTCTGCAGCAGGGCATCTTTCTCCGTCAGGAAGCTCTGCTGCAGGAGCTGCGTCTCCTGACGGAGCTGAGCCTGCTGGGCCACCTGCATCTGCGGTGGGAGAGAGAACAGCGTGGTCAGACACCCAAGAGAGCAGTGGGGGACTGAGGGTGGGCTGAGGCAGGGGGGCGGGCAGCAGGGGCTGCACGGAGGCACAGAGTCACCCACACACTCCCTGCATCAGGTAGGAGTTAAGGAGCAGAGCCGGGGTTAGGGAGCCACACACAACATGGGGCAGGATGAGCAGGGGAAGGACACAAGGGAACCCCCAGCACTGAGGCTGGGAGCTGGGCACAGAGAGGAACACAGCAGGACGTGCCACGGGGTGGAAGAGCCAGCCCAGGAGGTGGGGATCCCACCTCCATGGCTCCAGGGGTTTTGGGTCCTGCTCCGACGCTGCCTGAAGGGTTTGCTCCACCACCTCCAACTTTACGCACATCCCTGACCTGCACAGGGGGTCCAGCCCCACCATCCCCGGTGATGGTCCTTGGGGACCGGCCCGGGGGTGGTGTGGGCTGGCTGGGAAGAGGGACAGCCTCCCTGTGTACCACCACCACTAAGGGGGACCCACAGCCCAGTACCTCCTCTGCCTTTTGCTGCAGCAGTGCTGCCTCCTGCTTCAGCTTCTCCTTCTCCTTCTCCAGGTCAGCGATGGCCTTCCGCAGCTTTTCCGCATCCTCATCGCTCTGGTGCCGCTGGATCTCCAGGGTGTGCACCATCGTCATCTTCTCCTGTGTGGCCAGCTCAGTCTCATGCAGCCTCTCACTGATCTCCTCCGCCTGCTTCTTGAACCGCTTGGCTTCCTCCTCAGCCTTGGCCTGGGCCATGCTCATCTCCGCCACTTGCAGCTTGAGGCGCTCAGCCTCAGCCGTGATGTCCAGCTGCCGCCGGCGCTCAGCCTCCAGCGTCTTCTGGAAGCCCTCGGTCTCCTCAGCCAGGCGCTGCTGCATCTGCTCCTTGTCCTCCTGCAGCTTCTTGGCATGTTCCTGCGCCAAATCCTTCTGCTTCTGCAGCATTTCAGCCTCAGCCCGCAGCCGCGTGGCCTCCTGCACCGCCTGCATCTTCTCCTTCAGCATCTTCTCTGCCAGCGCCCGCTGCTGCGCCAGGTCGTCCTCAGCCAGCTGCCGCATGCGGGCGGCCTCCTGCGCCTCCACGCTCAGCCGGGCCACCTCCTCTGCCACCTGCTTCATCTTCTCTGCCTCCTCTGCCAGGAACTTCTGTGTGTTGTCCTTGTCCTTGAGGATCAGCGCCTTGTTCTCCTCCTCGATGCGGCTCTTCAGCTTGGCCAGCTCCTCCATCTGCACCCGGACCTTGAAGAGTTCCTCCTCCACTTGGGCCTTCTGCCGGACGGCGTCTGTCACCTCCTCCTTCAGCCGCTGCAGCTCCTCATCCAGGATGCCCTTCTGGTGGTCGGTCTCATCCAGCTGCAACTTCACCTTGGTCAGCTCCTGCTCCACCTGCGCCTTCTGCCGCAGTGTCTGCTCGGCAAACTTCTTGTGCTTCTCCATCTCGGCATCGGCCAGCTGCTTCTGCCGCAGGGCCGCCTGCTCTGCCTGCGCCCTTTTTGCTGCCTCCAGCTCGGCCTCCTTACGCAGTTTCTCTGCGTCTGCCTGTGCCTGTGCCTTGGCCTGCGCCTCCTCCTCTGCCCGCTGCTTCAGCCGCTCAGCCTCCTCCACGCGCTGCCGGGACAAGCTGGCGTCCTGCTCGGCCTTGCCACGGGCAAACTCAGCCTCCTCAGCCGCCCGCCGGGCCCGCTCCGCCTCCTCGCGCAGCCGGTCCAGGAGGCTCTGCTCCTGCTGGCGAGTCTGCAGCAGCTCCTGCTCCTTCTGCTGCACGGCAGCCAGGTGCGCCTTCTCCTCCGCTGCAATCCGCTTCTGCGCCGCCTCCCGTGCCAGCTGGATCTGCCGCTCTGACTCCTTCTCCGCCAGTTCCTTCTGCCGCTGCGCTTCCTCCACCATGGCCCGCAGCCGCTCCACCTCCTCCAGGGCCAGCCGCCGCTGTCGCCCGGCCTCCTCCTCGGCCGCCAGGATGGCCTGCACCTTCTCTTCGGCCTCGCGCCGGCGGCCCTCCTCCTCCAGCGCCAGCGCCCGCTGCCGCTCAGCCTCCCGCTCCGCCTGCTCCCGGCTGCGCTGCACCTCCTCTGCCTCCCCACGGATGCGGTTCAGCTCCCGCTCCAGCTCGCTCTTGCCCGCTGAGGCCCTCTCGAAGCTGGCCTTGAGGGCGCGGATCTCCTCCTCCACCTGTCGCCGCTGCCGCAGAGTATCCTCCACGAGCCCCTTCTGCCTCTCCAGCTCGCTCTCTGAGGAGCGTTTCAGCAGGGCAATCTTCTCCTCAATGTCCTGCTTGTGTTGGGCTGCCTGCTCCTCCAGCAGTTTGCGCTGGTAGGCCTCATCCTCCGCCAGCCGCCGCAGCCGCTCGTTCTCCGCCTCTTTCTCCTTCAGCGCGATCTCTGCCTCCGCCTTCAGCCGTGAGGCCTCGTTGATGGCCGCCAGCTTCTCCTTCAGGATGCGCTCAGCCTCGGCCCGTTGCCGGCTGGCCTCCTCCTCCGCCAGCTGCCGCTGCCGCTTGGCCTCCTCGGAGAGGGCGCGCAGGCGGGCGGCCTCCTCGGCCAGCTCCCGCAGCTTGTTGGCCTCCGCCTCCAGCCGCTGCTTGGACTTCTCGCTGCTGGAGCGTGACTCCTCCTCTGTCTTGGCCTTGCTCTCCAGCAGGACCTCCATCTCTGCCCGCAGCTTGGCCAGCTCCTCCTCCAGCTCTTTCCTCCTCTGGATGGCCTCGTTTACCTCGCCCTTCAGCCGCGAGAGCTCTTCCTCCAGGAGCAAGCGCTGCTGCTCCCCATTCTCCATCTCCGCCTTCAGCCGGATCAGCTCCTGCTCTGCCGCCAGCTTCTGCTGGGCTGTGCCCTCTGCCAGCTCCCGCTGCTTTTCCAGCTCCTCCTCCGCCAGCTCCTTCTGCCGTACGGCCACCTCCTCTGCCTTGGCGCGCTTGCGGGCCTCGCGCTCCGCATCCTCCTTCTGCTTCTCGGCCTCCTCCTGTGCCAGTGACTTCTTGTGGGCCACCTCTTCGGCCTGCAACCGCAGGCGCAGTGCCTCGTTGGCCTTCTGCCGCCAGCGCTCCAGCTCCTTCTCAGCCTCCTCCCGCGAGCGCTCGGCCTCCAGCTGCTGCCTCTTCAGCCGCTCAGCCTCCTCCTGCAGCTGGGCCACCACATCGTGCTCCTGCTGCAGTGACAGCTCCAGCTGCGCCGTCTTCTCGGCGAAAGAGAGCCTCTTGCTCTGCAGCTCGGCCTCAGCGCTGCGCTGGGCCACCTCCTGGGCCACCTGGATCTGCCGGTCCTTCTCAGCCTCTGCCTGTCGCATGCGTCGCTCAGCCTCCTCCGCCTGCAGCCGCAGCTGCTCCAGGTCTGCCACTGCCTTCTGCTTCTCCCGGGCCGCTTCACGCTCAGCCTGCACCTTGCGCTTCAGCTCCTCCTCCGCCTCCCGCTTCTTCTGGCTCTCCTCCTTCACCTGCCGGCGCAGACGCTCGGCCTCCTCCTGTGCCTGCCGCTTCTGCCGCTCGGCATCTTCGGCACGTGCCCGCAGCTCCTGCAGCTCTGTCTCTGCGCTCTCCCGCTGCTTCTCGGTGCTCTCCAGCTGCAGGCGGATGAGGCGGATCTCCTCCTCCACTTTCTTGCGGTTGTATTCAGCCTCCTCGATCAGCTTTACCTTGGACTTGATCTGGTGGTCCGAGTTCTGCCGCAGCTGCATCAGCTCCTGCTGGATGTTCTGCTTCTGCTGCTCGGCATCCACGGCCACCACCTCCCGCCGGGTGACCTCCTCCTGCATGCGGAGCTGCAGCTCCCGCGCCTCCGCCTCCGCCTGCGCCTTGGCTTTGGCGTGGGCCTCGGCCAGCTGCCGCTGCTTCTCCAGCTGCGCCTCCACCTCCGCCAGCCGCTTCCTCTCCTCCTCTTTCAGCTTCTCGGCGGCTTTCTGGAGGGGAAAGAGGGTGCAGGGGACAGAGAGGGGAGAGAGAGACAAATCACAAGGGATGCGATCGCGCCGTGGAATCGATGCTGGCCCAGCCACACGCTGCCGAGACAGCCGAGGGGTGGCAGATGCGCGTGGAATGGCTTCGGCCCCTGGGCCACCGCACGAGCCGGTGACGCCAGCTTCCAGAAGATGTGTGGCACGACAGGGGACACACGACAGCACAGGCAGACAGGCAACAGGAGCCAGACAGCAGCGCAGGAAGCCACGTTCCAGAGAGAAGGGACAGAGAGTGAGCGGAGCCCAAGCGATGAAGACGATGCGAGCAGCGTGCACATCACCACCCTGGCTCCCCCTGCAAGGGGCCCGCCATAGACAGCCCCTGCCGCGGGGAAAGGAGAGAGACGGCCGGAGCACTGGGAGCAGAAGACAGGGGAGCGGTGCAAGGGCGGCGCCAGCAGAGCCTTCCCTGCAGGGAAAGCCTCAACAGGAGAGAGCAGTTCAGCTGGATCAAACCCCTCCCAGCCCTCTCCAGGCACCTGGGAGCAGGGTCTGCCAAAGGGCCAACGCGGCTGGCGCCCGGCTTGCGGCCGTGCCGCAGCACGCGCACCACATGCACCGTGAGCGAGGCAGCCGCACGCTCCGCAGGGCCCGGGCACAGGCAGCGCATGCAGGGGAGCCAGACCCCACACCGGACCCCTGGTCCCGGAGCAGCACAGATGTAGAGGAGGGCCAGGAGGAAAGGGTGAGCCGTGGGGGAGGCAGAGGGTGCCGCGGGGAGAAGGCATGCGCAGAGTGAGTACCTGGTGCACGGCTGCCAGAGTCATCCTGGTTTTTTACCCTCCATTAGATCCCCACCAACACAAATATTCCCCAAGAAAAAGCACTGGCAAAGCGGCTCCAAGGGCAGAAACCAAAAGTTAGAGAGGTTACCCCGCGCCAGACCCCGCGGGCCAGCGCCCAGCACAGCAGCATGCACAGGCAGGTGCTGACTGCACTACGTGTATCTGGGAAGTGCCTCCTACCACCAGTCACACCCGGTGCCCAGAGCCACCTTGGCTCAGAGACCTGCTGGACACAGAGCCAGCAGCCTTGCTCCCAGGAGCCCAGCAGGGAGCAGGAGCTAGAGGCTGTGGGGCAGTATTAGTGATAGGGCTGGAGTCACGGCCATGGGCCAGTATTAGTTATGGGTCTGGAGCCACAGCCACGGGCCACTGTTAGTGATGGGGCCAGGGCTGGAGTCACAGCCACGGGCCACTGTTAGTGATGGGGCTGGGGCTGGAGTCACAGCCACGGGCCAGGGTTAGTGATGGGGCCAGGGCTGGAGTCACAGCCACGGGCCAGGGTTAGTGATGGGGCTGGAGTCACAGCCTGGCGTTAGTGGTGGGGCCAGAATCATGGACGTGAGCTACCATCAGTGATAGGGCTGGAGTCATGGCCATGGGCCGGTGATAGTGATGGGGCCAGAGACCCCGTGAACTGCGTTCCTTTTGGTTATACAGTGGCCATGCCGCCCTGCACCGCTCCTACCTCCTCGTCCTCCAGCCGCCGCAGGGTCTCGGTGATGAACTTGATGTACTGGGTGGTGAGCGTGGTCAGCTCACTGTACTGCGTCCGCAGGTCCACGTACTGTGGAGACAGTGGGTCAGCACGAGGGAGAGGAGCTTGCCCACGGCCCACCAGGTACCCCAGCAATCATGCGGCTGCATGGAGGCACAACCACGTGCCACACCCCCAAATCCACCCCATCAGTGAGCAGCTACGCCCCAGGAGCTGCAGGACACCCCAGGGCAGCGGCAGTGAGACCCCTCCCTCACCTCCTGGATGATGCTGTCAGATGCCGACTGCACTTTGGGCTTCTTGGCTGGGGATGCCACCGGCTCCACCTGTGCCTTGAAGCTCACCAGCTGCAGCTCGTAGTCCTGATGAGGAGAGGGTGATCAAAGCTCTGCTACATGGGACGAGCCCCCTGGCCACAGTGCTGTGAGCCCACCCCCTCAGGACACTGCGCTGCCTCCCCAGCCCCCCGGGCAGTGGGCCCACCTTGATGGCATCGATGTACTGCTTGGCATAGCGCTGGCACTCCTCCACCTTCTCCTTGTGCTGCTCACACTCCTCCAGCAGTTTCTGGGGAGACATGTGGGGTGAGCCTGAGCACCCCATGGCCACCCAAGAGCACACCTCACCCCACCTTGGCCAGGGCTGGCCCAGAGCACCCCTTGCCCAGCCATGGCTGGGAATGGTTGGGAGCACCCCTCACCCTGCTGCAGCCAAAAATGGTCAGGAGTACACCCCATCCCACTGGGGATGGCTAAGAGCACCCACCACATGACATGGCCAGGGATGGTCCCCTCCTGCTGCAGCTATCCAAGAGCAACACTCAACGTGCCGTGGCTGGACACGGCCAGGCACTCCCCTCACTCTGCTGCAGAGAGAGATGGGCAGATCTGCACTCTGCTGGGGATGGCGAGGTGAATCCCTTGCCATGCCACGGCCAGGGATAGCTGAGGGCACTCCTTGTCCTGTTGGGGATGGCCAGGCACACATCTCACCCTGCTGGGGATGGTCAGGAGCACCCCTTGCCCTGCTGGGTTTGGCCAGGCACACCTCTCACCCTGCTGGGGATGGCCAGGCACACCCCTCACCCTGCTGGGGATGGCCAGGAGCATCCCTCACCCTGCTGGGGATGCCCAGGAGCACCTCACCCTGCTGGGTTTGGCCAGGCACACCTCTCACCCTGCTGGGGATGGCCAGGCACACCCCTCACCCTACTGGGGATGCCCAGGAGCACCCCTTGCCCCACGGCCAGCCCTACCTTCTCCTGCAGCAGCTGCTCGCGCACGGCCCGGCTGTCGGTGATGGGCACGGCCTGGATGGCCTCCTGGCGCTGCCGGGCGTCGCGGATCCACTGGCGCAGCGCGTCGCAGCTCTGCCGGTAGTAGCCCAGCTGGCGGCCCAGCTGGTCCAGCTCGCGCTGGCGCAGGTCAGCCTGGCCCAGCACGGCCTGCCAGCGCTCCAGCAGCTGCTGCACCCGCTCCCGGTACCGCTCCAGGTCCACATCCCGCTCGCTGTGGCCACGGACCATCCGCTCGTTGACGTCCTTGGCCTTGCCGAGGTCGGTCTCCAGCGTGCTGAAGAAGGGCTGGTGCCCCTCGGCCTCTGTCCGCAGCCGCTGCGGCAGATGGGCAGCGGTCAGGGATGGCCGCGGAGTGCCCGGCCAGCCCCGGCTCCCCTTGGCACCCCCAGAGCCCCCGGCACCTTCAGCTCGGCCACCCCCGGCTCCCCTCGGCACCCCCAGAGCCCCCGGCACCTTCAGCCCGGCCAGCCCCGGCTCCCCTCGGCACCCCCAGAGCCCCCGGCACCTTCAGCTCGGCCTTGCTGGCCTCCAGCTCGGCCAGGTCAGCCGGCACCGCCTGTACATCCTTCAGCTGCTCCTCGTACTTGCGCAGCAGCTCCTCAGCGCCCTGCGTGCTCCGGATCACCAGCCCGATGGTCTTCAGCCTGCGGCAGAGGGACGGCATCAGCCGGGAGCGGATGGATCAGCGGGGTCAGGATGGGAGCGGATGGAGCAGCGGGGTCAGGATGGGAGCGGGCAGCTCAGTGAGAGCAGCACCGCAGACCCAGGAGGGAAGGAAAAGGGAAAAAAGGGGAAAAGGAAAAAAAAGAGAAAAAAGGAAAAAAAGAGGAAAAGGAAAAAAAAGGGGAAAATAAAAAAAAAGAAGAATAAAAAAAGAAAAAAAGGAAAAGGAAATAATGGGGGAAAGGAAAAAAAAAAAAAGGGAAAAAAGGGGGAAAGGAAAAAAAAGAGAGAAAGGGAAAAAAGAGAAAAAAAAAAAAAGGGAAAAATAAAAAAAAAAGAAAAATAAAAAAAAAGGAAATAAGGAAATAAAGGGGAAAAGGAAAAAAGAGAAAAATAGGACAAACAGGGAAAAGGAAAAAAGAGAAAAAGGGGAAAAAAGAGGAAAAGGAGAAAAATAAGGGAAAAATAGAAAAAAAGAAAAATAAAAAAAAGGATAAAAGGAAATAAAGGAGAAAAGGAAAAAAGAGAAAAAGAAAAAAAAAGGGGAAAAGGAAAAAAAAGAGGAAAAGGGAAAAAAAGAGAAAAAGGGGAAAAAAAGAGGAAAAGAAAAAAAGAGGGAAAAATTAAAAAAAAGAAAAATAAAAAAAAGGGGAAAAGGAAATAAAGGGGGAAAGGAAAAAAGAGAAAAAGGGGGGAAAAGGGGGAAAAGAAAAAAAAGAGAAAAAGGAAAAAAAGGGAGAAAAGGAAAGAACAGGGGAAAAGGGAAAAAAGGGGATAATGGAAAAAAGGGAAAAAGGAAAAAAACAGAGAAAAAGGGAAAAAAGATAAAAAGGAAAAAGGAAAATAATTTAAAGGAAATAAAGGGGAAAAGGAAAAAAGAGAAAAAGGAAAAAAAGGGGGAAAAGGAAAGAACAGGGGAAAAGGGAAAAAAAGGGAAAAGGGAAAAAAGGGGATAATGGAAAAAAGGGAAGAAGGAAAAAAAGAGAAAAAGGGGAAAAAGATAAAAAGGAAAAAAATTAAAAGGAAATAAAGGGGAAAAGGAACAAAGGGAAAAAGGAAAAAAGGGGGAAAGGAAAAAAAGGGGAAATAAGGGGGAAAAGGAAAAAAAAGGGAAAAGGGAAAAAAGGGGAAAAGAAAAAAAAAAAAGGAAAAAAAAGGGGAAATAAAGGGGAAAGGAAAAAAAGGGAAAAGAGAAGAGGGAAGGCAAAGAAAGGGAAAGGCCTGCTGGCTCTCCCCAGGCTCCCCACGGCCTCCCCACTGCCCAGGCTGGTTCCCAGCCCAGGGCCGCTGCGTGGGGCTCCGGGGCTCACTCACTTCTCCAGGTAGATGCTGGACAGGCTGTACACCTGCTCCATCTTCCGCAGGGTCACCTCCAGCTCGGAGCGCAGGACAGGGGCTGAGCCCGCCTGCTCCGGCTGCGCCAGCACCTGCTCCGTCCTCTCGCTGACTTTGGCCAGGTTCTTCTGGATGCCCTCCAGCTCCAGGTGGGTTTGCTGCGGGGAAGGAGCCCCTCAGTCCTTGCTGCCTGCAGGTCAGGGCCAGCCCCCCACCCACCAAATGTTCCCCCTGTCGTGGACCCCGGGAGGAGAGGAGCAGGGAGAGGCTCTGCAGCCCGTCGGTGCAGGTGGACAGGGGAGGTTTAGGAGGGATATTGGGGAAAAATCCTCCTGGAAAGGGCTGTCCAGCCCTGGCACAGCTGCCCAGGGCAGGCTGGAGTGCCACTACAGCCTGTGGCTCACCTGGGGACGTGTCGGGGTGGCCCTGGCAGTGCCAGGGGACCGGGTGGACTCAATGGGCTCTAAGGGCTTTTGCACCCCAAACCATTCCCCCAGGCCCATCCTGGGGCACTGAGGTCCCCGTCTGTGCACGCTACACACATCACAGGCGTGTCACAGGCGTGTCACACACCTGCTGCTCAGCCTGGCGCTGGGCGCACTCGCGCAGGGGGTCGGCCTTGAGGGGCAGGCGCAGGCGATGCACGGTGCGGCTCTCGCAGCTCTCCAGCTGCAGCCGGATGTCCTTCAGCTGCGAGATGTAGCTCCTGCACAGAGACTCGTCCTGCTCTCCTGCGGGGACAGGGGGGCGGCTCAGTGCCCTGGGACACCGCGGGGACACCACGGGGACACCGCGGGGACAGCAGGATGGATCAGCAGCATGGGGACCCACAGCAGGGAGAGGGGACCCAGAGCAGGGAGAGGGGACACAGGGATGTCCCAGGGACACCCTGGGGATCCACAGCAGGGAGAGGGGACACAGGGATGGCTCTGCACCATGGGGACACCCTGGGGACCCACAGCAGGGAGAGGGGACACGGGGATGGCTCTGTACCATGGGGACTCACAGCAGGGAGAGGGGACATGGGGATGGCTCTGCACCATGGGGACACCCTGGGGACCCAGAGCAGGGAGAGGGGACACGGGGATGTCCTGGGGACACCTTGGGGATTCACAGCAAGGAGAGGGGACACGGGGATGGCTCTGCACCATGGGGACCCACAGCAGGGAGAGGGGACACAGGGATGGCTCTGCACCATGGGGACACCCTAGGGATCTACAGTATGGAGAGGGGACATGGGGATGTCCTGGGGACACCTTGGGGACTCACAGCAGGGAGAGGGGACACGGGGATGGCTCAGCAGCATGGGGACACCCTGGGGACCCACAGCAGGGAGAGGGGACACGGGGATGGCTCAGCAGCATGGGGACACCCTGAGGACCCACAGCAGGGAGAGGGGACACAGGGATGTCCTGGGGACACCCTGGGGACCCAGAGCAGGGAGAGGGGACACAGGGATGTCCTGGGGACACCCTGGGGACCCAGAGCAGGGAGAGGGGACACGGGGATGGCTCAGACAGTGGGGACAACACGGAGACCCTTGGTGAGAAGAGGAGGATGCAAGGGTGGCTCAGCACCCTAGGGACACCTCGGGAGCCAGGGTGACGAAGGGGGAGACTGGGACAGCTCAGCACCATGGCAATACCCCAGGGACACCACGGGGACCTGCGGGTGCTCAGCACCTGGGGAAACCTAGAGGACCCCCACCCTTCAGAGGAGGCAGGGAGGGACACCCACCTTTCTCCTGGCTACGCAGCAGCAGCTCGTATTTGTGAGTGCAGGCGTTGTAGTCGCGCTCCACCTGCAGCCGGTCGTCGGGCTGGAAGCTCTGGGAGTCCTGGCTGTCCCGCAGGAACTCCTGGTAGTGGCTCTCCAGGCTGGACAGGACCTGACGCACCTCCTCGGCCGACAGCGTGCGGAACTGGGGGGGACAGGGCCACGTCAGCCCCTGCCGGGACCCCCGGGACCCCCGCGCCGCGGTGGGACCCCCAGGAACTCACCGTGACGTGCGTCCAGGACTGGATCTGCTGGATGTCCCGGGTCAGGTACTGCCAGGCGCGGAGGCTGCGCAGGTCCTGGTGCAGCTGCTGCCACAGCCCCAGCAGCTGCTGGTGGGTGGTCTCCAGCCTGTGGGGACGTGGAGTCAGAGAGGGGATGCAGGGGAGCCCGGGTGGGGTGCAGGGTCACTGTGCCCACCTGTGCACGGCGTCCAGAGCCTCCTTGTTGGGGGGTGGCAGGAGGAAGCAGACCGAGGGCACGACGGCCTCGCTGCCAGCGGCGCTCAGCACCCGCCACTGCTGCGGCTGGGCGTGGTTCACCAGGGCACAGGTGTCGTTCTTGTGCACCGTCACCTGTGGGGCAGGGGGTCAGGGTGGGGTGCGAGCCCTTGTGTCCATCTGTGCCTCTCCCCTGTTCCCCAGCGTCCCCCCATATTCCCGTGTGGGACTGCTGTGGTCTGTCTGGGTGGGGGTGAGTCCCCTCATGGGGCTGGGGCAGCGTGAGAGAAGGGTGGGATGTCCCCCATGTGTCCCCTTGTCCCCCAGGGCGGTGTCAGACCAGAGGGGGGTTCCTCCTGTGTCCCTCCCCATAGGGCTGGGGCAGCATCAGAGAGGGGTGCTGGACCCACCACGTGTCCCCACATCCCCCCAAGGGGGACCAACCCTAATCCAGCCCTCACGTCCCCCCACCTCCATTTGCTTGTAGTCGCAGACGGCCTGGATGGGGGGGCGGCCCTGCAGCGGGGTCGAGGGGCTGCGCGGCTTCAGCTGCACGATGGTCCTGGCACGGCGGGAGAGACCCCCCAGCTGCGCCCCCAGCTCCGCCAGCTGCTCCTTCTGCTCCTGTGGGGCAGGTTTGGGACACCTCAGCATTTGGGGTGTCCCGTGGTGTTGAGTGGCATCAGAACTTTGGGGAGATACCGGGTTTTTTGAGAGCTCAGTACTATCAGGAGGTCCCAAAGGTTTTGGGAGCTCTTGGGATTTTGCAGGGGGGTCCCAGGAGTTTGGGGAGGAGTCAGGAATATGAGGCGGGGGGGTCACCCCGGTCTGTTGCAGCAATGGACGTGTTGGGGTCACTGGCGTGGCTGCAGGGGGGTGACACCCACTCTGCAGTGGGACACCTCAGGGGCTGCTGGGGACTCTGATTTTTGGGGTCATCCTGGGGGCTGCCAGCTCAGAGTCGCCAGGGAATGGGGTCACCCTGCACGTGGGGTCAGCCTGGGGTTGCCATGGGGCTGGGGATGCCCTGAGGATCTTGGGGGGATCCACTTGGGCTGCCCCCCTGGGCTCCCACTGCCCTTGCTACAAGGTCATGCGGCAGGGTCACCCTGCAGATCTTGGCAGGGTCACCCTGGGGGTCACTGTGGGGGTCTCCCGGGGGTCTGGGGGGTGCCCTCACCGCCAGGTCCTGCAGCAGGTCCTCCAGGCGTGTGGCCGTGGTGCCACGGTCGCAGCTGAACTTGCGCCGCATCGTCTCCTCCGTCTTTCGCAGCAGCTCCTCGGCCTCCCGCACCTCGGCGAAGAACTGGGGGGGCCAGGGCTCAGCACCGGGGTCCTGCCCTCCCTCCCACCCCCAGCCCCTCCCCGGCACCCCCGTACCTGGAAGTAGTTGCTGTTCTCCTTCAGGTGGGTCTCGATGCAGCAGCAGAGCTGCAGCATCCAGCTCCACTGGGTCTGCAGCGCTGCCAGGAACGCCTGGGGGGCAGCGGGGGGGACAGCGGGGCTGGCACCGAGGGCACCTGCACCGGCACCTGCACCCACACCTGCACCCATACCTGCACCTGCACCCGCACTTGCATCCACACCTGCATCCACACCTGCACCCACACCTGCACCCACACCTGCACCCACACCTGCACCCGCACCTGACCTGCACTTACACCCGCACCTGTACCCGCACCCACACCTGCACCCACACCTGCACCCACACCTGCACCTGCACCCACACCCACACCCACACCTGCACCCACACCTGCGCCTGCACCCACACCTGCACCTGTACCCGCACCCACACCTGCACCCACACTCACACCTGCACCCACACTCACACCTGCACCCACACCTGCACCTGTACCCGCACCCACACCTGCACCCACACTCACACCTGCACCCACACTCACACCTGCACCCATACCTGCACCTGCACCCGCACCTGCACCCACACCTGCACCCACACCTGCACCCGCACCCACACCCGCACCCACACCTGCACCCACACCTGCACCTGCACCCACACCTGCACCCACACCTGCACCCGCACCTGCACTGCTACAGGCTGCCACACCAGTGACCCCAGTGCCCACTGCACCCACACCAGTGACCCCAGTGCCCACTGCACCCACACCAGTGACCCCCAGTGCCCAGACCCTCCTGAACCCCCTCCCCAACCCACCAGAGCCCCAAGGTGCCCCTCAGATTCTCCCAGCCCCTTCAAGTCCCCCAAGGTCACTGAGACCCCCAGGCCCCCTCCAGATTCCCCACACCCCCCCATCACCCCCAGTCCCTGCAGCCCCCCAGTCCCCCTCATGCCCCACGCCCACCTCCAGAGTCTGCGCCCCGGGGTGCTCCTCACGCAGCAGCCGCTCCCCTGAGCTCCGCAGCTCCTGGATCCGCCGCTCCCGCAGCTCCAGCTCCCGCATCAGCGCCTGGGCCGGGGGGTCACACACGTGTGTAGGACCGGGACGGGGGTCAGGGCTCACACACGTGTGTAGGACCATGTTGGGGTTCAGGGCTCACACACACGTGTGTAGGACCAGGGTGGGGTTCAGGGCTCACACACGTGTGTAGGACCGGGACGGGGTTCAGGGCTCACACACGTGTGTAGGACCATGTTGGGGTTCAGGGCTCACACACGTGTGTAGGACCGGGGTGGGGTTCAGGGCTCACACACATGTGCACAGCTCTGTGTGTATGGTTACACCTGGGGCTGTGTGTGCAAGGGGGGCTCTGGGGGTGCTCTGAGGGTTATGGGGGTTCTGGGTGTGGGGCGCACACGGGTGCTCAGTGCTGCAGAGCAGAGAGAGGGCCATGTGACACAGCCATGTCCGTGTGTGGGGACGGCACACGTGTGTGTGGTCATGGGTGTGTCCACGTGCAGCAGCTGTGTCCTCCATGCGTGTCTGCCCACGTGCATGTCCATGTCCATGTCCACACCCACCCCTGCACCCATGTCTGTGCCCATCCCTGTGCACATGTTTGTGTCTGTGCCCATCCCTGTGTCCATATTGTGTACATGCCCATCCCTGTGCCCGTGTTACGTCCATGCCCATCCCCATGTCTGTCCCTGTGTCCATGCCCATCCCTATGTTCATACCCTGTCCATTCCCATCTCCAGGTCCATGTCCATGTCCATACCCATCCCTGTGCCCATGGCACATTCATGCCCATCTCCGTGTCCATGTCCACCCCTGTGTCTGTATCGTGTCCATGCCCATCACCATGTCCTGTCCGTGGCCATCCCTGTGTTTGTGCCCGTGTCCATGCTCATCCCTGTGCCCATATCATGTCCATGCCCATCTCTGTGCCCATATCATGTCCATGGCCATCCCTGGGTCTGTGCCTGTGTCCATGCCCATCCCTGTGCCCATATCATGTCCGTGGCCATCCCTGTGTCCATATCATGTCCATGCCCATCCCTGTGCCCAGATCATGTCCATGGCCATCCCTGTGTCTGTGCCCATCCCCATGCCCATCCCTGTGCCCATATATCATGTCCGTGCCCATCCCCGTGTCTGTGCCCATGCCCATGCTCATCCCTGTGCCCATATCATGTCCATGGCCATCCCTGGGTCTGTGCCCATCCCTGTGCCCATATAATGTCCATGGCCATCCCCGTGTCTGTGCCCATGCCCATCGCCACCCGCCATGCCCGTACCGAGTAACTCTCCTTCTTGGCAGCCATGGCGGGGTTGTTGTGGCTCCAGTCGAAGGCCACCTCCTCCTCCTCGCGCTCGCTCAGCCACAGCAGCTCTTTGGTGGCGGCGCTGACGAAGCCATGGAGACTCTCCAGGTGCCGCAGCCGCGACTTGGAGGAGTTCTGAGGAGGCACAGAGGGTGGGTTTGCAGCTCCATCCTCACCCTGCACGGCCTCGTCCCCACAGGGCTGCCCCCTGCACACCCTCTGTCCCCCCACACTCATCCCTGGCACAACCCCCCCACCATTGTCCCCCCTTCTGCAACACCCTCCTCCAGCAGCTCTCTCCCACGTCACCCATAGTGCCAGGTCCCCCCATCTCACACCCCGCCAGCAGGGCCCCCTCATGGCACACACCCCCTCCCCAGCAGGTTCCCTCGTGTCCATCACCCCCATGACCCCCCCAGGCCACACGTCCCCAGCGTGTCTATAACCCCCCATGACCCCCCAGGCCACACGTCCCCAGCAGGTTCCCTTGTGTCTATCACCCCCATGACCCCCAGGCCACACATCCCCAGCAGGTCCCCTCAGGTCCCCTCAGGTCCCCTTGTGTCCATCACCCCCCACGACCCCCAGGCCACATGTCCCCAGCAGGTCCCCTCGTGTCTATCACCCCCCATGACCCCCAGGCCACACATCCCCAGCAGGTCCCCTCAGGTCCCCTTGTGTCCATCACACCCCCATGTCCCCCCAGGCCACACATCCCCAGCAGGTCCCCTCGTGTCTATCACCCCCCATGACCCCCAGGACGCAGGTTCCCTCATGTCTATCACCCCCATGACCCCCCCAGGCCACACGTCCCCAGCAGGTCCCCTCGTGTCTATCACACCCCCATGACCCCCAGGCCACACGTCCCCAGCAGGTCCCCTCAGGTCCCCTCGTGTCTATCACCCCCCATGACCCCCAGGCCACACGTCCCCAGCAGGTCCCCTCGTGTCCATCACCCCCCATGACCCCCAGGCCACACGTCCCCAGCAGGTCCCCTCGTGTCTATCACCCCCATGACCCCCAGGCCACACGTCCCCAGCAGGTCCCACCACATCTGCCCCCCACGTCCCCAGCAGGTCCCACCACATCTGCCCCCCACGTCCCCAGCAGGTCCCACCACCTCTGCCCCCCATCCCCGCCCACCCCTCCGGCCTCACCAGCAGCTTGGCGTACTGCAGCTCCAGCTTGCCCAGGCACTCCCGGTAGGCGCTGCTGGGGCCGGGGGACAGCTGGGCCTGCAGGAGACACTGTCAGCCCCAGAACCCCCCCCAGCTGCCCCACTGCGCCCCACAAGGGGAGCGACAGCGGGGATTCCTGGGGAGGGCAGCCACACTGAGGGTGTGGGGGCTGCCCTTGGGGCACGGTGCCCCCCACCCTCCCGGGGCATCCCGGTCCCCAGGGTGCTCCAGAACAAGGGCACAGAGGCTGTGGGGGCCGGGATGGGCTGCTCTCCCCAAACCAGCCCCCCAGCAGGCTGTGCACAGCCCCAGGAGCAGAGCTGGGTGAGCCCTGGAGGCCTTGGGGAGCAGAAAGAGGGGTGGCCATGGTGCTTCAGGGACCCCGAGGCACAGAGCAAAGGCAGCCCCACAGGGAATGCTCAGGAGCAGGAGAGGGGACAGCACTTGGGGGAACCCCTTGAAGCAGAGTGGGAACAGCCCCAGAGGACCCCCAGGACTCAGGGGTGCCCAGGGGTCTCACCTCATCCGCCCGTGCCCGCTCCACCTTGGCACGGAACTCCTCGATGGCGCGGTGCAGCCCACGGTGGGCGCCCAGGTGGGTCTCCACGGTGGGCAGGTCCGCGCCCCACTCGGCCGTGGCCACTCGCCGCTGGTTCTCCTCCACCCAGGCCAGCAGCTCCTGCAGGTACCGCAGCGGAGCCTCGTCCGGCTCCGGCCGCCGCTGCGCCGCTGTCACCGACGCGGCCGTCACCGCTGTCACCGGCGCCCCCGACTTGAGCCGCAGGTTGTACTCGGTGCGGATGGACACCAGGCGCTCGTGCAGGCGGTACACGCTGCGGGGAGGAGGCGTCAGTCGGGCACAAGGGCCCTGGGGACTTTGGGGGCATGTGCTTTGGGGCGTACAGGGGTCACAGGGGGGTTTTGGGGAGAGTATGGGGGCTTTGAGGGGTACAGGGGACATGGGGGGCACGGGGGGCCTTGCAGGGTTTTGGGGGGCATAGGGGTGGTTGGGGGTGCAGGGAGCATGGGGGACATGAAGGGCTTTGAGGGACAGGAAGGACAAGGAGGACATGGGGGGCAGGAAGGACAAGGAGGGCTCTGGGGGCACAGGGTCATGGGGACCCCCGCAGCGCCCATACCGACGGTACATCTGCTCGCCCTGGGGGTGCCGCCCGTCCTTGAGGGTCTGGACGTCGTTGAAGAGCAGCCGGATCATGGCATCCGCCTTGTCCAGGTCCCTCTCCACCTCTGCCGCCTTCTGGGGCGCCTTCCCAGCCGCCAGCAGCCGCACGTCCTGCGGGCGCAGGGACGGTGAGGGCAGGGCCATGGCCGGGGCTGGTCCCACCGGGCCCCCCGCCCCGGTGCCACCGGCACTCACGGCCTGGAGCAGAGCATCCGCCTGGTTCAGCTGCTCCTCACAGAGCCCCGACTCCATCTGCAGCTTGGTGACCACACGCTGCAGCCGCTCCAGCCTGCGGTGGGGACACGGGGAGGACACAGAGGGACTCGGTCAGCAGAGATCAGCTCCTGCCCGGGGGCAGCTGTGCTGGCCATGCACAGCACGGGTCCTGTGCCGTGCTGCATCCTGCTCCCAGTCCTCATCTTCCTTTTCCCATCCCCATCCCACTTCCAACCTCAATCCCCATCCCCTACATCCCATTCCATTTCAATCCCCATCCTGCCCCCCTTCCCATTCCCAATACTCCCCCCATCCCCAGTCCCCGATGCTGCCCCCATCCCTCTCGTGCCGTGCCGTGCTGTGCCGTGCCGTGTTTCCCAGCAGCAGCCGTGACTCACAGCCCTGTGGTTCCCCCTCGGGGGGGCCGGCACACCCCACCCCGGCCCAGCCCCGCGGTTTGGCAGCGGGATGGGGGTGTGGGTGCCAGCACGGCCCTGCCCGCCCCCCGGCCCCCCCTACTCGCCTCTCAAACTCTGCCCGCAGCAGCTTCTCCCGCTCCAGCACAGCGACGTGCAGCCGCCCCCACTCCTTCTCCACGTCCAGTGGGTGGTACCCGGGGGGCACCTTCAGCTGTCCCGACTGCACCGCGCCCTGCACGCCCCAAATGTCACACGCTGCCCCAAGGGGCGTGCCGGGCTCCGCCGCAGCACCCTGGCACCATCATCCCCCTTGGGACCCACCCCACACCCCCAGGACCCACAGCCCCTGGCACCATCATCCCCCCTGGGACCCACCCCACACCCCCAGGACCCCTGACACCCTGGGACCCACAGCCCCTGGCACCATCATCCCCCTGGGACCCACCCCACACCCCCAGGACCCACAGCCCCTGGCACCATCATCCCCCTTGGGACCCACCCCACACCCCCAGGACCCCTGACACCCCGGGACCCACAGCCCCTGGCACCATCATCCCCCTTGGGACCCACCCCACACCCCCAGGACCCACAGCCCCTGGCACCATCATCCCCCTGGGAACCACCCAGAGCCCCTCAAGGCCCCCAGGACCACCATCCCCTTGGGACATATCCCCAGTTTCTCGAGACCCCTGGCTACTGGGACCCCCACCCCTCAGGACCTGAGGTCCCCAGGGTCTCCCCCTCAGCCCCCCCACACCGTGGGATCCCAAGCTCCCAGAACCCCACAGGACCCCACCTCCCAGCCCCACCCCAGCCCTTGGCCGGTACCTCCAGCGCCTGGAAGATGGCTTTGGAGCGGTTCTTGTCGGCCTCCCGAGCCGGCAGCTCCGTCTCCTTGAACTTGAGGAACTGGCGCCAGAGGATCTGGCGGGGAGGGGGGCACAGCTGAGCGGGGACCCCCAGCCGCTGCTGCTGCCCCCTCCCCAGGCATCCGCCCTCCCCACCCTGCAATTTTCCATCTGTGCCGAGCCGGGAAGGAAGTGGCCGCGCTGGGCTTTGCCAGCGGTGACTCACGGCAGAGCCGGGACGGTGAGTCAGACGGGGCCCCCCTTGGGGCTGTCATGGCTCTGAGCCCCCAAACCCTGCAGACCCCCCAACTGGCACCGGAGAGGGCTCCGTGCCACAGCCACACCCCGCTCTCACGGTGACACAGCTCAGCTGGCCGTGTGCTGCCACGGGGGCTGCCACCCTGGCCCTGAGCCACCCACGGCGGGGCTGCCGGCTGGCTGGCACCCCTCACTGGGCACCAGCCACCCAGAGGGGTACTACCGGCCAGTTGGGACTCTGCCACACGCTGCCTCGGCTACCGGTGGCTCCTGGGGCTGGGCATCGCTGTGGCAGCACTGTGGTCCCCGTGCCCATGCCAGGCCATCAGCACTGTCCCTGTCCCTGTGCCCATCCCTGTGCCCATGCCAGGCCAGCAGCACTGTCCCTGTCTCTGTGCCCAGCCCATGCCCATGCCAGGCCAGCAGCACTGTCCCTGTCCCTGTCCCTGTGCCCGTCCCTGTGCCCATCCCTGTGCCCATGTCAGGCCAGCAGCACTGTCCCTGTCTCTGTGCCCATCCCCGTGCCCATGTCAGACCATCAGCACTGTCCTTGTCCCTGTCCCTGTGCCCATCCCTGTGCCCATGCCAAGCCAGCAGCACTGTCCCTGTCTCTGTGCCCATCCCCGTGCCCATGCCAGGCCAGCAGCACTGTCCTTGTCCCTGTCCCTGTGCCCATCCCCGTGCCCATGCCAGGCCAGCAGCACTGTCCTTGTCCCTGTCTCTGTGCCCATCCCTGTCCCCACGCCAGGCCAGCAGCACTGTCCCTGTCCCTGTCTCTGTGCCCATGCCAGGCCAGCAGCACTGTCCCTGTCCCTGTCCCTTGTGCCAATCCCCGTGCCCATGCCAGGCCAGCAGCACTGTCCCTGTCTCTGTGCCCATCCCCGTGCCCATGCCAGGCCAGCAGCACTGTCCCTGTCCCTGTGCCCATCCCTGTGCCCATGCCAGGCCAGCAGCACTGTCCCTGTCCCTGTCCCTTGTGCCAATCCCCGTGCCCATGCTGCCCAGCAGCACTGTCCCTGTCTCTGTGCCAATCCCCGTGCCCATGCCAGGCCAGCAGCCCTGTCCCTGTCCCTGTGCCCATCCCTGTGCCCATGCCAGGCCAGCAGCACTGTCCCTGTCCCTGTGCCCATCCCTGTGCCCATGCCAGGCCAGCAGCACTGTCCCTGTCTCTGTGCCCATGCCAGGCCAGCACCGTCCCTGTCCCGCTGCCACGCCGGTGCCGGTGGCCTCACCTCGATCTCCTCGTAGCTGGCAGGGAGGCGACGCTCCTCGAAGAGCGCCGAGTGCTGCCGGCTCCACTGCAGCAGCCCCGTCACCACCTCGTAGTACTCCTGCCAGCGCAGCTGCAGCTCCTGGGGCGGGGGACACGTGTGGGGCTGGCGGTGACGCTGCAGGGGTGGCAGCAGCCCCCCAGCAGCCCCCCAGAACCCCAACTCACGTTGGCCTTGACGCCGTCCTGCACCTCGGGCACGCGCGGCATGGCATCGTACAGCGAGGACACGTAGGTGATGATGGACTTCTCATCCGGCTGCGCCACGTCCACGTCTGCGGGGAGGGAGTGGGTCAGCTGGGGCGCGCCGTGGTGGGGAGGGGTGGGGCTCTGCAGAGGGACCCCCCAGTTCACCCCAGCTGTACCTTCGGGGTCCAGCAGCCGCGTCACCCCCAGATCACGCTCGGCCACGGTGAAGGCCTGGTCCAGGTTCTCCAGGTTGCTCTGGCGGTACACCCGGCTCATGTCGATCAGCATCGGCCTGCGGGTGGGGGTCAGCAGGCTCAGGGGGGCTGTGGGGACCCCAGAATCCCGAGGAGGGCAGGTCCCCCCTCCCCTGCCTGTCCTCCTGCCAGGCCGTCCCACAGCGGGGACACCGGTGGCAGGGGAGACCCCACAGCCAGCACAGGGACAGGACGGGCTGGGGACACACGCAGTCCCCAGTGGGAACCCCGCCACAGTCAGAGCCCCCGTGTCCTGTGAACTGGGCACTGTTGTTGTTGAGGTGGCTGTGATATAAAGTAGTTTTAGATGGTAACTCTTTATTATTGAAGAGAGTTGAATTTTTATACACTTTTTAATTGGTTATATTTTTTACTTTAATTATTGGTTATAATAAGTTAACATAATACTATTGGTGAAAAGTAATAGCGATTTTAGTTAATTTTTTAAAAATACTTTGTTTAGTTGTAAAGTTTTTTTTCTTTAATTCTTCTCTTCCCTTGTTTTTTTTTGGTTATAGTTTTGGAGAATATTTTTTTGTTTGTTTGTTTGTTTGTTTCTTAGATTCTTTCTGTTCTTTTAGCTATCAGGCTTGCTGTTAGCCCTTTCCACAGGGCACCCCAGCCTGGCATGGGGCTGATACCGCAATGCCCTGTGGGGTGACACCTCGGGCGCCCACGGTGGGGCCAAGCTCAGTGCAGCAGCGCCGTGGTGCAGAGCACAGCGCAGCCGTGACACGGCACAGCACAGGTGACTCCCCCCACCTGGCACAGGCCTGCACACGTTTTCTGTCCCCAAAAGCACGCGGCGGTCCCAGCAGGACCCGTGGGGACCTGCCTGCCCCCGCCCTGGCACGCCAGCGGTGGGCACGGCGCTCAGCACGGGCTGATGGGCTGGGACTCGTCAGGAGAACGTGCTCACGGCGCCCCGAGGATTGGCACAGCCACCCCGGGGAACACGAGGTCAGCACGGCTGCCCCATGAGCACGGGATTGGCACGGCTGCCCCATGAGCATGGGACTGGCACGGCTGCCCCATGGGCACGGGACTGGCTGCCCCATGAGCACAGGTGTGGCTGCCCCATAAGCACAGCTGTGGCTGCCCCATGAGTATGGGACTGGCTGCCCCATAAGTATGGGTATGGCTGCCCCATAAGCACAGCTGTGGCTGCCCCATAAGCACAGGTATGGATGCCCCATGAGCACAGGTATGGCTGCCCCATAAGCACAGGTATGGCTGCCCCATAAGCACAGCTATGGCTGCCCCATAAGCACAGCTATGGCTGCCCCATAAGCACAGCTATGGCTGCCCCATGAGCACAGGACCAGCACGGCCGCCCCACGAGCACAGGACCAGCACGGCCGCCCCACGAGCACACGCCTGCCCGTGGACCACACGGCACCACCACGGCACCCACCTGTGCCGGTGGATGATGGCGTTGAAGAGGCGCCCGTCCCGCCAGCTGGTGGTGAAGTTGTCACAGCGGAGGCCCTGGTAATCCTCCACCATCCGCTGTGACCACAGCAGCAGCTTCTCCTTGGCTGTCATGTCCTCCGACTGCCCGGTCACCTGGATGTCCGAGATCTGCCAGGACACAGCTGTTACTCTGGAAACCAGCACGGGCACCGGCACGGGCACCGGCACGGCGGCACTCGCTGCATGGCACCGCCAGCGACACCACTCCTGCCCCACTGGGGGCCAGCCCAGCCCGGGGAGGCCCCAGCACCATGAAATCCTGATCCCTCAGTACCACTGTCCCCATCCCCACCGCGCCGGGCTCACCTGGAAGTGGAGGATGATGGTCCAGATGAGCCCCAGTGTCAGTTTGGGGTTGCCGTCGGCGATGTCATCATTGCGGATGTTCACCAGCTTCACCTGCAGCACAGGACACACGCGGCTCAGGGATGGGGACACCCGGCACAGCCCCGGGGGTTATGGCCATCCCAGGGGTCCCTCCCGATTCTCACCTGCCGATGCTTCAGGTAGTTGAGGGCAATCTGGACATTCTGCAGCTTGTGGAAGCGCATCCGGCCCTTCTCCCGGGGCTGAGGAAGAGGAGGGTGGTGAGCACGGCCACGCTGGACACAACCCTGCAGTGTCCTGCCGCCCCTCGGTGACACCACGCCGCGCCCCCGGCCCCGCCGCGGTGCCACCACACCGTCCTGCCATCCCGGCGCCGTCCGGCCGCTCCCGGCGCCGCACATGCCGATGGCACCCGCCCTCGCACTTTGTCCCTGCAGGGGTGGGGACACTCCCCATGCTCCCCCCGTGGCACACGCTGTTCCCACGCCACGCCACGCCCGGCAGCACCGGGACCATCACGGCCGTCCCGAGGGGAGCCAAGTGCCACTCAGAGTGCTGCTGGCCCCAGTGCCGGCACACCACAGTCCTGCCAGCGCCGCAGGTGTGGCCACCATGGTCCCTCGCCATGCAGCTCCCCAGCACGCTGCAGTGTCCCCTCAGCAGGACCAGGAACTGCCAAGATGGGTCAGTCCCCCAAACTTGTGGGTCCCAGCTGGGGTCCCCTGGGTCCTGCCCAAACAGACCCCCCAGCATGTTCCTGCCCCATGGCAATGCCGACGTTGCACCAGCTAAGCCCAGCTTTGGCTGGGGGGCTCCATGAAGCCCCTTGTGCCGCTCAGCAGCAGACCAGGGTCACTCCCGTCCCACAGAAAGGGGCCAACATGGACCCACAGCCGCTCGGGGCCAGGACCGGCCCTAGTGTGAGACCCACGGGCCACCCCACAGAGCGAGCAGCACGTCCTGCTGTGGTGCCAGGAGCCAGAGCCCAGCTCCTGACAGCCCGTTGGGATCACTCCCAGTGATGCTGCTTCTGGATGATGACTTCTCTCTTGCTGCTGCCACTGAGTTCTGGCCCAGGGAAACCCACCCCCACGGCTCTGGGCATCAAGGGGCACCAGGACAGGCCAAGCATGCAGCAGAGCACCGGGACAGCGCCAGGACAGGCACAGCACACAGCACATGGCATGCAGACAGTGCTGGGACATGCCGGGCACCGCTCCGTGCCGCTGCCACAGCACGGCTGCTCCGGCCGCGCCAGGAGCCCACGGCAGAACCACTCACCAACCGCAAGGTCCGGAGGACGTCGCGCTCCCGGGGCTGCCCCGGCCGAGCCGAGCGGAGAGGAGCAGAGAGAGGAAGGAGAAGGAGGAGGCAAAGGCGGCGGTGGGCCGGGGGCCGGCGCCAGGAAGCAGAGAGGGCACCAAAGCAAAGAGAGGTTAGAGGCGGGGGGCGCGGGCACTCCAGGGTCACCGGGACAGACCGACGGCCAAGCAGGACGAGAGGGAACACAGGCAGGCAGCAAGGGGGAGGACGAGGATGAAGACACGGCCGGTGGAAGGGTGCCGGCGCGTGGCGGGACCAGGGGACAGTGCGGGCAGGGCAGAGTGGCACCTACCAGCGTGTCACCCGACAGCACCTCCAGCAGCGAGATGAGGTTGTGCCCGTCCCGCAGGTCCTCGTACAGGTCGTTGACATGGCGCTGCGCCTGCGGGGAAAGCCACAGTGTCGGGGGGCCGGGGGCAGCTGAGTGCCCCCCACCCCTGCCAGCCAACACCGGGGTGGGTGCCCGGTGACCCCCCAGCGCAGCGGGTGCTCGCACACAGCTCCAAGTGCAGCTGGTGTCCCCAGTGCCACGATCGCCCCAAACACACACAGCAGCTCCCCCCGTGCCAGGACGGATCCGGCATCGCTCCGGCATCACTCTTGGCATGCAGAGACCCACCGTGAAGGGCTCAGACCCTCCGCCCACCACGCAGGGCTCAGACCCACTGCCGAGCACAGTGGCAGCCCCAGGGGAAAGGAGGGTGTGCAAAGAGGAGGAGCGCAGTGGGACAGACAGACAGAGAGGAAGGACCTACCTCTGGTCGCCAGTGCTGCGCAGGGCAGAGAGAAGAGAGCAGTTAGGAGAGAGCTGAGAGGGGACCCAGGATGGGCAGAGCGTGGTGGCACCACGATGGCACTGCGGGGTCAGGGACACGTGGAGACACATTTTGGGGAACTGGGCCATGTCCCAGTGTGTGCCAGGTGCCAAGGTGGGGCTCTGCCTGTGGCAGGGAATGGGGACTGGCACGGGTGGGACAGGACGGAGAGCGTCAAAGCACAGGACACACCCCAGGTGCCAAGGGCACCGTTCCCTCCTGGCACACTGGGAGGGCAGCAGGAGGGCAGATCCCACCTGGAGGGCAGAACCCCACCCCAGAGGCAGCTGAGAGGCTTTGACCAGAGGTGCGGCACAGGAGCGCCAGCACTGGCACCGGGGACCCTCCACTGCCACGTCTCGGCTGTCCCAGCACACGGGGCTGTGGGTGGGGGTGATCTGGGGCCGGGGACTGCTGGGGCAGCGGTGCCCGCTGGACTGGCAGTGCCCATACCTTGATAAGGTGCTTGTTGACCCATTTGGTGAAGGTTTTCTTCTGGACACGATCTCGCTCATCTGCAAGAGAGGAGAGGGACAGGTGAGCCAGTGGCACCAGGGTCGTGGCACAGCAAAAAACCAGACCCTGCCGGCGGCACCGCAGGGCACGGCTGGCACAGGAAACGATGAGCCAACTGCTCTGGGGAACCACGGTGAGTCACGGGGGTGTGGGGAGAGGAAACAGCTAACGGGGATCGGCCCCAGCGTGCCAGCACCACGCCAGCACCGTGCCAGCACCCACCAGTGCCCGCCAGCACCTCAACTCTGAGCACTGAGATTAGATCAGCTGGCCAGAACGTGCTGCTAATAACGTGGTGCTAATAATGTGGTGTTAATAACGCGGTGCTAATAAATAACGCCAAGGTCGCAGGTTCAACCCCAGTACGGACAAATCAGGAGTTGGACTTGGTGATCCTTGTGGAACTGCTTTCACCTCAGACTATTCTGTGCCTCTGTGACTGCTGGGAGCAGGAGGTGCCTACCTAACCCTGAGCCCTCTGGCACTGCTCTGAGGAGCGCCAGCACTGCCCGGGGCTCAGTGGGCACTGATTGAGCGGTTTGGGTATGGTACGGAGATGAGGCCATGGGGTGCTTGTCCTGGCACCACCCTGGGCCCTGGTGGGACATGTACGGGACTGAGATGAGCCCACACACCCTCTGCACTGCCAGAGCTGTGGGACACCCCAGGACACCCCCAGGACACCCTTCTCTGTGGGCACAGGGCCAAGCAGGGCTGCAGTGAGTCACGGCGCTCCCTGCCCGCTGCCCTGTCATTAGGGGATGGCATGGGAATGGGAACGGTGACGCATTGGGATGGGAACCCGGGATCGCCCAGGACCCACCCCCCAGCACCCGCTGCCCTGCACCCCGTTAACCCCCAGCGCCCCACTGCCAGCACCCCTGTCCCGCTGGGTCCCCAGTGTCACACACCCCGCCTGATGCCCAAAGGAGGGGTCGGAGGCCAGAAGTGACACCCTATGCCCACGGGGCGATGCCACCGGTGCCGCGGCAGCCGCAGCGCCCCGCTGCCCCGGCCGTGGCGAGCCGGGCGCTGCGTGCCGGGTCTTGCCCTGCTGGAGCGTGCCGGGATCTGCCCACGCGGCACCCAGCGCCCCACAGCCAACCCTCCCCGCCGGGAGAGCACCCCGGGGTGCTGCACAGCCCGAGCGCCCCGCGGCACCGCCAGGGCGTGCCGGGCCAGGAGCGGCCACGGTACGAGAGGAAGAAAGGAAGGAAGGAAGGAAGGAAACGTGGGGCGCGCCGAGCGGGGGGCACCGACACCATAGCCCGGCACCCGCACCCACAGCATTGACACCCGAGGGGTCCCCGAGCGGCGCCCACCCCACACCCACGGGCGGCGGCGCAGGGAGAGCCGGGCCAGGCCGGACCGGCCGGGCAGGGCGTGGCAGGAAGCGACCGAGGGCACCGGGGATGGAGCTGGGCGGCGGCGAGGGGGTCTGCTGCAGTCTGCCCCACAGCCCGCCCCACCAACACCGCCCCGGCGTGCGGGTCTGCCCCGCAGCCCGGCCAGAGACATCGCCCCGGTGTGCGGGTCTGCCCCACAACCCGCCCTGGGGACACCGCCCCTGCCCCAGGGACACCGCTCTGCTGTGGGGGCTGCCCCACGGCCCGCCGGGGGCCCAGAGCCCCGGGGACACGGACCCAGCACTGCGGACCCCGCCCCGGTGCGGGGCTCTGCCCGGGGGCACCGGCCCAGGTGGGGATGCCGAGGCGGGCGGCCCCCACGCCCCACGCGGTACCTTTGCGGCCCTCGGCCGCCCGCAGCACGGCCAGGTACAGGTTGTCCTCAGAGCCCGTCCGGGCGGCCACCGCCGGAGCCTCCTCCGAGCTGCGCCGCGGCCGCGACATGCTGAGCGAGCCCCGACACAGCTGCGCTCCCTTCCCGGTCCCGCCGCGAGTGGGGCGGCCCGGGGAGGAGACGGGGCTCTCTCCCCCCGCCCCACGCCCCACGCCCCACGCCCCGACCCTGCCCACAGGAAACTCCTGAGCTTTAACCCTTCCCTCCCTGCGCCTGCAGGCGGGATGGGACACGGAGCCACGGAGCAGCCACGGAACGCTCCGCGGGGAGCCGCCACCCCCAGCCCCACACACGGGGCCGCGGGACCCCCGGATCTGCGAGAGCGGGGAGCGGGACCCCGGTTCCTGAAGATCGGGGTGCTCAGAAACCCCTCACCCCTCACCCAGCATGGCCAGACCCCCTGCCCCACACCTCGGGGTCTTGGGACCCTCAGGTCCATAAGTCCAAAGGGGGTGGGGCCCACAGCCTGGGACTGTTGGACCCCCAGCCACCACATCTCAGGACCACCAGGTTTCCAAGCTCTGGAGGCTCAGGTCCCCCAGGTTTGCAGATCAAAACCCTCGTTGCCCCTCACAGAGGATGCCCAGAACCCCTCTGGCCCCATGGTCAGGAGCTCCCCAGCACCCCAGGCCCCAGCTGGGACCTTCAGTCCCTGTGGAGGTTCTGGCACCACGCGGTGCCACAGCCCAGGGACCACCTCAGAACCCCCCGCCCACGCCCTGGAGCTGTAGGACCCCAGCTCCCCCCACCTGGGGCTCAAGCCCCCAGGTTCACCAGCCCCAGTCCCAGGGCCCACATTTGAGGGGCTCAGATCCCTGGGGTCCCTCTTGAGGGGTTCAAGGTCACAATCCCCTGGGCTGCAGGATCCCCAGGATGGGGGACTGTGCCCCACAGGCTCCCCCATGCACACAGCAGCCCCACCAGCAGCTCTGCTCCCTACAAGCACCCCAGGACAGCACCCCACACCCTGCCCTGTGCCCCACAGCCCCCACAGGCTCTCACATCGGGTGGGGGCATTGGCAGCAGCGTAGGAACCCCCCTTCCCCAGAGATTCACCTCCCACCACCCTCCCCCAGTGGGTGACAACATCAGCTGAGGGGACCAGAGGGCAAATTCAGGGGTTGCACCCCATTGGGTGCTGCATCCCCCCGAGATGTCCCTCCGCAGGGACCCCCAGGGTGGCTGGCACAGGCTGAGAATCCCCAGCCCCCCTGGGGTGACACAGAGCTGCTAGTCCTGTCAATCACAGCACCCACAGCACCCATGTCACCAACGTCACCAACGTCACCCACGTCATCCATGGCGGGGTGGCAGCTGCTGGGGGAAGGGCGGCTGTGGGTGCCCTGGGCGCTGCCAGCCTGGCCTAGCCAGCACCCCAATACCTAGGTCTGCACCCCAACACACACGTCAGTGCCCTAAGGCCCACTTCCTGAGCCACAACATTCATGTCTGAACCCAAACACCCGTGTCTGCACCCCAACATCCATGTCTGCACCCCAATATCCATGTCTGAACCTCAATATCCATGTCTGAACCTCAACATCCATGTCTGAACCTCAACATCCATGTCTGCACCCCAATACCCATGTCTGAACCCCAACATCCATGTCTGCATCTAAACACCCATGTTTGCACCCCAACATCCATGTCTGCATCCAAACACCCATGTCTGCACCCCAACATCCATGTCTGCACCCCAACACCCATGTCTGCACCCCAACATCCATGTCTGCACCCAAACACCCATGTCTGCACCCCAACATCCATGTCTGCACCCAAACACCCATGTCTGCACCCAACACCCATGTTTGCACCCAAACACCCATGTCTGAACCCCAACACCCATGTCTGCATCCAAACACCCATGTCTGCACCCCAACACCCATGTCTGAACCCCAACACCCATGTCTGCACCCCAACACCCATGTCTGAACCTCAATATCCATGTCTGAACCCAAACACCCATGTTTGCACCCCAATATCCATGTCTGCACCCCAATATCCATGTCTGAACCTCAATATCCATGTCTGAACCCCAACACCCCGTTCCGCAGCACGGGCATCGCCCGTCCTCAGTGCGGAGTCCAAAGGACACGGGGCTGTGGCCCGGTCCCGCCGTGACTCACGGTCCAACCGCGCGCCGGCGGCGCCCCGAGAGCCCTGCCGCCCCCGCCCACCCGTGACACCCACCCCGGCACCCACCCGTGACCCGCTGTGGGTGCGGGGGCCCGTCAGGGAGCGGCAGCCGAGCCGGGCCGATGCCCGCTGGGACGGAGCCAGCGCGGCCGCCGCGGAATGCGGGCGGCACCGGCCCGGCCCCAGCCCCGGCACGCACATTTTTCCGCCGAGAGCGCATCTGGCACAGGCACATCTGGCACAGGCACATCTGGCACAGGCACATCTGGCGCCCGGAGCGCGGTGGGAGCCCTGCTGACGCACGTCGGGGGCGGCAGGGACACCCCGGAGCCGCGGCTACCGCGACACGGCCGCAGGAGCCACCGGACGGGAGAGGGACACGGCGGTGACACTGCCAGGGCGGTCACAAGGGTGGCATCGCTGCGGTCCGGCACCGCGCTCACACGGGCCGAACCGCTCCCGGCGTGCCGAACCGCTCCGAACGGGTGCGGAGCCGAGACCGGGAGCCTGGGACGGCTGCGGGGTGAGGGGCGGAACGGCGCTCCCGGCACCGGCACCCCGGTTTTGGCAGGTACCGACCGGGAGGACGCGCCGGGTCGGAGCCAGCGCTTTGAAGAGCCGACGGGGCGGCTCCTGGCACCGTCCCCGGCGGCTCCCGGGGCAGGCGGCGCCCGGCTCCCGGGCCTGGCAGCTCCCGGGCCGGCGGCTCCCGGGCCAGCCGGGCCGGCCGGGCAGGAGCGCCGCAGTCTCGCCCGCGGGTGCCGACGCCACCGGGCCGGCCCGGCTCCCTCCCACGGCGTCTCCCACCCTCGGGGCTCCGGGGGAACCCCCGGGAGCCGCCGAGCCGCCCCCACCTCGACACTGGGGGCACCCAGGGGCGCGGAACGCCAGCGGGGTGCGCCCAGCGCCGTGGGGACACCCGGGTGACAACGCCACGCACCAGGCCGGGACAACGGGGCAGCAAAAAGCACTGCGAGGCTCCAGGCAGTGGCACCGGGACCCGGCCGCACCGGGACTGGGGGAGACCTCGAGCCCCGTGCCAGGGAGTGCCAAAAGGCACCGG